GCGCAAAATGCAAGGCTATGTCCAGTGCATTGCATACGCGCAATTTTATCAATTGTCATAATGGCCGCACATACTCCTGTCGGAGCGCTAGCAACTCTGTCCAAAGTGAATTTTGACCATGGCACATCAATCGTGGTGAGGTACTAATGTTTTTATTAGTCTGCCAAGGCAGTGGAATGCATAATTCCATGCACCGTTTCCATGGTTACCATGGGCTGTTACCATGGAATTTCGTAGTATGCCTTGTGCGATTGTTATCAAAGGTTTTGTTATGGGTTCCCACACGACCACCAGAGATACCAGTTTATTATAGTTGAGAGTCGTATATTTCACGGGACGAGGACAGATTATTGACACCAGCATTAGGGAAAGGATTCGACTACTGACTAGATTATGGAAAGTTTGGTTATATTATGTGAACTACAATAAAATGAAGTTGGTTGCTCCAACGAGGAGCACACGCTTCTTGCCGAACTTGACACTTGACTGACTCACGACTGCCATCCGGAGCACACGAGGAGCACGTCGCACCTTCCGCTCGGCAAACCTGTAAGAAAGCACCACTCCCTGCTCAATACACAGTGTTTCGGGGAATTCACCCCTCATCAACTTCATGACTATTACCGCCGAAGTCGCAACTTCTAAGTTCGTACAATAAAATGTACGGTGCAATGCATGAGCGCACCCATTTAGCTGGGCGCGCATATTATGTGTATAGCCCGACTATGTACACTATAAAGTGATGTATTAGATCAAATGTACGGGGTTTTTTATGTGCAGGGGCAGAAGGAGGGAAAACAGGCTACAAATGTGTATGATACTAATTATTGCATGCAGGGGCAGCGGGGAAATGGGTCAAATATGGACTATGGCTGTGTTTACATGAAGCGTTTCAACCCGGGTTGAGTTCGACCCGGGTCAGATTTCAACCCGCCATGTGCACAAAGTGAATGGCGCGTTTACATGACGCATTGCGCTTGACCCGGGTTGAGATTTCGCCCCGGGTTGATTTCAACCCTCCCCCCAAGGGGAGGGTTGAAATCAACCCGGGTCAAGAAAATCGTACGAACGTACTTCTGTGCGTATCTCGCGCCAGGTTTGAACAGCACTGCAGATGCAAATTTCGCGCGAACGGATTCACGTGACCATACAGGACTGTAGAAGTGGACTTTTGGCGGCATATCAGTATTTGACCTGGGTCACCTGTCTTCATGTAAACGATCACCTCTTTTGTCTATCGTACAGACTTTCAACCCGGGCTGAACTCGACCCGGGTTGAAATTTCTCATGTAAACACAGCCTATGGTTATGAAGTGTGTACGTACGAACTACTACTGCATGCAGGGCTAGGGGTAGGGGGTAATGGAGTGCGTATGAACTACTGCATGCAGGGGTAGGGGGTAATGGAGTGTGTATGAATTACTGCATGCAGGAGTAGGGGGTAATGGAGTGTGTATGAACTACGGTATGCAGGGATAGGGGGTAATGGAGTGTGTATGGATTACTTCATGCCGGGGTTGAGATCCAAATATGGGATGCGTATAACACGATCACGTCTAAAATTTGTGGACTCCTTCATTATCCCCTGAGCAACAGTTTAGGGTCAAGTTTTAGGTCAATGTTAGAACAGAGGCCATGCAGCATGTCTGTGTATGATGGTCCTACCGGTAGGTCCTACCGGTAGGACCGAGGTCTATGCAAGCTATCATTAAATAGTATTTCACGGAGAAGGTGGAGAGCCCGAACCTTGGAAAAAATTATTCAACATGTGAGTTGAATGCTGTAGAAAATTCAAAGATTTGCTTCATTCCCTGTATAGAGTGCAACCAAGTATGCATGCCCTGTTATACACAGTTCAAAATTGGACACGGGCTCTGCTGCGCGCAGTAAACATTGACCGGGAAACCTGGTCCTGATGAAGTATGTAAAATGTGTACAAACATGTGGGACGAAATGGGCGTTGCACTGGTTTTAGACGTGAGAAGTTCAAGTACATGTAGTAGTCATGTACGCTTGAAAGCACCCGTTTCGTCAGGAAATGTGTACGGATGACATGTGAAAGAACCTTGTGCACATGGTCTATTGATTATACATGTATGTAGTGTGTATGTAGTGGCCTATTCTGTGCAAGAATGATCTCTACATGTACATTCATAGCTTACCTGCACAGCCATACCATTACAGCAAGTGCAGCGTTATGGTTTGTTTTTGCTTTTTGTTCTCAACCGTGGTGTCGTCTAACTTTATCTTTCCCGTGTTCAGGTGTACAACCGCCTGGCAAAGTTTACTGATACGTTTGGAAGTCGGTTGGCAGGGACAGCAAACCTTGAGAATGCCATTGGTCAGTCACTCAGCTATGGCTGAGCCCAACCGAGGTAGCATGTAGCAATGTTTAATGCCAGGCACGCTCAGTTCACACAGCACCGTACCAGTTCCGGTACGTCAACATTCTAGCGGTTTGGTATAGTGTTGCTCGTCTGCTTCAGAGCAGTTGCTTCTTGAATGCCAGGCACGCGCCTCTACTTGAGCATCAGCACTCATGTCCTCAAGTGAGTGACTGTGTGATGCACATGCAGTTTAGCTTGCCCTATGACCCGGGGTGCTGCTGTTGAGACGCTGAAATGCTGCATACAGCAATTGTGTTCTTCTGATGTGACATCGTCTCATTTTCATATGCACTGTACCAAGTAATAGTTTGCAAGCCGAAACCTCACGTATCTGCTGTTGCGTTCCTAATAATAACATTTCTCGGGGCATTAGATCGGCATGTGTACTTCTCAAAGTTTTGGTTAGACGGCCGTAAAAAGTAGAAGGGAGTGAATCAGACAGATTGTTCAAACGCTATTTTATGCTCGGTAAGGTTGGCAGCTGTGCTGTATTTGTAATGAGGCACGCTTTGTGTTTCGACTTCATTCTCAGCTTGCTCCGCTGGTGATTGGCTTTAATAATGTCTTCAGTGCACTTGTCTTTGTGCCTTTTCTTGTGTATAGATTACATGCTGGAAACAATGAAGGAAGATGGTCTGGATAGTGTTCATGGCGAGAGAGCGCAGGTAGGAGACTATCGAATTTCAAGCCTATCAGCCATGGCCATGAACTGTATGCATGCACCATGCTCTCTTCTTCAATGTGTGAAAGGCTCAACTGTATCAACTTCATTCTCTTTTAATAAAGTTAGTACTGTGTCTTAATACCCGATGATGCCCCATGTGTCACGTGTACAGTACTACTGCGTTCATGTAACATACACGTGTGTTCTATGTGTACCCCACGCATGCGCAGTTGACGTCATGTGTGGATTGGTTTTTGGCTCCTTGCTGGCGTTTCAGGCTTTCGTTAACTTGTTCTTTACCCTATATATATGCTTCTGGCAACTCGTGTCTTTCGGCACGTACCCACGGGCTTGACGTCAGCCTTGTTCCAAGTCCTGAGCTTGCCACGGTACGGCCTGATTGCTGCTTGATCAACATACGTCTGTGGTATCATGTTCACAGAAGCTCCGGTGTCAAGCTGAAGCACAACTTCTTGACCATCCACTAGCATTCTCGTCTTCACCTCCTTCTTCATGCGGCTATGGAGCGCATCCAATCAATCATCACTGCTAGGCTCATACACCTGGCGCTTGTGTTGGACTCGCTTGCTTTTCTAGCTGGGCATTGGGTGAGACGAGGTCTTGGGTTTGCCCTGCTGGCAGACTGACTGGAAATGGTTCTGCTTCCCGCACTGCCTGCAGGTCTTGCCGAATGCAGGTCATTTCCTTGGTGGATGGCTGTGTCCACAGTACTTACAGCTCTTGGACGCGACGTGGTGAGCAGCGTGTGTGTCTGTCTGATCATCCTTGATGGAGAGGTGCTGTTCGGATGACTTCTCGGACGCTTTACAGGTGTCGACTTCGCGTTGCAGTGTTAGACCAGGCTCTTTCAGTAGCGCAGACTGGACTGACGCTCTATTGATTCCGAGAACGATCCTGTCATGTACTTCAAAAAGAAGTATGATCGAGGGAGTGCAATTTTCGCAGTAGGTGCACGACTTGACTAGCACACAAATTCACGATGGCAATGTGTCAAATGGCTTGTCTGGCCCTTGGCTACGGTTATTGAATACGAAACGCTCGTATGTCTCATTTACCGCCCCAACGGCGTAGGCATCGAACTGGGCAATAATCTCCGCCATGGTACGATCATTCTCGGGCGTAGAAAATTCAAATCCAGATTTTCAACGCGTCGCCGTCAATCAAACTCAGAACCATGGCTACCTGAAAGGCATCCGGACGGTTGGTCAAATCGTTGAGGATGATGTGGTTCAGCCATCGTTGTTTGAACAGCCTCCAGTTGTCGGCACTATTTCCTGTCACGCAGAAACGAAATTTGGCTGGGAATGACGGGCTGTTTCCGGCGCGTGATCCGGCACTCGGGGTGGCGCTTCCAGAAACACTACAAGTACTCCCAGCGGAGCTGCTACCTTCTCCAGAGTGACTACTACTACTACTACTACTACTACTGCTGCCGCTAGAGGAGCCAGCAGAGGCTTAACTGTTCGAACTAGACATCGTCGACTGGCGCACTTACGCCGAAATTTACTGCAAGCACACAAAATATAGCTACGGAAATACTAATTTACTCGAGCGAAGTTCGGGATCCGGCTGTCGCCGTGTTACGTGGTCAGTCTTAGTTATATCCAACAATGCTACAGCCGTGTGAATGGCACTTAGAGTAATAGCAGGGAGTAGTAAGAACAGTTACTGTAGAGGCAGAAAATTTCGTCCAACTCCAAAGAAAGGGAGTTCTTCCGGTTGAAAATTTCGTCCATGGATCATAATAGTGTATAGAAAAGCTGGACAAATCGACATTAGTCCGGCACTTAATTTAGTCCAAAAGTTCCTTGGACGAAAAAGTCTAAATTAAATTCCAGACGAATATTTCTGCTTATACAGTAAGTAAGAACAGTTAAGCAAAAGTTAATACTGTCTAATCTTGTCTATTGTTATAGTGTCTTAGACCGTGCAGGCTGCAGTGATACTGGCGTATTTATAGATGATCCGATACTAGGACCAATAGCATTTCTGAAGATAACAGTGTGATTAGTGATTGTTGCTGAACTGTTATTTCCTGCAAGTACATGTACAGTGTACAGTGTACAGTGTACAGTGTACAGTGTACAGTGTACAGTGCAGTACATGTACAGTGTAGTACAGTGTACAGTGTAGTTCCTAAATTTGAATTACTGTGATAGAGACTAACTTGTCTTCGCTGGTGCTTTGAGATAAAAACATTGCCCCGTGCAAGGCTGCAAAGAAGTGGCAATGATCTTTTTCTGAGGCTGCTCCACTGTTTGTTGTTGACAGGTCCCTCTCTGGGTGCGCGGCAAGGAGTCTGCTACTCTTCTTGAACCGCGCAATCAGAATCTGGCCATGATGGGCCTCGGTACGAGTGTCGGTACTTCTCCTGAAGGTGAGTTCATCAGTCATGATCACTGTGCAAGTTAACTTAATATGGTGGTCAACCGATGACCAGTCCGTTCACCAGCTCCACCTGTATGCACTAGCATGCTAACAGCTCTGTTAGCACTCTCGTTGTATGTATAACGCATGTCCTGCGATGGCTTGGATAACAAGTTCTAGTAGTACATGGCAACTCAGCTACGAGTTTCAGTGGAGAATTCCTACGGCATAAATAATTCCAACCTGGTCATTTAATCTCTGTTTTCAATCCGGAAGCGGCTCTGTTCGACTGGGGAGGGGGCTTCCCGATGACTGCAGCGAGCGTCAGCCCTTCTCCGAGCCCATGCGAATATATGCTGCTGACCGACTGGGTCATGGCGTTGACAGCGGCGGATGATGTGCCGCTCTGGTCCGAGTATCAGCGGCAAATTCCATGATTGGGTTGCAGCCGAGGTGGAGGTGGTGCTGGGGCTGTTAGTGGTTGATACTGTAGCTGTTAGTGGTTGATACTGTAGCTGCTGTCCCAGATGGACTTGGACCTTTAGGGTACTGCACGGTTTCAAAAACAGCAACACAGACGGGGAAAAGAGAAAATTAATACAGACACATTGGCCATACGCACACCATTTGCTCGACAGCCAGGACATGCTATGCTCGTGTGAAGAAGAGACACGCGCATAGCACTAAAATATGCCATGGCTGACATGTGCAATGCCGATCCCATGGCAACGGCACGTGCATTTGTCATGCTGTCATAACCCAATCAGGTCGTCGACCTATATTAGGGATCTCAGCGAGTGCAGTGCGCAGGGTGTTTGCGCATACATTGCGTCATCGAGTTTTGAGTGCAGCTCGCGGACACAGCAGAAAAATGGCGACGGTCGATTTTCGACACTAGGGGACGCGGTGGACACTAGCGGAATCGTCATCTTCATCGTCGTTCGAACATACTTTGTAATTCCCGCCGAAGGACAGCGTGGCCAAGGCGATATTGCCCCGGTCGATTTTCCTATAATTTTCCATGCGGCAAGAACCCACTTCAGAGAGGATTCAGTCAAAAATTCAGACGTTTTCTCCGGTTAGATTGTCCTAACTTCGATTTTCAGTGCATCAGCCATCGCGAACATCGCCGCCATTATCACTCAGAGAGAAGACATCGCGCTCAGTAGAAGAGGTGTTCACGCTGCGTCCAAGAGTGAAAGATTGTGCTCTTTGACCCTCCATAGTTCCTCTGAGAGAGTGTCTGGGAGATAGGTAGCTTGGAAATGGCCGTAGAACGTGCTTTCCTGGACGCAATATTCAGCCATTTCTACTGTCTTCTTCAACTTGATTTATTTCGAAAAAAATGTTCTTTTCCACGATTTCTGCACTGGACGCGTTTGGGATCAAAAATCTCACCTGCGCAGACTGGCTGCGCAGTTCACGCGCTGAGATCCCTACCTATATAGTTCATCCAAGCATCCATGAGCCCCGAACGCTCGCCTTGCCAAGTCCTTTAGAACGCTGGAAGTTGGTTCCACATTATATTACGAGAGGTTGACAGTTCTTGTAGGTTGAACATATCGATAACAGATCTGAGAGCAAAATATAGCAGCATGGTTGAAACTATGCTACTACTTTGAAGTAACAGCATAAGGTGGAAGAACTAGCCAATCAGCAGTCAATCAGACTGTAGAGAGCTGTCGAGATGCCAGCGCACAGGGGATTAGTTTTAACTAATCAGCTGTGCGCTGGCATTACAGTTTCCTGCTTGCATGTGGGGAACTCGGGATATGACACAAGCACCTGTGAACTTGCTAGTGTCAATGATGAAATTGTTCGCTGAGTTCCAATTTCTGCTGTTCATTTTGGAAAAAAATATGTTTGTACATCAGCCGGGTTGACTCACCTGTGTCTGGTGTGTGCTGTTCTGTACACTAGGAATCACGGCCGAGGTGCTGGTTGTTCAGTCGTTCGATGAGCTGCACAACCGAAGCAAAGAGGTAGCCTGCTTGATGACTACTGTACTGTCGGGCGCCGAAGAACGGCCAGCCTAGAATTTCAGCAAGCACAGCATACCAATGTATACACGGTGACTCAACTGTGCATAGGCTGTATGTAATGCATGAAAATAAGAACGGTCTAGGCTAGGAGACTGACCCCCCCCCCCCCAGTTCTTCGGCGACCAACAGTACTGTACTGCTCAAAGTGTGTATGTTGAAGATATGACCTTGCTTCTGTAGGCAGGGCTTGAAAGTGATGACATCAAACACAACTGGGTTGTAAAGATTTCGTGTATGACTACTATTTTTTGTGTAGGTTTTGTATCATGTGTTTTGTATGTTGGGTGTATGACCAGCCCCTCATGCCAACTGCCGGTGTGATTTTTCTTTGCCAGCACGGCAGTAGTATAATTATATTCCTGAAAGAAGGACATGGTGAATGGTCGTGTCTGCGGATCACTTAGAATGTCATTATGTGGAACTCTCTGTCGAACGTTTGTGTTCCCCGCTCTTTTCATGGAAGCTGACCTTTAGCACATGCAATGCAGGGCAACTCACTGTAGCCATGTGCTTTCCAGGGAGAGTCGATTACAAAGCAACGAGAATACAGTCATGTACTATTTGTAAGCATGCAGTAGACGGGTTACACTGCTCGTAATTAAAGCACTCAATGTGTTGCTTTGTACGCTCTCACTGTGCTCCTAAGGCACTAGGTAAGATCATTGTCTACAATGAGGTGTATACCAGCTCTGGCACCTCTGTCATGTATAGATACCATGGTGCGGTGCAGGCCGCCGAGGTCGGCGGTGTGGCCGCGCTGATCCGCTCCAACACGCCCTTCTCCATATACAGTCCGCATACAGGTGTCCAGGTGAGGATGGTGGCAATGCTGGTGTCAGTGTTTTAGACCAGCACTCTGATAGTAGTGTGATATATTTAGGTTTGCCATGGTTTGACTAGTTGCCCACGGCTCTGGCCATTCCGGTCTTCACACTACATGTAATTGGACGGCCTCTCTGGTGGAAACTATCCAAACAATCCAAACAATCCTGCCATTTGCCATCGTCATCAAACTACAGTACTGTCGGGCGCCGAAGAACGAGGGGGGGGGTCAGGGGTTCTAGCCTAGCCCGTTCTTATTTTTAGCCAACACAGCAGTTTCGTTCTTATTCGATGGTACAGTCTTACATGTACATTTATGCAGAGTTATAGTTACGTCTGAGTGTACGTTTTAGTGTACAATACGGTTTCCGTTCATATCTGCAAAAATTCCAGCCCACACCGTTCTTAAAAATTGGTGAAATTCTAGCCTGGCAGTAATTCTAGCCTGGCCGTTCTTCGGCGCCCGACAGTACTGTACTTGTATTGCATTCTGCGTGATGGGACTGCAGTAACTGTTGTAGAGAGGGCTTCTTTGTAAACTGGTACTTCAAACTTGTGTTTGTTACCGAAAAGACTTCCGTTCCACATCTCAGCTGCGCTCTTGTTAGTTGTAATGTATCATGATTTTTGCTTTCGTTTCTTGTGGATTACATAGGTGTATGAAGATGGTGTTGAGAAGGTGCCTGCAGCTTGCATCACAGTGGAGGATGCTGAGATGCTTAGCCGCATGGCAGCCAGAGGTAGGCAGAGGTAGGCATGCACTAGTCAACTGCACTACTAGTAAGTGTTGCAAAAGAAGGATTTCCTGTGCTCACATTTTATCAAGCACATCTTAGCGTCCGCGCTCTTCGAGTTCATCTTGAACTCTCTTTCAGAGTGCGTCAGGACAGGTCGCCCGTGTTTTGTGGTGCGTCCAACACCCATCTGCCTCTGGAGAATCCCACGAATGTCTGACCGTATAGTACATGTGTTGGAGAGTTCACTGCACAGTGTGCTTGACTTTCATTTCAGCATGCTACTTCTGAGCTCAATATAGGCCGCTTGTCATGTTTCTACTGCTACAGAACTCGGCTTTCTGTCCTCTTGTCTTGTGCTGAATGAATGCCAGATGCTGTCTGATGGTCGGTAAAGCCGTGAAACTCAGAGTCACAGCAGAAACGCTTTGATTCCTTCTTTCAAGTGTGTGAATGGCAGTATGTTGTTACCTGCTCTACTTCATATCTCTACCTGTTCCTTGATGTTCCGCTTGTTTTTATTCCCCAGGCACTAAGATAGTTGTCAATGTGAAAATGGAGGCAAAGAACCATGGCTTGGTTTGGTCACGCAACACGGTTGCAGAGATCAAGGGCTCCACGTACCCTGACCAAGTAGGTACCAGTACATGTACACAGTGTGTGAAGTACAATTATTGTATACAATTGTAGTGTGTGCGTGCGTGCATGCATGCGTATGTTGTTTCAGACAACTCTTGAAAACTGAAAGTTCTTGTTTATTTTTGCCATAAGGAACTGTCCATTTTCATTCTACCTTGTATTCTACTATTGTGATTGTCCTGTGTCAGGTTGTGTTGGTCAGTGGTCATTTGGACAGCTGGGATGTCGGCCAGGGAGCCATGGATGATGGCGGCGGAGCCTTCATCTCTTGGCAAGCGCTGTCAGCAATCCACCATCTTGGCCTGAGACCCAAGCGTACGCTGCGTGCTGTGCTGTGGACTGGAGAGGTATGGTATGTAGTATGGTATGTAGTGTTATACTTGAAAGTACGTGTGGTAGCAGTGCCGGAAACTGGCGAAAAGAGACCCCACCATCGCCTCATGCATCACTATCATGTTGGTACCACCAGCCTACCAGTGTCATCTGACATCTTCTACTGACAGGTTTCTTCTTCGCTTAGCTGGTGGTCAAGGTGCTTCTGTGGACGAAAGTAACTCGCAATATCCGTGCCTGTGCTGTGTGCTCTAGATACACAGTAGATAAACCCCGACACAAGTTCTAGTCACACTGCATAACTCGTTTCAGTTTTTTAAAACTTTGATAACACTGCCTCACCGGGAAAGGAAAACGGGAGAACATGAAAAGGACAACAGAGAACAATGGGAGGGTGCGTGCTGCAGGGTAGCCATGTTGGTGAGTCTGGAGGCACTCCACTGACCATTGGTCTCAGCATCAGCATGCCACGAGAGCACCAGAAAAAGGGGATGCATGGAAAAAAGGAAAACAGACGGATCCCGTCGGATCAGATGATGCACATGTAGACAGAGAAAGAAAAGGGAAGAAGAAAAGATAAGAGAGCCAACATACAATAGAGATAGTTGAGAAGAGAAGGAAAGATGACTGGTCGGTTTCACTATTCTCAAGACAGATCATCAGAGTGAAGCTCATGAAACAAGCAAAAAAAACGCAATTTGTTGCAAAGGCGGCTGCCAGCAAATGTAACTATGGCACAAGTGTGCGCCAAGAAGCTAAGGGTCCCAAGGGCAATGGGAGCCTATTTTGATTTTTTTTAGAAGCTGCAATGTGGAAATTGTGTAAGGTGTGCAACAACTCAAGACATAGCCAGAACTTTCAAATCAGAGGCTGTGATGTTCTTATGTATCCTGCAGCAAATAAAGAGAGAGAGAGAGATACACGTGTAGAATAGTCAGACCACTGGCAGTCTCTATTCAGGTGTGAAATTCTGCAGGCCATATTTATTTATTCCCGTAGCTATGCAGAAGACGTTACTTCAGTAACGTCTGGCGCTAGCCAGGGTCCACACAGCTTTAATTTGGTGTTTGTTTGTTTGTTTGTGTCACGGCTGGAGCTATCCCGTATCTGTCCCGTATCTGTCCCGTATCTGTGACTACAAAGGCTCTACAGGATTGTACATAACAGCTGTCCACAATATTTGCGGGCTCCTGTATCTGTCCCGTACCGTACCAATATTCGTCGTATTATGTATACGACTCCCTGATGTAGAGGGAGATTTGGAAAGAAATAGGGAGACGAGGAGGAAATTAAATTAGAATAGACGCCGATTAGGTGATAGGATGCGTCAGCATAAACATACTTTGGAAGAGAGATCCCGTCGTCTCCAAAATAAGCGTGAACGAGCGATTCAGTGCCGGTCACAGGAAACGTCGGAAGAGAGATCCCGTCGACTCCAGAACGCCCGTGATCGGTAGAGTCCGGCGGTACCAGGCAACGTCAGGACAGACTTCCCTTTGAGTCCAGAACGCCCGTGATCGGCAGAGTCTAAGCCGATCCCAGGAAACGTCAGGACAGACATCCCGTCGAGTCCAGAACGCCTGTGATCAGCAGAGTCAGCGCCGGTCCCAGTAAACGTCAGGACAGACATCCCGTCGACGCGCAGAAAAACTAAATCTGCAGCCTCTTTTGCCGTCGAACAGGATACGTATTTATATAGGAGACTGTAAATTTATGTAATGTCCAAATTTCGACGTGAGCAGCAGGTCACTCGCGTTGATTTTTCGACGTGCTAGCCAAATAACGCGAGCTGAACTTTCGCGTCGCAGACATCCCGTCGACGCGCAGAAAAACTAAATCTGCAGACTCTTTTGCCGTCGGACAGGATACGTATTTTAGGAGACTGTAAAGTTATGTAATGTGCTCCACAGGCAACCATGCATTCGGCGTCGTCATTGGCTCAACAGGTCAATGTACATGTATTACTACAAAAAGGCCAGAAAAATCCGATCACTGTATTAAAATCAACTAATGTTCGCTGGCGATTTAATTTCGCTGATTTCGCCGCTTGGTACCAACCGGCCAAAGTAAATCGCAGGCCAACGTTTGTCATATAGGCAAATGATGCATGATTGAGCAATGGATGCATGTGAGAGCAAAAATACCGATCGATTTCAAATTTGACGTGAAACTGCGCGTCACGTCGGAAATAACGTGCATCTTAACCTCTCTAATAGAGAGGTTTCTATTTCTCATCGGCCAAAATTTGTTGATTTACAATATAAGGAGATAAAAAGAAAAGAAGGAGCAAAACAAAAGTAGATGATTATTAGAGAAATAACAATCCGCAATAAATTCTGCAAATACTTTTGCCTAACTCATAATATTCAAACCGATTGAAACTTTTTTGCAATACAGTGATGTGGCCAATCAACGAAAAAGACATTCCCATCAGTTCTTATAACATGTACGATGAGCTAGGCAAAAAAGCATAAAAGCATAGCGTAGGGCCCTGAGCTTCCAAGCTCTCTCGTTCCCGTAGCTATGCAGAAGACGTTACTTCAGTAACGTCTGGCGCTAGCCAGGGTCCACACAGCTTTAATTCCCGTAGCTATGCAGAAGACGTTACTTCAGTAACGTCTGGCGCTAGCCAGGGTCCACACAGCTTTAATATGGTGTTTGTTTGTTTGTTTGTTTGTTTGTGTCACGCCTGGCGCTATCCCGTATCTGTCCCGTACTGTACCGTACCAGCAAAGACAGCTGGCCACAATATTTTTGTTTGTTTGTGCCATCGACATGCCTGGCGCTATCCCGTACCTGTCCCGTACCATCAAGAGTACGGAATCAACAAGAGAATGAGTATATATGCGAAGTGTATGGGGGAATGCATTCAGTGCAGTAACATTTTGTGTGGATTTGTGTGCGAGGCCGAGATCCCACTAGCAGGCTGGCTGGGCCGCCTGTCGACCAGCCCGGGAATCGCATGTAGGCCGATAGCATCATAATTATAACGTATATACAGTCATGTAGATGTATAGCAGGGAGTCATATTATGTAAACGACTCCCTGCTGTATGGGGAGATTTTCTGGAAAGAAATACGAAGTAGGGAGACGAGTAAATGCAATCAGAATGGATGTTAGTTGCCGTCAGTATAATAATAATAAGAAGAAGAACGCCCGTGATCGGCAGAGTCAGCGCCGGTCCCAGGAAACGTCAGGACAGACATCCCGTCGACTCCAGAACGCCCGTGATCGGCAGAGTCAGCGCCGGTTCCATAGCTATGCAGAAGACGTTACTTCAGTATCTCATTAAAACGTGTTTGCAATACAATGATGTAGCTAATCAAAGGAAAAAGCATTTCCATCAGTTCTACCAACATGCACGATGAGCTAGGCAACAAAGCATAGCGCAGGACCCTGAGCTTCCAAGCTCTCTCGTTTGGTATTTGTTTGTTTGTGTCACGCCTGGCGCTATCCCGTATCTGTCCCGTACCATCAAACACAGCTGGCCACAAAGAGCTGGCCACAAGATTTGCTGGCTCCCGTATCTGTCCCGTACCTTACCATCAAACACAGCTGGCCACAAACAGCTGGCTACAATATTCGTCGTATTATGTAAACGACTCCCTGATGTATAGGGAGATTTCTGGAAAGAAATAGGGAGACGAGGAGGAAATGCAATTAGAATGGACGTTAGTTGCCGAGTAGGTGATAGGATGCGTCAGCAAAAACATTTTGGAAGAGAGATCCCGTCGTCTCCAAAATAAGCGTGAACGGGCGAGTCAGCGCCGGTCACAGGAAACGTCGGAAGAGAGATCCCGTCGACTCCAGAATGCCCGTAATGCAGTAACGTCTGGCGCAAGCCAGAGTTCACAAAAACATATATGCGAAGTGTATAGGGGGAATGCATGCAGGGCATGCAGGGCGATGGTGCAGTAACGTCTGGTGCTAGCCAGGGTCCACAAACACAGTGTACAAGTGAGATTTGTTATTATCGAGAGCAGACCACTTTACGACTAATGATTTACATACACAACATCGGGGAGCAAAAGTCTCCATAAGCTGCCACATACCAACTAAATACAAAACCATGCACTTCAAACGAGCTGACTTGCACGCGTGGCCCTTTTCACGAACCCAGACAAAAGTGCATCAGGGGAGCCAAAGCCGGGATCCCGGGTGCCTTGGGGCTAGCCCTTTCCCAAAGGAGATAAAAGGAAAGGAAGGAGCAAACCAAAAGTGGATGAAGTGAGAGAAAAATAACAATCCGCAATAAATTCTGCAAATACTTTTGCCTAAGTCATATTCAAACTGATTGAAACGTTTTTGCAATACAATGATGTAGCCAATCAAAGGAAAAAACATTTCCATCAGTTCACATGCACGATGAGCATAGCATAGCGTAGGGCCCTGAGCTTCCAAGCTCTCTCGTTTATTTTATTTTCCGCATCCGCCGTGGGAACGTCACCACCCTCTAGGATCAAAGGCGCAGATGCACCGCCTAAACGGTGGGAGGTGAGTAGATCAGACCCACCACCAAGTGGCCATACTAGTATCCTATTTGATAGTATGCTGCTGGTCTGTGTTGTTGTTGTTCTGTGTTCAGGAGTATGGAGCCTATGGATCCAAGAAGTATTACCAAGATCACAAGGTATGATAGCCTGTGTACAACACCAGTCATAGTTCAGTTTGAAGCACACTGGACTGGTTTTGCTCTGCATGTCCAATGTTATTATCACTCTTAGGCCACACCGTTTTCTATGTTTTGCCCCCCCCCCCCCCCCCCACATGATTCGAAGCCCTGAGTCAAAAACCAACACTCAAAACACCAGTATCATACCCCCCCCCCCACACACACACACACGACTCGAAGCCCTGAGTCAGAAACCAACACACTGCATCATACAGCATGTAAGTGAGCTATGCCATGTACAGTGATGTATGCGTACACGTAGTTGACTGGCTGTGTTGAATTCATCAGTGCACCGCTACATGTACGTACACTTGCACAGTGACGAATTGCAGTCTGGTTCGTAGTGGGTGCTGCTGCGGTTGCTGTGTGTGCGGGGGGGGGGGGGGGGGGGGGGTGCGTGCGTGTTGGTGTGTGCATGCGTAGGGAAATTAGCAGGTTATGGATGTTGAAGTAAATCCCTAAATCTGGTCGTGTACATGTACGTGTATAGTATTTGCCGAATGGAAGTCTTACACCTTTTTACACTTTATTACTGGGCCAGCAAAGGGGGTACCCCGGGTGCGACTTACAATCGAGCATGACATCAAAAACGATAAGGACATGGACCTGGAAATAGAGGGTCGACTTACAATCGAGTGCACCGTGCGACCTACAATCGAGGAGATACGTATGCCCTTTTGCCGTTTGCGTGTGCACATGTTGTTAGTGCTGTGTTTGGTTGTGCTGTGCAGAACGAGGCTCATCTGATGAACATAGTGATGGAGTCGGACATTGGAACGTTCCAGCCTCTGGGTTTCCGCTTCACTGGTTCTTCCGAGGCCAAGGGTATTGTGAGCGAGATCATGCGGTACATGCAGCCGTTCAACGCTAGCAGGGTGCTCAATGATGCTGACGGCTCGGACATTGAGATGTGGCTTGCTGACCGCGTGCCTGGCGGTAGTCTTCTAAATCAGAACGATAGATATCACGACTTTCACCATTCCAATGGTGAGTTTGTAGGTTGTGCAAACGGGGCTACATAGAAATAGGATAGTGCAACATTTGATACTTTTACAGAATTATACCGAACACAGCACTTGACATAATTATACCGAACACAGCACTTGACTATCGGGTGCGTAAATATTCATCTGTACACACAATGTGTGCACGCATTCGTAATGCAGTATTTACAGCCAGAAAGGTTTTGCTCAGCAGCATTAATACCGCCTCCAGGGTGCCAGAGGCTGCTGGAGTGCAGGCGTCAAAGGTGCACTTCGGGCCGGATTTCATGTAGCGCAACAACAGTAATTCTGTGAGCCTAATTTGATGACTACCAATGGCAATGCTGAGCCAGCCCAGCTCAGTGTGCTTGATCGAAGTCTGTGCTAGTATTTGTGCACCTCATACTCATAGATCGCTGTTGTTTGTTACTGTATTGTTTCATGTGTCCTGTGCTGAAATCCAGGTGACACCATGACTGTGCAAGATCCCACCGAGATGGATTTGTGTGCAACACTTTGGGCAGTTGTAGCGTACTGTCTGGCGGAGATGGATGAAATGCTTCCGCGCTAGCGTGTCCCCAGCTTTTCAGTGGCATCTTTCTGGCTTTCTAATAGACTACGTGTATGCTCGTCCTGGTCCAAGCATCCTTTTGGACATTGATAATCGGATAAGAGTGGACAATATCCTCCCTCCCATCCCCTGTGCTATTTTTATTTTGCTTTCACCCCCTGTGCTATTTCTTTTTGCTTTCTTTTGCAGTTCATATTCATCAGACTCCAGCTGTAGGATCATCGCCATCACACATTGTACCATTGTGGCAGCATGCAGAGTAACGTAATAATATACTTGTAGAAATGGAAACATTGAATTACTTGCTCTATTCAACATACTAGGAATTCAATGTTTCCATTTCTATAATACTTTTTTAGAAGTTTTCTTTGTGCGCGCTGTGGCTAGCAACCGACCTCTTTTTTACCTACAGATCTACGTTTGCGTGCGTTGGTCCCAACAGCTTGCACACACAACTTCCGGCAACATTTGTGCGTGCTTTCATAAGTTTGTACAGAAGTGTGTCTGCACCAGAAAGTAGTAAACATATTTTACTGCTCCCTGGTCTGCACTAGTCTCGGAAACGTCTGAAAAATATCTGTACATTGCATTTCAAAAGTGACGTCAACTTGAAATTTTGCCGGGGGAAGTTTTGCAGGCTTCTATACAAGACAGGTATTTGTATGTCAACACTAAAGCCAGGCTTATGACATAAGCCTGGCTTTAGTGTTGTGCCGACAATGTATCCTGAAAATCAAGCTTCTATTCAAAACAGGCTTTAACGCGCCGCACGTGTATCATTGGGTGATGAGTAGGCATTTCGCTACACTCATCTGCACCAACTGTTACTGCAATCCAATCCTATTATTTCTACCGAGACGGAGACATCTGAATGCAAGCCACATGCTCTGAATTGCACCAGAACATCGTTGTACAAGGGCCGGCCGGGCGCCGCACGACTCCCTGGTTTCAATTCCTCATTGCTGTATGATGTTGTCAGTGAACTGAACCGATACACAATGCAATTGGAAAACTATTCAAAATGATAAACCGGGGAGACAATAAATAGAATCTAGGTCTCACGCAGCAGCGCCTACAGCACGGAATAACAGGGAACTGAATGATGACTAAATTGGACAAAATACACAACTACTAATCTCAGAGGGATGGTTTGCTGGTGTAGCTTGGAAAGCGCATGCATTGTGTGTAGGGAGAGAGGGGGGTAGGTGGGCATGCTCTGTTATCACCTAGGTTGTCAACAAAATTGTACGCATCATCACTTCCAGTAGGACCAATCTCGCAGGATACATTCTCAAGAAAAATGCTGCACGCGGAAAATAATTACGTGATCAATGCACTGCACGGACAGAATTGTTCTAAATTAATAATTTACAAGGACAAAAGAAGGACAGTGCTGTCTCATCAGTGGTGTGCAGCCCCGCCAGTTCCAGGGTAGCTTAGCGCGGAAGCATTTCATCCATCTCCGCCAGACAGTACGCTACAACTGCCCAAAGTGTTGCACACAAATCCATCTCGGTGGGATCTTGTACAGTCATGGTGTCACCTGGATTTCAGCACAGGACACATGGAACAATACAACAACAAAAGTTGACAAGCATAACCTAAGCCACCACATTACACATCAGGGACACACACAAGTAAAGATGGGACATGCATGGTGAAAGCATGCAAGGAGCAAACAAATCTGTGCCAGCAGTGAACTGCGGGAAGCAATGGGGAGGATTTCACGCCACAGAACTAACCAAAGCTGTTTTCCATGACAGGTCTGGAATGTTCCAGAACAAAAACACTTCCCTATTAAATGTATTGTTGCAAACTGCCTTGTTCTCCAAGCCACCCACTACTTACCATTGCCTTTTAATAATAGCCCATTGGCATAGCACACTTTTTATCGGTTCTTTTAATGAATTTTGGTATTATTTTGTTTTATTATCCCGCTTAGATTTTGGCATTCTGTATTACAATTAATTTGGTGGTTTTCCCAAATAAAGCTTTGCAGTACTGATCAGCAGAGTCATAATCATTGTTACTACTTACCATTGGAGTGGTGGTAGTAGAAGTACTTTTCATTCTGGTTCTCCAGACTACCGCCAGGTACGTGTTTGTTGAACCACCATTCAATGTCTGTACCATCGGCGCCGTCGATCACCTTGCTAGCATTGAACGGCTGCATGTACTGCATGATCTCACTCACAATACCCTTGGCCTTGGAGGAACCAGTGAAGCGGAAGCCCACAGGCTGGAACGTTCCAATGTCCGACTCCATCACAATGTTCATGTTATTGGATTCATTCTGATCAGCAAATGAAAATTAATAATAATAACAACAGCACAGCCCATACACACATGGCCCAATATCTGAGAAAATCGACCTTCGGGGCTGTTTTGGTGAAATTGATTTTTTTATTGCAAATTGATGTCTAGCCTTTGTAGAGTATTGTGACTTCGTTTTACGGCCATCAGACCAATATTGACCATGTAGAAATGCATTTTACAGTCAGGAGGCATGTTAATGAATTGTTCTTTTTTTTTACAATTTTGAAAGATCAGTAGGTTTGGAGCCACCAAAAATTGTTTCCATGTAATATCAATAGCCAACTACTATAGTAAAGTGTTTTGACTGTTCAGGTACTTTATTTCCAGCATTCCGTGACTTTATTGAGGTTGCGTAGTTGCAACAGCAGCAATAGCAGCATTAGAAGGAGAGGTGATTTATCTGTTCTCCTGGTGATGGATATGCTTGACAGGATAGTCTGCAACAGATTTTGACGGAACACCATGATACATGTAACAGCATTCACATACTTATTGTGAAGGAGTCAAACAGAGCAAATGCGTCCAGATTCGCCTTGTTGCACTTTGTGGAGACTGACCATTTCCAAACATCAGTAACACAGCCTGACAAGCGTTTCACACCACCAACTCAAAAGTAACAGAATGTTACTCGAGATTGCCCAGCCTCACGTGCTCCGTGATTGTCTGATTCGCCATTATTAGCTCGAGTATCGAGCTTGCCATCCAAAACATTTTAGGTTCATCGTCGCAAAGAAAACTCGCATCATTTCGTGCTGTTTTAGCAGGTCTGGCGGGACACTCAGGAAACAGTTCTGCCACCCGCGCAAGGCCGGCCAGCGACCTTGCAAGCGGCGTACCCTCAGGAATCCACCTGGTTGTCCTTGCCTGGAGCTGTAGCAGCTATCGCTGAGGCAGACTGTGGTTGGCCTTGATCATACTCATCCAGGCCAAGTCCTCATCATCGTCGCCCCCGACAGGTAAGTACCGCTTGTCACTTGCGATCGATTCGCCTGACATGCTCTCTCAGAACTAGAAGCGCTGTCGCCGCTTGACCGGATATCCACAAAGAACGATGCATCACCGTCCATGGGATCGCGGCTGCTGTGCTCCGTGAGCCCAATAACCAACTGACACAAGAATCGCCTTCAATTTTCTTCCGCCATTGTCGTCTCTGCACTTTGCTTTGACGGAATCGATTTTTTTGCGAACAAATTTGTTTTTAGTGTTTTCTCAAAAAACCCGCGTAGCCCCGAAGGTCGAAAGTCTCAGATATCGGGCCACATTACATTTAAAGGGGAAGTATACCCTAAAATCAAATTTTCACCAGTTGTAGTCTTCTGGGTGCTGAGTCGAATGGTCTTGGTCCGAGGAAGCTGCGACGCTCCCTTCCTACTTGAATCCCAATCGAACTCGCGCACTTCCACCGAAACTGGGTGACTGCGCCCTACTAGATGGGGATTTGTATGCAAAATGTCACTAAAAGCGCCATTTCGTTCTTATAAAAGCACGGATGACCGCGATTGGCCCATATGTTGTAGTCTTTTGGACGCTGAGTCGACTGGTTTTGGTCCGAAAAGGCTGCGAAGCAGCGTTCCTCCTTTATTCCCAATCGAACATGGTTGAACAAGCGGTCACGTGCTCCTGGGTGCCCAAATCACCTGGTCACCACGCCAGCAGGCGACAACTTTCACACCAAGGTTCAACTCGAGTTCAACTCGAGTGACAGGACTGCACCCAAAAAAGGTGAAACAGGCTAGTAAGTTGTACCCTGCAGGCACGATGACCAGGTGACTGGTGTACGCAGGAGCACGTGACCGCTTCTTCAACCATGTTCGATTGGGAATAAAGGAGGAACGCTGCATCGCAGCCTTTTCGGACCAAAACCAGTCGACTCAGCGTCCAAAAGACTACAACATATGGGCCAATCGCGGTCATCCGTGCTTTTATAAGAACGAAATGGCGCTTTTAGTGACATTTTGCATACAAATCCCCATCTAGTAGGGCGCAGTCACCCAGTTTCGGTGGAAGTGCGCGAGTTCGATTGGGATTCAAGTAGGAAGGGAGCGTCGCAGCTTCCTCGGACCAAGACCATTCGACTCAGCACCCCGAAGACTACAACTGGTGAAAATTTGATTTTAGGGTATACTTCCCCTTTAATGCTCAGTAGATACCGGTAAGTGTATCTTCGCAGCAGCAGCAGCAGCAGCAGAAGCGTTGACTTTGTGCAGCCCGAGTCCAGGAATGTCCGTACAATGTGTATACGTGCAGTGGAACCTCACTAAGGATGAACACTGATAACGTTAGCTGATAAGACCAACTTACAGGAGGAACTGCACAGCCATTACTTGCACATGTACATGACTGTACACATCGCCAGGCAGGAACATGCACAGTCGACCGAAGGCCAAGGGCATTTTGTTTATGGCATTTTCAGAGTCTATTGACTGTCGCTTCACAGGCAATGCCGGAGTGGATTCAGTGGGTACCGCCAGCTACTACTATGATCTGTGGATGCAAAGTAACACTGAGATTACTCCTATAGTGGCCAACAAATTGCTCAGTCTCTTCATGATCGGGCTAATGAGTTTGAGCGCAGTGCATTAATGCAATGATGGCCTCGACTGTTATCTTCCATGTGCTTGCTCATCATACCTGGTGGTCTTCGTAATACTTCTGCGAGCCGTATCCTCCGTATTCCTGAACGGGAAGTAACACACCAGAACACCTGGACTTGCTTCAACGCAGGACTCTACGCGGTATGACGATGGCATGGCATCACAAGGTGGGTGACACATACTGTATAGACAGCAATGTTCCTGACTGCAACCAGAATGCTTTCCAGACAGTGTATCCTCCACCTTGTGATGCGCTGTCATCACCATACCGCGTGAACTACCAAGCAAGGCCTACGCATACCAAGACAACACTAGTGCGAGGCAATCTACATGCCTCATCAAAAACACAACAAGAAAAATTAGACACGCTCACACCATGCTGAAAACAGGGTACACCATCTAGTTTTAGAGGAAGTCAAACCAAACTATACAAAACACTAGGGCATACAGACATTGAAGTTGACTGGTTATACTTGTACTGCACCCAGGTCAACAGTGAGATGTAAGTGGCTGCGAAAAGGAATCCTACCTCTCCAGTCCACAGCACAGCGCGCAGCGTACGCTTGGGTCTGAGACCAAGGTGATGGATTGCTGAAAGCGCTTGCCAAGAGATGAAGGCTCCGCCGCCATCATCCATGGCTCCCTGGCCGACATCCCAGCTGTCCAAATGACCACTGACCAACACAACCTGACACAGGACAATCACAACAGTAGAATACAAGGTAGAATGAAAACGGACAGTTCCTTATGGCAAAAATATACTTTCAGTTTTCAAACACTGCCGAGTTGCCTGAAACAACACATGCATGCACGCACGCACACACTACAATTGTATACAATAATTGTACTTCACACACTGTGTACATGTACTGGTACCTACTTGGTCAGGGTACGTGGAGCCCTTGATCTCTGCAACCGTGTTGCGTGACCAAACCAAGCCATGGTTCTTTGCCTCCATTTTCACATTGACAACTATCTTAGTACCTGAAAAACACAAGCAAGAAAGCGAACATAAAATGAACTTTAAGTTTAAAGTTTAAACACACAACACTATGAAGAGAATGAGCTACACAGTCATCACTGGTACACGCACACGCCCGTGCACGCACGCACACACGCAGACACACATACACCCATACACACACCCACATGCACGCACGCGCGCGCGCACACACACACACACCCACACACACCCACGCACACCCACATGCCATCGCAGGGCAGGCTTATCCAAGTATGATTTTTTGTGTTGCTCTTCAGTTGGGTTACATCACTGAAAGAGTTATTACACACAACAAGAGAAGCAGTCACTATGTACAAGAGAAGCACAGAGTAAACATCTAATTATGACAATAGTACATCAAACAGAATATTGATCATTGAGTGTTGACTGATTTGTCTGTTTCAACTTTCAAGCAGGTAAGTAAGAAGCTTCCCCTGTGATATCATCTTTTGTATGACTTCAAGTACACAGACGAAGCTGTGCCTGTTAATTGCGAGCAAACAAGTGACTGTTTCCTTGTGCTCAATACAAGAAAAGCAGCTGCCTCTGCTACCTACCTCTGGTTGCCATGCGATCCAGCATCTCCGCATCCTCCACTGTGATGCAAGCTGCAGGCACCTTCTCAACACCATCTTCATAATCCTGAGAGCACCACACCACACCAAAACACAATACAATATTCGTGTAGGTTAGGGCCCATTGCAGGGCAATCAACAGGCACGGACAAGTGAAACACAGTTGACAAACTCGGTGAAACACGAGTACGGACAAAGTATGAAGCGCTTGATCAAGCAAAAAAATAAACAGACAAACTGCCATTTCATTGTGGTTCCCAGTAAATTCCACAAATTGTAGTAAAAAAGTTCACATACATGTGCGTGTACATAGTATTGTATTGTATGTACAGAGGAGTGTGACATGTATTGTATGGTGTTCTTATTAATTAGTACAGTGTTTTTTTGTTTTGTTATTGTTTTTCTCCTTTTGAATTGAGTTTATTGAGTTTATTGATTGAGTTTATTTTTAATTATAAAAAAATTGATGAGGTTTTTTTGGTTTGGGTTTGAAATTCTTTATTTTACACATGCATTTTTCTGATTAATTTTCTTCTCCAGTGTATGATTTATTGCATTTTAAACCATTGTGTTAATTTGCCCGTAAAAGAGGCCATGTATGGTATGTACAGAGGAGTGTGCATGTAGAACGGAGAACAAGAACAGAACGCCTACCTGCACACCGGTGTGTGGGCTGTTGATGGAGAATGGTGTGACGGAGCGGATCAACGCGGCCACTGCACCGACCTTGGCCGCCTCTGAAGCACCGTGCGACCGGTAAGCCACGGAAATGCCATAGCTGACCCAGACTTGATTGTAGACAATAATCTTGCCTCGAGCCTGTACAGAGATGACAAACGTAGGAACACAGCGAGTTCAAAAGGAATCCCCGAAAGGCCCTTGTCACCAAGATCACATTATCCAAGCAAGGTAAATTGAGTGCAGTACTAGTAACACTTTCAATCAGAGAGGATTAAAACCTTTTTTAATTGGTCCCTTTTACTTGTAAAGCCCACCACATACACTGTAACCTACATCACAAGCATTTTTTACTTGCAGTACAACAGATAGTTTGCATGAGACTAGGCAGACGGACTTTTCGCATCCGCAGGAAAGTCACCGGCCTCAAGGATCTGCACGTAGGCGCAGATGTATCTCCTAAAGCACTCAAATCAATATAGCTACACAGCATGATATCGGATAGTGGCAGGTACAGCTATGCTTCCAAGTACCTCTTTGCTCCGGTTGTGCAGCTCATCGAAGGACCGGACGACAAGAACCTCGGCTGTGATTCCTGAAGCACAAAGCAAGCACACGGCACATAGTTCCAAGTTGCTGGCCATCTCAAAATCGGCAACACACACACACACACACACACACACACACACACACACACACACACACACATGCACACCCGTGTGAAGCAACAACGATCACACTCTCGCCTCGCCACAGAACAAGCAAATGCAATGTTCAAACGAATGTGCAAAATTCGAATTTTCAAAAACAGGTCTTCGGCCACCACACTGCAGTGCACATCACACACAGGTTTTCACAGATTGTTTACGCGCCACAAACTACAGTCCATTCACAAAAAGATGGGCCCTGGCTCTGGCGAGCTCCCGTATTTGGCGATTTAGAAGATTTCATCGTACACAGTACAGTGCTGGGAAATTTGAAATTTGAAAAAGGGTCCAAAAAGGGTACCTGAACTGGGGTTCGAACCGCACAATGCACTGTTGCAGGCGGGGTCAAACGGCCTGGATTTTGATGGTTTTTCCCAATTCAGTGCGCTTGGGGCAAAACCTGGCCGAAATCCTATTCTTGCTACGGCTTGCTTTATGGAGAAATAGACTTCAGAAACAGAATTGGAAGAGGATTCCATAGGGGATTGCAGAAAAAAATTGTAAAAAAACTCAACGTTTGACCCATTTATGGCCAAAAGCTAGAAGTCCATCTTTTTCTGAATGGACTGTAGATACGGCACCATTGCCCCTGATATTAAAGGCTACACATAGTGAAGAAGAGGTCAATGCCGTCATGTATGAAACGAACATGCTTTTGCTTGCACACAGTCCTGTAGCTCAGTGGCCATGGCTTGCTGATATTTAGTGTCATCAGTTCTCCGTCCTCCTCTCAAAGTAAGTCGCTCAATGGAAAATTAATTCCACCAGGGTGTCATAAAAGGTGAGCAAGGCATTTCTTCCACACTTCAACTAACATTGACCACAGACAAGCCACAATTAAACAATAACCGTTTCAGAGTTACCGGTGTTTTACGGACCTCCAAAAGCGAACACAATTGCATTTTCATAATTATTCGTGTCTTGGCTGAGCAACTAGAGTTTTTAACGAATCTCCGTGTTGAGTGCGGAAAGGAAGGCACTATGATTGTGCTCTGTGCGACCACTTTAGGATGAACACGAAAAGACATGCTCACGATAGGGGTAGCTTTTCTTACCCGCATGCACTTGATACGCGGTGAATACACAATAGTTTGGCCAATACAGGCACAGATCGGAGGAAAACCCTCAAACGTCGACACTCCATGAATGCACCGTGTGTGTGGGGGGGGGGATCTCAGTACACACTACAATACATTGTAGTACATGTAGAAGCCTCACCTTCAGCAGAAGTACCGACACTCGTACCGAGGCCCATCATGGCCAGATTCTGATTGCGCGGTTCAAGAAGAGTAGCAGACTCCTTGCCGCGCACCCAGAGAGGGACCTGTCAACAACAAACAGTGGAGCAGCTTCAGAAAAAGAGCACCGCAATGCCACCTCGGGTAAAGCATACAGTGTAAGGCTATCAAAGAAGAAGAAGAAGAAGAAGAAGAAGAAGAGGACCACTAAAACGTGTCTACATCCAGATCGTTCTCAATTAGGCGCCACTCAGTACTATTAACACTGCTAACTGTTACGTGCAAGGACAAAATCATGCACAGTAGACGTGGGTTCACATAACCGTGCTGCATTCTCATACCGGATACTGGCTGTTCTAAAGGCATGATGACGAGAGTTCATTAACTAGTGCGTATGGATAAACGCACGCGTTTCAGGCATACAGATACACGCGTAAAACCTTTCATAACATTCCGCAGGGGAAAATTCACTTATAATTTTTGGACTCAGATGGAGAGCCAAGGATTATTTATAAAAAGTAAAAAGGACCAAGGAACTACAAGTTACACTATAATGTCCACTAACACCACCAGTTACTAAACAATCAGCTCATGAGATAACATTGCACGACACTGACCGACGGTACTGACGTTCTACAACTAACTCCTTATGTTATTTGAACTTATTTCTATAACTTAGAACCTTCCAAGTTGGAAGGCTGTTGGAGTGCGCATCCAAGATGTGCTAGAGCTGTTAGCCAGTTAGTTGCAGTTTCTGCTACCCATTTCTGAAGTTGCTCCACACCTGCAGAAACTGCGATGCATGTTGTGCTTTCACTGTACTCTATGATGCACAGTGTGCATGCCAGGTGTGTCTTTTAGGGATGAAATAGATGCATAAAACTGCGAAAGTGCTGAGCTAGGCATCTTGGCACCAGGATAGGCTTGCAACTAAGGTGTTAGTGTACTTATGGACTGAGCTTGCACTCTGATCTTTTTGTTTTATAGAAAAAAAGGAGCAAGGAACTACAAGCTACGCTATAATGTCCACTAACACGACCAGTTTCTAAACAATCAGCCCATGCGATAATATTGCACGACACTGACCGACAGTACTGACGTTGTACAACTAAGGCTGTGTTTACATGAGGCGTTTCAACCCGGGTCAGATTTCAACCCGCCATGTGCACAAAATGAATGGCGCGTTTACATGACGCATTGCGCTTGACCCGGGTTGATTTCAACCCTCCCCCCAAGGGGAGGGTTGAAATCAACCCGGGTCAAGAAAATCATACGAACGTACTTCTGTGCGTATCTCGCGCCAGGTTTGAACAGCACTGCACATGCAAATTTCGCGCGAACGGATTTACGTGATCATACAGGACTCTAGAAGTGGACTTTTGGCGGCATATCAGTATTTGACCCGGGTCAACTGTCTTCATGTAAACGCTCACCTATTTTGTCTATCGTACAGACTTTCAACCCGGGCTGAACTCGACCCGGGTTGAAATTTCTCATGTAAACACAGCCTAACTGGCTAACAGCTCTAGCACATCTTGGATGCGCACTCCAACAGCCTTCCAACTTGGAAGGTTCTAAGGTATATGATAACATAGGAGGGGAAGGTGAGCGCAACCAAGACAAGCACGAGCTGAAGGTCTCAGCTGTGAAGGACGTTGTCAGATGTTCATGCATGTCGATGACGATAATCGCAAGACTATTGGACAATATGGTCAAACCACGATTCAAGGACGCTAAGCAACATTCCACACAACTTGTGTGGCTCAAAGATGCGAAGATCAATAAAAGGGGAAGCAATGCGAACAAGAATCATGCAAAACCGAACGCCTCAGTAAAACAGCACTGTACTTCGACTATGACAATTTAGATGGTGTTAGTGGACATTATAGCGTAACTTGTAGTTCCTTGGTCCTTTTTCTTTTCCATAAATTTATCCTTGGCTCTCCATCCGATTCTTTTAGTTTTTTTGTTCACACAATTGGTACTTTCTATCACTACTTTTTATGGTCACCTCATTTACAGGTGTTATTTCTCCCCATTTTGATGAATTTCACTATAATAGACCTCTGTCGCATTTGTGTCTTTCGGGGACATCAACCTTTCTGCAATGATCCTAAAGCAATGTCTGACAGGACAATCATGACTCTACCTGCGCTCTCTCGCCATGAACATTATCCAGACCATCTGTCTTCATTGTGTCCAGCATGTAATCTACACAACAGCATAGCAAGCCGATACAAAAGTGGAGCAAGGAGAGAACGTTAGAAACATGAAGTGCCACTGATGAACATCATCTGCACAATGTTGAGCCTGAGGTGGTTCTGTACAATCCGCCACACTCACTTCTTCCGCTCTATGCCTGTGTCAGCGTCGTCATTCGACAATGCTGTCACCTGGTTTCTGCAGCAGGACTGCAGTGGATGATCGAGGTGGCTGGATTGCGAGCTTGGTGTACATGTACATGTAACTACTGGGTGTAAATTTATTTTAACCCAGACAATGCCAGATTGGCATTAAAATGCTGTGAACACAATAGCCGTTCACTTCAGCATCAGCAACTTGGACAGCAGTAGAAGCGAAGCAACACAAGTCCAACTTGGAGTTGTTGGCACAAGTCAATATGGCAGACACAGTAGAATCCCGATCATCCGAACGTCAACTATCCAAATGATCAATTATTATCTGAGTTTTCACTGATTTCCCTGCCCGAAGCACCTTTCAAATGGTACACAAGACACACCGAAACAGGCCGGAGCCAAACGCACCCCTGTGGTGCCATTTTGAGGATCTGGAGTGCGTCCAGTTCCTGTGGGAATGCCGAAGAGAATGCGAAATGATGAAAGCATGAGGGATGTGTATGTTTTAGATGGATGTGTGACCACTTCTTTAACCAAAAATACGCCTCCGACCCCCCCCCCCATGGAGATAGTCCCGTGGCCCAAGGCGTATAGATAACCGGCACTCGACTGTAAAGCTAGCATGGACACAACGCCCAGCCGAAAACTCACCAATGGCATTCTCAAGGTTTGCTGTGCCGGCTAAGCGATTTCCAAACGTATCCGTGAACTTTGCCAAGCGATCGTACACCTACACAATGGGAATAAAACAGTACAAGTAAGAAAAAGAAAAGGTGCACTTCAGTACGGAATGACTCAGATAACAACAATTACCGGGAAGTAAAAGTCAAACGTGTTCACACCACACAGAAAAAATAGAAATAAAAAATGCCCCAGGGGAGGCTCGAACTCCCGACCTTCGCATAACTCAGCAACAGTCTGCACTGCATATAAGTACGACGCGCTAACCGACTACGCTACTGGGGCGGTGAAGTCTAGAGCAATATGGAACCGTACAAGTCAGCTGTATGTCAGTTGTGGAACATGTCGATTTTTCCATTCTGCATCATGTGGCCATTTCTTTTCTTCTCCCTCCTGCCACCTCGCATAGACATTCGAGAGGTTCCGTACAACATAATTACGTTCGTAACAAGCATAGTCGATGAAGGGAAAGTCTTACGTAGTATCAAGAGTTCATGAACTCTTGGTAGTATCAAGAGTACATAACCCAAGAGTGTGCAACTCCAGCTATGGGGTCTGCGACGGCAGAACTTCACATCACGTGATGAACCCGTGCACTCTAGTGCATGATAGATACTGGGTTGTACGCAGCCCAGCTTTGGGTACAACTCTCTTGTGGTCACTTTGCACTGTTCAGTCCGTGCGCCAAGGGGTACTCAAGGGCTGATTTTATTTGCAACCGCGGGAAACGAAGTCACCAAGACGCCTTCATTTGAGGCTTTTGGAATTGGAGAATTTATTGAATTTAGGTATGGCTCTCGTCCCTTCTAGAGAACTAACCAAGACCCTGTGGGGGCAGAAGGAGACTTCTTTGGCTCCGTGAATACACTAGCTATGCGGTGGTCTAGTTAGTTTGAGTGTGTGGTTCGTATTCAAAGTGTTCCAAGCCGCAGTTCACTCGAAGGTCATCGTGGATACGTCTGCACTTGAAAATCAAGGCTGGAAAGGACTGCCCGGTGTGTCCGAACGGTATGTTTTGCACTGAAGGCATTTTTTGTATGAATTGTTGAAAGTGTCTACTTGTTCGAAATGCAAAAGACATGGTCGTAGATCCTTGGCCCACAACACCCCACTAAATAAACTATGACCTGTCGTGAAATTATGTGAAATTGATCAACACAATCATACACAAATTATCCTATGGCAAAGTACTGCAAATGCAAATAATAGCATCCCTTTACCTAGGTCATGTTTGTAGGGCCTTATGCCACATCTTTGCATGATTTCCTCATGCAAATCGGGTGCCTAGCTTCGAAAACACATTGCGCTAAGTGCCGAATATATACCTGTGAATCAGAACAACAGCACTCACTATTGCTTTCATGAGTGGTAATGGTCAGCTGAAAGGAAACTTCTATCCATCAACTCATAAGTAAAGTAATGACTAATCTCCTTGCTGCGCATGTGGTTCCTTCGTATTTACATGTACCGTAAAGTACCGCCAGAGCGCCCCACCATCTCGTCCTTTCGGGGTCGTATTGTGGGGGTGGTCTCCGGTCTGTAGGTTATACGACACGAACTTTGTACACATATTGCACGTTCTGCAGACAATCTGTGCCTTCGAGCGGACACGAGCTCCACACAAAAACCTGCTTAGTGTGACCTTAGTACACTAAGTTGCTCACACCGTACGAACTTCGTTGCACTCTGCCACACGATTTTCCTTTCCCTGGCTGTATTATATAAATCTGTCGCAGCAAAATCAAGGTGGGGCGCTCTCGCGGTACTTTACGGTATGTGCGCCTCTCTGTGTTCGGTGAATGATTTTGAATATTTGCGCACGACTTCAGGATAGTGCACATTGTATGCATGTACCTGCATATGTAATCCTTTCATGATTTAAAAATTAGGAGCCGTGCTTCTCATCACCGTGGACAAGTAAATGTCGGCCAATTACGTAGCGTTTGGAGATTTGCACAAGTACAGTTGCGTGTCGATTATGCGGCAACCGCGGAATAAAATGAATATTCTGGACGACTGAAGCTACAAAGCCATCTTGTGTTAACTTAACAGATAAAAAAGACAGTACTTCGAAGTACCTGTATTTATCACTAGTATTACCCTGAGACAGTCGTGCTCATCTCTAGAGACTGGCTTGTATTTAACTTTACGTAATGGCAACTTTCATGATGCTGACTGTCTACATTTACTTGAAGTAGGACTATAAATACTAAATATAAGGTCTATAAGCTGTCAGTGCGGTGCTGTTGGATACCCGACATGCCATGTGACTGACCGCCAGATACTAGTAAACGACATGCGATTGTACCGGTCACAGTGTAGCTGGGTTTTCACGAAAATTTGAAACTTATACGATTGTGAGAAAAGTTCAGAAACCACACTTACACATACACACACACGCACGCACACACACACACACATGCGCGCATGCGCGCGTGTGCACACACACACACACCTGTCCTGTTCTGTTGAGCCACTACCACAACTTAGCACAAGGATCGCATCGGCCCCAAAGGGGCAGTAGAGCGAAAGTGAGAGGTGTTGGCTTCGAGTTCACCTATCTCTACGGTGAACGCAACCTCGATCGAAAGTCATGCCAAACGGATTTATCTACCACACGCGCGCGCGCGCGTGCGCGTATACAAAACGGAGGAAGGATTACTTACTCTCCCTGTATGATGTTTCTGTTGTATTCGTGAACAATGTCATTGATGTTTTTCCATGCATGTTTTTGAATATGCGAGCATAACTTCCAACATCAAGCACATTCTTGCTTCTCATCAGCATGTACAAGTTTATGTTGGGCAGTTATGTAGCGTTTGTTTTACCGGCTGCGTTTGTTTTACCGGCTGCGTTTGTTGGTGCTTGCAGGTCATTGGCATGCTGTCTGTTTCACAGAAGCTCGTGTAACAGGTTCACCGTACAGCTATGAATGCAATGTAGCGTGTTGAAGCCACTTCGGTATGACGTGATGCCTAATTTCCTGGTTGTACCAAAATTGCGAGTATGCAAGTGATCGTCAAGCCTGCCCCTGTACAGTAGCCGTCTTGCCTTGTTACGCCTGGTTCTGACTCTGCGTTCTCGTTTACTCCATGCAATGTTACAAGGAATACTGCTCCCTTCTCAAGCAATTCATTGGCAACAAAACGCTCGGCTATGCCCTGTAACTTTGCTGTGCGGTTTGTGCTTTGTCAATGTTGTGTACCAGTTCATGATCTGTGCTTGCTGGTCTGTTTGTTTTCTCTCGCACAATTGAGGCGCTGTAGCACAGTGTACAGTGTCGATCATCCTGCCCAGGCTCTGATTTCACGTACCACAGTACGGTTTCTCTTGTTGCTCACTGTAATGTGCATGATACAAGCTCCTTGGTACTCCATCATCACCTGGTGCTGTTGCTGCCATTGTTGGACCCTGCTGATATCCTTCTCGCAATGCCTGAACGTTGTTCCAACAAATGCACAACTCGCTCTTAGTTGTCACATTCGGTTTGGTCTCGTTCCAGTCTTTCGAATTGAGTGAGTGCGTAAACTTGTATGAAGTGGTGGAGCAAAAGCCGTGTGCCGGCAAACATTCAATGTCCGGGTGTAATGACGCACCAAGGTCCCGGGACTTGCGTCCAATTCCTGAGTGATTTTTGTGTGCCTAGCCTCTAGGTATCATACCATATTTGTTTGGTTCAACCGTTTTGGATGCCCACTGCAATACCATTCACTGTATTATGTGTGTATGTTATCCAAGAAATCTCCCATATTTTTGGGTGGACAAACCTCGCCATAAGTCAGTAACCTGGCATTTTGCACTAACAGAACTCCTAGGATATCAGCGCCGTCTCAGTACCTGGGGACAGTTGTAAAGAAAAAGAAAAAATATCCTTGGCCCACAATGCCCCACTAAATAATCCGAAGGGTGTCGCGAAGACGACAATTTCCTTACCTTTCTTTCGTGGACGAAAAAAGACACTTCGCTTCGTCCGTTGCGCATGAAACGAAACATGAGGGTAGTGTTTATCAATTAGAATAGGTATCATGCACGAAGGAATGGCGAAAAGGTACTATGCTCGAGCGCTGGTCGTCGTCTTGTTTGTCAATTTTGAGTCCCATTGAGAATTTTCTTCTCCAGACCTCTCAAATTTCCCGCGGTTGCAAATAAAAGTGCAACTTCTAGACGACTTTTTTGAATTTGGCGCACGGACTGTGTTTGCCAGCATAACCTTTTGAACCATGTCACGTGATGTGAAGTTCTGCCGTCGCAGCACAGCATAGAGGTTGTGCAGGCAGTTGCACACTCTTGGTTATGTACTCTTGGTAGTATGCATACTGATCCGTGTTCCGCCATATGGAGTTTTCGAATCACACAGCTGACTTTGGCAACTCCGAAAGTGGCAGTGTTCGACCTAGAGAGAGAGTCATACATTTGTACCCCAATCCACATACGGAGCACCTCCGTTAGAGCCCCACTTACGTAGGCAAGTTTCCGTAAGTGGAGCGCAAACTCACGAATTCACGGGTTTTCCCACCCACTAACGTAAAGGTGCTAAACTACAGTCCATTTCAAAACTATAGACGCGTAGTGTTTTGCAAAATTCGATGGGATTTATTTAAAATTTTTAGTTTTTTCTCCAGATTCCGTCTCTGCATCGCTTCACAATTCTGGCTATATACTTTGTTTTCGCTACAATTGAAGTTTATTTTTTAGGCAAGGTTTCCGGTTTTACATGACATGTAAAACCGGAAACCTTGCCTAAAAATAAACTTGTAATCAAGAGTTCATAACCCCCAAGAGTGTGCAACTCCTGATCAGTCCCTGTATGGAAGCCCGCTCGGCGGAATTCCTTCATTGCGTCATTTTTGGTGCAGTGCGATGAGTCACGCCGATGAATTCTTCTAAAATTTACAGTCAAACCAGGATGCTTCCCCAGGGTAAACTGCCTAAACTGCGATTCTAGTCTGAGTCTGAGCCTCAAGAAGCAAAAGTGAAACAAAGCACACGATCCTAAAGACAAAACTGTTTATTTTTTCGATGCAATGGTGACTCTTCATCGCCTTCTTCTTTCACCAGTGCAGTCAGTCTCTTCAAGAACAATTTCTTCCCCAGGCCATCGGCATATTTCCGGTGCTTTCCTCGAAGATGATTTCAAATGGTTGAGGAACTTGAGAGAATACGTCGAAGGAGCATTTTTCGGCTGAGTTGCACAGCTATCAGAATGATTGTCCTCGACGGCAATGCAATATTATATTTTTAACAGCGTCCTCACTTCTTCCTGTCGCGATGTCCATGGATTCTTGGAGAAAGAGTTTGTTTTTCAGAAAGTACGACTTGTACGTCCGAAATGTCTTCAAAAAAAGCTTCGAAAAGTCGAGGCTGCAGCCTTGAGTTAGGAGCGGTTCAGGGTATAGTTTCCATAAATCGCAAAGAACCCACGGATGACAAGCTGCGCATGACGTAATGTAGGAATTTCGCCGAGCGCTGGGTCTATGCCCGTTGCACACTCTGGGGGGTTATGAACTCTTCATGTAATTAATGTTTTGAAGGGTTTGACCAGTTTGTTTCGGATTTTTGCTCCTGCTGAGACAGTGCTGCGCCCAGACCATTGCGGGTGCATTTTTGTACGGGTCCTGGTAGCCTCGTGGTTTCGATCCGTGATTTCCAGTACAAGTGTGGGGCATTCGAATCCCATCATGCCTCCTGCCTTTTTTCTTCTTCTTTTCTGCATGTTTTGGATCTTGTTGGGTGAAATACAGTAGGGATGATATTCATGATAATTATATTTTCTCTTTTTGATAAGATTCGAGCCTCCCTGTTCCCTTCGCCTGACACAACGAGTGACAGTGGTTTCACTCACGCCAGTTGCAAGGTGAGTTCGACGACGAGGATTTCGGATACTCAAGCTTCGATCAAAATCCAGCTCTTGTTCGAAGAAACAATGAACACGACTAATCGTATCTTTCTCGGCATCACTGAGATTCTTACGGGCCTTGGAAGCCATTACAGTCAGGCACTCAGAAAATGCAAACAAGAAGAAGATTCATTTGAGACTTTCCTCACACCTTTTCATTTGCGACTTTGCGTGTTTTGCATCTTTTGTATTTCCCGCGGCGACGAAGAAAAACCTGAAAAACACATCTGAAAACCAGAAAACACTCAGGCAAAACTCACGGCTGTCGTGCGCTACAGTACGTACGACTCGTACGTATGAGTTCACACGTCTATAGTTTTGAAATGGACTGTATACATAGCGCAGAATTCACTTTTTTCAGATTTCATGGAAATAAACTCTGGCAGGGGGGGGGGGGGGAGAGAAGCAAATCGAACTTGGTGTGGAAAGGAGAAAATAACGTTGGCTCAGTATCCGAACTTTATGTCTTAGTGGTGTCCTGTCAGAATTTCAGATTGCCTTCATTTTTATCAGGGTTATGTACTCTTGGCTGTACATGTACGTACGTAGAACAAAATGGACTTGAAATGGAGGTGTAACCCCTTTTTAAAGTCAGAAACTAATTATTTGGGGGGGGGGGGGGGGTGCGCATCGAGGCCCTCATCCGGTGCAGGCGTATCCTGTGCATTAGGAAGAGCCATGTTAAGTGACGGACCTCAGACTGTCAGGAAGATGAATGCAGCACTTTTAAGGTGCCTTGAACGTTAAGACTGAGTTTAACACGGCTGTGGTCAAGACGATGGCGGATCACCCTGTTATTCCTAAGCTGGACCAGCCACCAACTCTTTCTGAGCTAGAGGCAGCACTGCGGACTTTGACGGCAGGTAAAACTGGCAGTCAGTCGGGCATACTATTGGATGGTCCTATATGGTGGCAGCGCGCTACATGTCGCATCCCGACCATTATGCGTGAATTCGAGTTCGAAGTACGGACAACTCGTGCGTGCGCCAAAGCAATTGCTGTTTGGCGGGCTGCCTCCCTCCAGACGAGGTGGTGAGGTGTGGCGGTGGTAATGGACCTGGCGGACCTAGGACTGGCCACCTGGCTTGAGAGTTTGCCAAGATTGGCCAGGCTGGAGACGAGTTACGGCAGCACTCCACCCCACGGAGTGCTCCTAATCCCCGGCTCCGTGTCTGTGGACATCCATTTCATCAACCAGGAGACCTGAAACGGCATGCCAAGTTCTGCGCTCGTGTTCTCGCTTGAACTTTTGGACATCTGCAATCATAGTGTACAAGGTGTCAAGGTCAAGGTGTGTGAGTGTGTGTGTGTGTGTGTGTGTGTGTGTGTGTGTGTGTGTGTGTGTGTGTGTGTGTGTGTGTGTGTGCAGTGTCTGCTCCAGGATTGTAGGACAACTGGGTACACGTGTACCTGGCGCAACCATTTCAACCGGGTCGGAGCCGGGTACACATGTACGCCCAATGATATAAAGGCTAATGGATAAGCCGCATTTAGAAAAGAGAGGACAGGAATTAGAAAATTGCGAAAGAAGAAGAAGTATCTGACACATACATGTACAAGCCATGTAGTCAGTCCTTTCAAAGTTCGAAAGTGTACAGTACCAACCGGGTCACAGGTGACCCGGTACTATATTTTAAACCAGGTCCAAGCGCCGCCCAACCGGGTGGATTACCCGGCTCACCCGGCGCTGGAGCAGACACTGGTGTGTGTGTGTGTGTGTGCGTGCTTCGGTGGGTCGGTACGCATGTGCACGTGTACTCGAGAAGTACCTGTGACTTACGTCATGATGTACCAAGTACATGATTTCCAAGTCACAATGGCGCTCTGTCTCCGAGTTCGAACCACCACCATCACAACCAGTATGCGCAGGCAAAGCATACGTTTGCATATGTAGTGGTTTTGTATGTATATGCAATTAGCTAGCAACAGCATTTCTTGATCAATTTCCAATGCATTTTCACTTCTCAGACTGGCACAAAGCCAGCTAGACAGAGCGTTGGATTATACGTACCTGGTGTTTTCCTTTGCCGGATGTCAGATAGTCAATAATACTCTTGACATTGGCACCCATGGACTTGATCTCATTGCGCACTTCAACGGTAGCTGCACCATGACCGCCACTAGGGACTAGCAGACTGCCAAGTAGCACCAGGACTGAGGTGCACAAAGGAAGAGAGAGAGAGAGAGAGAGAGAGAGAGAGAGAGAGAGAGAGAGAGAGAGAGAGAGAGAGAGAGAGAGAGAGAGAGAGAGAGAGAGAGAGAGAGAGAGAGAGAGAGAGAGAGAGCACACACACACAAGCAAATGAAATAAAAAACATCATTCATGTAAAAAGAGGAAGGACCAAATATTATGAGTTTTGACCAACAGCACACCAAGGTAACGACATGATATACAGTCAGATAGCGCTACAGTCAGCCACAAAACTGACAAGGGTACTGAGAGACATTCGACGATACCTATCTCCAACACATCTACGATGCGCAAGCCAACAACCTTCCAACTTGGAGGGCTTAGGTATGGAAAGCTCCAACAATGGGAAGGGAAGCGCCACGAAGATGTGCACGAGCTATGTCCCCCGGCAACGAGGAATGTCAACTGTTACAGGATAACGACGAGACTAGTAAGACCATTGGACAAAACCGGTCTAACTACAACTCGACAACGCAAAGCAACAGACCACCCAACTTGGGAGGCTCGAAAGTATGTAAAATACGTAAAGAGGGGAAGCTGAGCGAAGACGAATTGTGTGTATCCGACTAGACTCCATGTTGATGTAAAGGTCGTTGATTGTCTCAGTACCCTTGTCAGTTTTGTGCCTTATTAGACACCCTTAGCAAACAACGTTATGTTGCAACGGTATTACCGTAAGGGGGAAAATACCGTGATTTGGGTTCGACCTTTAGCAAGATGCACGCTACTTTTAGTACACTGTTGCCGCGAGAATAGCTTTTACTTCGCGCGGTACAACCATTTATGTCACCATATACGCGATACAAGGTGAAATGCGTACGGACTATGCAATATTTGGCTAAAAAACGTACCGTTGGTCACAACGATAAATCAGCCCCCATAACGTTTTTATGCTGCAGCTTCAACGCTATTTGGGTGATCAAGGTACGAGTACCGTAAAAAATAGCGTTACCGTTGTTTGCTAAGGGTGTCTATTGTCGCACTATCTGACTGTATAATTATTACTCAAGTCTGTGGACAGCAACTGTTTCGCTCTGTTAGAGCTCATCAGCACAGCTCAGAGGACCGAAGCGCAGCTCTTCGCAATGAAATACGTTTCCGTGAAGCAAAGCATTTTTATAAAGAGCTGCAAACCGTCTAATTACTATCTCATTAGGGCGCGTTCAGACTACCGAGAACCACGTCAAACCGTGAATGGCGATAAACCGTGAAGGGCATTCGCACTACCGATGAACGAACGCTACTTGTGCAGCTCTCACCGCGGCACTGAGAAGGGAATTTCCCCTGCTCCCAGCCCGAGCACCTTTTCCACTGCTGGAATGCTGTTTCCGCCGCAGCAGTAAAACGTTTCAGCCGGCAAAGCGGCAGTAACGTCACATGATCAAATCACCTTGGAAACTTTCCCATTCCGTCATTTTTTATCGGTAGTCTGAATGCACCCTTACCATGGTAGACTGTTGGTCAAAACCCGTAACATTTTGGTCCTTCCTCTTTAGGGGCTGTCCGTGAATATCGAACTATTTTCACCAAACGAATTGTTTTAGTTTGGACCCAACCCCTCCATCCCCTCAGAACGTAAAAAATGTTGACATAATACATGTACATGCAAAAGTCGCCAGTGTGTCATTGCACCTATGGCCATGTACATGTATCAATGTTCTCTGAATCGAAATTGGTCAACCCCCTCTCACCCCATAACGAAATTATTTCGTTTTGTGATGAGCCGTCAAGAGCAATACGGTGAAACGTACGTCGTGTGAAACTGCTTGTTATTGTACCTAACTTGTCCATCGTCTTTACATCAACATGGAGACTATAAAGATATTGACGTTTCGGTTTGTCATAATTCGTCTTCGCTCAGCTTCCCCTCTTTAATGAGTCTTTATGTATTTTACATATTTTCAAGACTCCAAGTTGGGTGGTCTGTTGCTTTGCGTTGTCCAGTTGTAGTTAGACTTGCTTGTCCAATAGTCTTACTACTACTAATACTAGTACGAAATACTGGTAGCGACTTCCAGCGATAATTTCATAGGAAAGGGTTTGCTCCCACCCCGATGAGGGGTGAATTCCCCGAAACACTGTGTATTGAGCAGGGAGTGGTGCTTTCTTGCAGATTCCCCCCAGTCGAAGGTTCGATAGACTTCTCGTGTGCTCTGGATGGCAGTCGAGAGTCAGTCAAGTGTCAAATCAAGTCGGCGGAAAAGTGTGAGCTCCAGTGTGGGAGCAAACCCTTTCCTATGGTCTTACTAGTCTCCTGTAACACTCGACATTCTTCGTTGCCAAGGGGCATAGCTCGTGCACATCTTCATGGCGCAAGTCTGAAAACATTGAAGCCTCCACGAGGTTTATTGACTTTATTCCATGAAACATGATAATATATTTCTGTGAGGTTCTGCATAGAGAATAGGTGTCTGGGTTAGAGTTTACGACTTTGCGTGTTTTGGGTCCTGATTTCTACGCGGAGATGAGATGAGGTTGCGTGAGCGTAGAGCAGAACAGGTTTCTTATACTTCTGGAAAAGCGAAGAATGATCAAGGGATTCTTCGCGTCGGGCTCCCATAACGTCGAGAAGAGCATTCGGGTTATGAGCTCTTTTTTTGACGTTTGTCATACCAGTACAACATGTCATGTACATTCAATTATTAATACACGTTTCAGTAATACACGTTTCATGTAGTATGCATTACCACTACCATGCATGGTACCAGCACACGTATGTGCACAGCTAGCTACAGGTAATTTTCAGCAGCAAAATATCACAAAAAATAGAAAAAAATAAAATGGGTCAAACTCTACCTGCAGCACGTAGAATGACAGCCATCCTCATGCGGAGAGCATCCGAACTAATACTTGGGCGTAGAAGATACCCACTGCACCAAATACTCTACTGACACCCTGTCAGTGAAGTGGATGTTGGCTGAACCCCACACTCCCACAACTGCTTCTTCATTCACAAATCACCACGCAGACTACCACTCGCTTGACGCCGCGCCGCGTCCAAAAAATATGAAGAAGACCTGATCCAACGGTCGCGTGTACAGCGTACCGTACCCTAGATCTACGCGTACCGGGCCGCCATGCTTTGTGCTACGCCTATGGCCAAGCGGGCCGCGGTGCAGGTACGGTAGATCTAGATTATGTGGGGAAATCACGTTTACGTCAACATGACTCGGATCGGCGATGACCAGGTTCAGGTTCATGCTGTACACCAGGTACACTGCTACCGCATGCAGTGCCACATCACTTCTTTCTTTGTCTTTCCTTTTCACCGACGGATGGCGAGCATTAAATTTTACTTGTCGATCCAGATGACTCGGTGTTACTGCTACTAGTCGTGTCAGCTCAGAACAACTGGAGCTCGCACTAGTCGAGTCTTTGTTCCTCAATATTTCAGCAGCATACTGATTTCCAGCGAGGGTGTACTCCACGTAACCTGACCAGTTGTAGTACGTAACGTTGTCCGGTGAGACAATAAAGTCGCGAAAATAATGGGTCCTCTGCTTTTGCCCGGTGTTGTTTTGGCAATCGTGGTAGCATTTGGTGCTATTCTATGGTACCTTTTCAAGTCCGCTGAAGCCGACTCAACTCCATTCTATCCAGACGATAATGAGGGAAGTGATGGAGGCTCCGAAACATCCAAAAATCGTACGAAAAAGCGCCCGTTTCAACCCAGAAGAAGGAATAGAGAGAGAACTACCCATCCTGTTGAAGAAACTCCTCAAGCGGCTCGTCTGGAAGAGCGGAACACACATGCAGGTGCCAATGTAGCCAAATCGGCTACAACAACCGCGAAAAAACCAGCTGGTGAGCGTAGTCCTCCTGCTCGGAAAGGTGCTGCTGCTGCTGCTCCTACTCCTACTATTGCCCCCACTTCTCACCCTGTTTCTCGTCAAGCATCTGACCCGGTACTACCAGGCAAATCAAGGAAAGTCTCCTTTTCTGAGGATGCTGTAACGGAAGCAGCTGGTCAGGAAACCAGGACCACTGCGGTACCCACTGCTTCATCGAATGGAGTCTCTCCTCCTTCGGTCCCGTCTGCGAAAGCCAACAAAGCAGCTGCCAAGTCATCATCGTCAACGAAGGTGAAGAATCCAGCGAAGAGCAAACCTTCGCGATCAGCTGCCAGCGCCTCTGTTGCTTGTAAGTGTGTGTTATTCGCGTTTGAGAATCTGTTTTTAGCAATTAAAACTAGTTTGTGTTCACGCACTTGTACCATGTGCCTTTGTATTCTGCACACGTGTTTGTACGTGTTTATGTGTACGGGTGAATGTTTGAGTAAATGTGTACAATGTCATACTACAGTAGATCTACAGACCAGTGAAATTCGACCTCATGACTAAAACAGTGCCAGGTGCTACCCCAAGAGTACTACAGTACTAGTAAATAAACCAGAGTGCAGTTCCAGGAGAATCACGCTACGATGAAGATTTTTTGTTCTGTTTAGGTCATACTCATAGTGACACACCTTTGCTGCATCTCACTTTGGTTCACGTGGTCATTTTACCGTATCACGGAGGTAATTTCTGTTGCGCATTCCTGGTTGTGCAAAAGGTGAAAAACGCCACCGAATTTCCCGTTATCACCTTAGTGACACGGTGATTTAGCACCGAACCTACAGTATGACAGGTTTTCTACGATTCATGATGACCAAAACAAAAAAAACTTCGCCGTGAAAGTGGTTTTATGCAGCGAAAATGCGGACCTACGCACTCTTGTTTATACTACATAGCCCTGGCACTTGTACATGGCGCTACCAAGAGTAAATAAGCTCCCATGACACTTGAACATGGCGCTACCAGGAGTAAATAAGCTCCCATGAGTGTGCAACTCTGCATGTCAGGTCCCCGACGGCGACAACTCATATCTCGTGTTCTCCCCGACGGCGACAACTCATATCTCGTGTTCCAGTTACGATTTATACTGCTTACAACGAAGGCCAGCGTGCACGCAGTCCGATTACTGCCATGATCATGTTGATGACTTGCATAATTTAGTGGGTCTCTATCAGGGAGTGCTATTTTCACTACAACGGTCGCTAAAATGGACTGGGAACGCACAACGGGATCACTACACCACGCGATGGGAGTTTTCGCTGTCGGCATGCCCCATAGAAAGGGTATCCAGAGTTGATCATAACGAACGAGCATGCGAATGTGTTCTTTAACAGACTTCAATTGTTTCATGTACTTTTTCAGTATTTCGCACAGAGTCACATAGGTGAGTAATAATTATATTATGGCAATGATGCGGCAGTGTACGTTACAGTATTACACGTAAGTACAGATGTGATCATGAAAGCGCTAGCAAAACCGAGGAATAAACGTTACAACACCCGGAACAAGATAGATGAACAATCAGAAAACCAAGAAATAATATGACAGCGCTTATTAAACTGCGCTTAAATAATAATACTGATGCGATGAAAGCGGCAAGACTACTAAACTACTAATCACTGTAATCAGAGTCTGAGCTAGAGACCAGGTCAAGGTCCGGACGAGGAGGACAGCTACGAAATCAGGCACCGATTGCTCAGGAGCAGCAGCTGATCGACACGCCTTACTGCGGGCAGAAGGCAGCACTCTGTTCTTGGATAAGAACGCCAGCATATCAACATGCTCTGCACTGAGCGAACTCCTCAGCTTGTTCACTATCGAACCCGAGCAGGAGAAGACGCGCTCTGCTGGGACCGATGTTGCAGGTGTGCCCAAGATGCGCCTAGCGATCTGCGACATCGTGGGGAAGCGCTCAGCATTCATCTTCCACCACACCAGCACATCTGTTGAACTGGCAGAGGGCCGCTCGGTGAAAAAGAGCCGAAGCTCTTCTTTAGCTGTGGACACAATAGACGTTTCCACAGCCGAATCGCTACCACCGAGCAACTCATCCAGGACTGGGCTTGGAGCCCTCTTGGCCGACGGCTCGGCTGCGATGACATCTGGCTGCTCCGTTGCCGCTGTCATCTGCTGCAGGAGATTGTCCTTCAGCTCTGCGACCTCATCCACAGTGAGGAAGGAGAGGTCACGGAAGCGAGGGTCAATGGCGGCCGCTATCGCCTCGGGACTACTGCTGCGGAAGGGAAATTTACGACGGAGCCCATCCAGAAGAGATCGCCTGACTGCCTTTGCTGCAGTTGACATCCGTGCTGGCGGTGCACTTGCCAGAGTAGTCTTCATGCTGCTGATTTGAACACACGTAGGATCAAGTAGATTCACGGGCTAATTCTGCAGCTAGTGGTTACGTAGCTTTGACTGGTGGATCGTGAAATTTACAGCTGTTTGTGCTTTGGAGCTTCCAGGGATGTACGTTTTCTCAGAGACATGCCTGGTGTTTAGTGCACAAGCACTGCCCGTGAATCTACTTGATCCTACGTGTGTTCAAACGAAAGCGTGGCTCATCAATCGCAGGAGGGTTAAATTCAGCAGGCTGGATTGTCAGTTGTCTTTTTTTCACTGTGTATCTAGTGACAAGCCGTATCTGTTGATTACAGCAAATGCTGTGGCACATGATTCTTGACTAAGCCTGTTGATTGTGTTGACCCCCTTTGTACGTGTTTGTGCAGCTAATGTCGATGAATTGGCCCGTGCCATTGAGCGTGCTAACCTTTCTGCTAGTGATGCGCAGGAGCTAGTCGACGTCTTGCTGAGTGCTTCCAGCGGCGGTGCGTCTGAGTGGATGTCCCGCGGCAGCCATGGCCGCACCGAGGAGACCCTAGAGTCAGTGCGCAAAGCTCGCACTGAGCTTGCTGCACAGCTGGAGGAGGAGCGCGCAGCACACCGTAGCTTGCTAGCGAGCAGTAAGGATAGGCGAGCTGAGTCCATCGAGGAGATGCGACAGATGAAGTTTAAGCTGGAGGCGGTGCAAAAGGGCTTTGCACAGAAGACGAAGGAGGCTGCTAATGCATTGGCGCGTGTTCGATCTATGGAAGAAGAGCTTGATGCAAAGAGTGCACTGCCTGCAACTGCTGAGGCTGGCCGCTATATTGCGGAGATCAACCACTTGAAGTCGGAACTGGAAGGAGCTAATACTCGTTTGGCTAGTTCAATGGCTGATTCCAACAATGTCAAACAGGCTGCCAAGAATACTGAAGCAACTCTTAACAACCAGCTGCAGCAAGCCAAGAGCAATGCTGAGAGGCAGCAGAAGCGTGCCCGTGATCTGGAGAAACAACTTCAGTCAGAACCTAAAGCTGGAGTGGAGGTATGTGATCTTGTACTGTCTTTTTCACTGCTGCCTTCTTAATTGCTTGTTATAGATCCAGTCACTGGACAGGGTGATCTGCCCCAGTTTGCCGTATGCACACACCGTAAGAGCACATGTAGCCTGCATCTCCACCTATGTGTTGTCACCCTGCCACCATTTCCAACATCTTGATGTCTGAGTCCTCCCCACACTCGCTCACTTCCTCAAAGTGTTGTCCGTGTCGTCATTCCAATGTCATATTTGGTCACATCTGCTATGCATGTGTGTGGCTTTCTTTACCGTACAAGGCAACTGCTGTGCAAGCTCAGAATGATGAGCTTCGTCAAAGAATTGCTACAGTAGAAGCTGGTGTGTCAGAGCAGATTGCTGCTGTGGAGAGCAGCAAATCAAAGGAACTCGTTGCTCTGGAAAAGAAGAAGGCTGAGGAACTCGTTGCTCTGGAAAAGAAGAAGGCTGAGGAAGTCGTTGCTCTGGAAAAGAAGAAGGCTGAGGAACTCGTTGCTCTGGAAAAGAAGAAGGCTGAGGAGCTAGCTGCAGTGGAAAAGAACCTGTCCGTCAGAATTGCCGACTTGGAAAAGAGCAAACAAGAGCTGGTCACAGAATTGCAGAGTGCCAAGGTGATTGAGCAGTGCAAAACTTGTCATGTCATTGTCATGTGTCACTCATACCTCCGTCATGGCACACTCCCTGTCTCCCTTTCTTTGTTTGTGGATATCACTGTCCTGTTGACTTGCTTGACTTTCCTCTCGGTTGGTACTGACTTGTCGTTCCAGCCGGGAGCGTAAATATCTCTTTTCACTACCTGTGATTGCTATTGTACATGTAGTGACGACTTGTTCAAACGTGCTACTTTCTGTCCATGTATGTGGTGTGTTTGACATTTCAGACTGCTTCCAATGGTCATCATGTTGAGGAGACTCAAAGGTATATTGTGATTATCGGCTTAACGTGCTTGTAGTTGGCCAAATTCTTGATATTGTTGTGTTGTGTTTTTGCACTGGGAAAATTAACTGGCTATTTTGAAGTATTTTGCTTGCGGTGCACATGGAACACATGTGTATGTGTGAGAAGTGTCTGATGCCTGTGTATCCTGCATGTAACTTATGCCTGTAATGTGTAAGGAATTGGTTTCACTTTCCGACTTTTTTGCTGTGTACTTTTTTTCTAGTGCTGACCCAGCACTCGTGACGGAAAAGGACGAGGAGATCTCGAAGCTGAAGAAGAGCCTGGAGTCTTGGAAGACAGATGCAAAGAAGTTTGAGGAGAGACTTCTGGCTTCGAATGCCAAGAACGCTGTGAGTGGTGCTACAGCTTTCGTTTTCGAAAATGTTAAGGGTGACACTGGTTCTCTTATTTTAAGATTTTTTTCGCCATTACTATTGCTTCAATAATAATACCAAGAGTGTGTATTGTGAGCATGATTGTGAAACTCCGAGAATGCGAACTTTCACTGCATCAGAAGAAAAAACTTGACTGTCACCACCAGTCTTCGAATCAGGGACCTTTACTGTTGGCTAGCAATGCATAGGCTGGTGGCTCGCAGCCCTTACTGTACCAAACACTTAACGCACACAAAGTAGTACTGTAAGACATGTTATTATAACGAGTCGCAAATTTAACGATTGTCCAAAATTCATAGGTTAACGAGAAGATAGGTTAACGATCTTGCAGTATTCTGCCATGTCCACACACAGCATATATGAAGCAGTACGGCCTCAACGGATCTTATTATAACGAAGAAATGTCATCCGTTAAAACGTTAGATTTGCTTTCTCGTTATGTATACATGTCTTACAGTACCCGGGAAGCCCCAATGTCCAACTATTCACATGTTTCAGGGACTATAAAATTATCATGACTACGGATTTGACTGTAGGCGCTTGCAACTGGGAGATATGGCACTCTGGAAATAAGTTGTTTATTCTTGCCTGTGTCCTTTGATCTTTCTTTATTTCAATAATGTTCTACCCCATGCTTTCTGGTTGCAGGAGCTTCGTGAGACAACGTGGCGAGCAAAGGACGAGGCAGCGCTTGCACAGAAGAATGCGAAGGCCGAAGTAAAGAAATCGATTGATGGTTTCAAGGTAAGTGTTCTCTCTATACTGTTGTGATTGTCTGGTCGTTGATAGGCTACCGGTACGTGCCACTGCAAGATTGAATAGAAGAAACAGGATGATGGTTTGGAACTTTGGATGTCATTGTGCGCATGTACTTTTACGTATGCTTTTGGCAGTCTAGGCGTTAGGGATTTGCCCCTATTATTCTCGACAAGGCACGGACAGTGCGTGCATTCATGCAGCGTAGGTCGTTTTGCATGCCATGCCCTGCACTATGATATGCCGTTGTATGTGTCATGCCTGTCATGCAAGCACGACTCGTATCTGCGAGATCAGCGAAAGAATTCCATGAAATGATCACTGCGCTTTGGCTGTGTTCAGCGTTTGCTCGCAGTTAGCTTAGCCTGGTGGCACCCAATCGTTTACATTCAATTTGCTCACAGTATGCGATTGTTTCGTGATATTTGAATCTGTCTACAACGCTCTACATTATGCCTGTTTGCATCCCGTAGGCAAAGCAGCGTGAAGAAACATCAGCTGAGCGTGATGCAGTTACAGTAAGGCATTTTCCAGTGTTTGTGTCTGTGTGCAATAATAAATCCAGACAACTCATCAAGGAGAAATGCCATAATTGATGCATTCATTGCTGTTCTAATCGAATCATCCTTCTTAGCATTGTGTGTTAGGCTCTTGTTTGCTGTACGAGAGGTTGGAGGTACGAATCCCAGCTATAGGGAAATTTTACTTATAGATTTTCTGATTTATTCTCCTATCCTGCTTATTTGGGGCATTTCATCTTATAGTGGTGGTCTGCCTTGAGATAGCAGGTACAGTATGATTGTCTTGGATCTCCATGAGAAGTTGTGGAATATGTTGCTACTCCTCCCCGTATCAAGACAACATTATTTTTTCTTCTTTTTTTCTTCACTATTGTTGGTGCATGCGTGTCGTTAGGGGTGTTCTTTTGCATAAAAAGCCTGTTTACATGGAGTTTGCTGCAGGATGTGCTCGCGGTCAAGAATGCTTGGATTGGACTTTAAATCTAAAGAAGGAAATTGATTAGCATAACCCCTTTAGCTTTTGCATGCGCTTGTGAATTATGAACTTGGTAAACATCAGGCTGGTGTGTTCATTCAGGAAAGATAGGACATGGACATTGCAACTACCGCCTTGCTGCTCATGTCAATTTTTCATTTTCAAACGTTCTTTCCATTGTTCACTGTGGTTTGCAGAAGGAGCTTAGAGACCTATGTCCGAGCGTGGAAGTATCGAGCGACTGCAAGGTAACTTTGAGCTACTTTTGGTACTCCAACATTGATTTGTTTCCGTTGAATGCCCATCAGGTTGACCTGTGACGTACATGCACATCACTAATAGTGTCATGATCCAACCACTGGGGTCGGTATACGTCTGTGTGTTTCAAGCAACACCCAGGACCGCCATGTAGTGTGAGCGAGACCCAAATTCAAAGTGCGCAATACGAATAAATGCACGTTGTCACTCAACAGCCAACCAAGAGTTCTAGTATCAACGACCTACATTGCTACTAGTCTAGTCAGAGATATAATGGGATGAGAGAGAGGCAAGCACCGGGGTGAAAACGAATACCAGCGAAACAAGGGCTTATATTGGGGGAAGTAGCATTGTACTCACTAGTCATACTTCTAGATGGTAAGGTGATATAAGGGGAGAAGTAGTTAGGGGCCTAATTGCGAATATCTAGTTCAGAATAGCGCTAGACGCTATAGTAGCGTGTTCGGTGCCTCGAACCCAGGCGCATTTTGAGTGGAAACAGTTTTGTACGGGGTCCGTGGCACAATCGTACATCACTGTGCTTATTGCCTTGGCAGGGTAAAATTTTAGCAGCTCAGGACGAGTTTGTTTCTTTGTTGGAAAGAGGAGATGTCTCTGCTGTTGAGACCGTAAGTCCCGTTTCCACACGACGAATTTTAGCAATGTTACGCCCTGCGCAACTTCAGGGTATCGATTTCGGCCTGTTCTGGGCCGGTCGCAACGCCGACGACCATTCCATCGTCTTCAGCGTCGAAAAACTACGCAGTGTGTGAAATTTGGAGGCTCTACGATGCTGTGTTCTTGTTCTATGAGAGATCGATTTGCGCCAGGATACCAAATGTGCGGAGTACATGTACATGTACATGGAGTTGATGGACTTGGCTGTAGTGCTGTTTATTTGTAGTTTCGCTGAGCTACCACATCAGATAAATCTGGTCGCTGTATCATATAGGAGAGTGGATAAAGCCATTGTGCAGACAAATTGGTCAAGAACAGATTTCCTGCCAATACTGCGTTCAATCATGATGCAGCTGAAAATCTGACACTCTGAGGATTTGCAAAATTGCAGCGCGCTAGCACAGTGCAGCTACGCAATGCCGTATGCACCGTGTCTGGAGTACATTGTCATCCACATAGCATGGGCAATGTAGGGCCAGTGTATTTGTCGACTTTATAATTTACATCCAAATTACGCTTGCACGATCATCCGATAAATGAACTGTCTGTTGATAGTGCAAATCGTATGAATGAATAACATGTGACGTGCGACACCAATTGCCCCGAAGTGCTGCACGCGTCGTATATGACTGGGAACAAGTTGTCCTTCTAAAGCTGATGATTAGCAGGACTGCTGCTGCCTTGGCCTGGCTGAAGCTTACATCGTGTTGCAATGGTGCAGCATACCTGTTAATTGGCTGCATGCATCCGGTCCCGCGGCGCAACATGCCCGGGTGCGGGTGCCGTCTCGGCTGAGTGCGTATGTTATTTTCTTGGATGCTTCATCTACATGGGGTAGATAACTGTAATCTCCTCCTGGTGATGCGTCTTTGTAGTACCCGTATTCCAATTAGCTTCAGCCTGTGAAGGGTTACATCTTTCGCATTTATTTCGACTAATTTGTATGCGTTGCTATGGTGGTTGCTATGGGCGTAATTTGAATTTGGCTAGATGGAATACCAAAAAAATGGTGAAGTGATGGAAGCTCTCTATTGGCTATCATCTGTGAAAATTTGAAAGACCCTGAACGAAATTGATTTTCACCTTGTTCTAGTTGGTTTTGAATTTCCCGGTTTTGTGCCACTGGCCTGCATCAAAACTGTTCCAGCAAAAGTCCCAACAAGCGCACTTCAAACGATCATAACTCTTGAACGTCTGGTCGGATTTAGACAAACCTTATATATTTCCCGGCTAGTTTATCCTACTCTTTCCAATGAGACTAAAATCGAGGAGATCGGAGCAACTTTCAAAATCGTCCGAACACCCTAGCTATAGCTGTGTTGACAACTGGCACGTGTACGCGTTTGTGCGTATTTTTGCTGGCCTTTTGGGGCATGGTGCAAATTGGAATGCGTCGAAATGGAAACTCCAACATGTTGTACTTGTCAGCATGTACCAGACACATACTTTGAAGTACTGGTGTATATGCTAGTGCACTTTGATCGGCGGGGTCGAATTTATTAGTAGTAGAAGGCATCGCACAACCTAAACTATGTCTTGCACTGCTGTTTTCTGTGAAAGGCTGAACGTGCGACTCAGTTGCATGGTGCACTGTAGAATGAACCATCAGTGACTCCATGATGATCTTACCATGGCCCAGCGCTGAAGTCTTGCGAGTGCGTCTTTTCAGTTCTGGTCACGTGCGGTTCACCTCCGTATGTTGGCTTGTTGGTTGTCACGCACACCAATGTGCTGACAGTACTTTTGATAATTTTTGTGCTTGAGAAATATTGATAATGACTGTCTCCTTGTTGCACATGACATCCACATTGTATCCATTGCTGCTGTGTACTACTGATTACAGACGCTCACAAGCTGGGTGCAGTCATTTGTGGAGAAGGCAGGCCAGGAAAAAGCCAGCACTGCAACATCTGCTTCAAGCTCCTCTGCCGAGTCTACTGAAGTAAGTGTTATGTCCTGTCTCTGCTCTCGTTATTTCTTCCTTCCCTTATATGTATTCGTGTGAGGTAATTTCGGTCCTCTGCATCAAAAGTTGCATTTTAATGAAGCCTGTTTGTCATGGGACCTTCTTCGAACTTCAGTCTTAAATGTTTGTTGGGTAGCCATCTGAACTATGCAGATTCCTGTTGCTGTAGAATTGGTGCAACATGCGAGGGGTGATGTTATGTTGTCATGGCATTGTGGCCACTATTGTGGAAGCAGGACTCGAGTTGAACATCCTTCTTCCATTATACTCTATCGATTTTCTTGCTTGTGCTCAGGAGCTAGAGCGTTCCCGTGAAAGGCTAAGTGCGGCGGAGGCAGAAGTTGAATCATTGAAGTCTCGCTGTGAGGAGGCTGAGGAAGTCTTGGCACAGACCACGAGTACCCTGGCTGGTATCCAAAGCCAGGTCGAGGCAGAGGATGACAAGCATATGGATAAGCTTCAGTCCTTGGAAGCAGATTTTGATCGAGTGGAAGCATCGAAAAAGAAGGTATGTCGACTTGGACAGGTGTTCTGTGCACTGTAAACTGGTCTGTATCATAGCAATGTACATGTATGGTGTGTAGGGGTGAAACAATTATACCGAGTACTCGAGTACTCGCTCGGTTTTTTCAAAAATAATCGTACTCGGAATAAATCAGAGTACTCGTTCATACGTGGTACATGCATTTTCTACAGAAATCTGCAGTTTCAGGGCAGCAGTCGGCAGATGGTGATGTGCAGACTGTGTGGTGAACATTTGTTCTCGAGTGGAGAGAGCCCAATTGACCCACCAACCAATATACCTGAGAAAAATGACTGCTACTCAGTTCAATCAGGGTTGCACCATGTTATTTTAAAGCCCTTGGTGTGCAATTTTTAGGAGATGAAAAATACTCGAATACTCGAATATTCGATCGGAGAAAATCAGAGTACTCGAACTCGGGATCTCAGTGCCAACTTTCACCCCTAATGGTGTGTGATGGATTTTTCAGCACCCCATATCAAGTGTGCATAACCCCCAAGAGTGCCGCTGCAGTCTTTGGGATCTGTGTCTACAGAATTTCGCATCATGTGACATACCGTAAAGTCGCGGATAAAAGCTGGGCTTATAAGCACATAAGCCGCTTTCTGCATCAGGCTTCAATGCAAACCAGGCTTCAATGCAAACCATGCTTATATGCACCACTGATATTTTGGCCAGGCTTGTATGCACATCGGCCGATCCGGGCTTGCATAGATGCCAGGGTTCTACGCACGACACGCGTAGATCTACCACTGACTACCGGTATGGCGGCAGTTTTACTATGCACTGTACATAGCGCATGCACTCCTGACCTACCTGATCCGCACTTGCATAGAAGCCAGGCTTCTACGCGCGACGGGCTTATATGCATTTGACCCGTTTGATTTTCAGGCTTCTATCCGCGATGTGCTTGTATGCAAACCCGGCTTTTATCCACGACTTTACGGTACTTGTACACGCTGCTTGGACCCTGAATGATACAGGTGGAATCCTGATAATTCGAACTCCAAAATACTGGGGAATATTTTCGAATTATCCAAACATGTACCCACATCACATAATGTATGTCAAAATTCTCGCATTGTGAATGCAGAGTTGCGCAATACACCCTACAAGACACATAACTTCGAATTATGCCTTTCTAACTTCGAATTTTCAGCAAGAGCCCCACCCGCTTTGTATGTAAGCGGGTTTCATGGGAAAATGGGATGGTTTCATGTAATCATACATGCCCTGTCCGAGGTTCGAATTATCAGGCATGATGTGGGAATCGTATTGCTTGATTAAGCGGTATGTTTGAATTATCAGGATTCCACCTGTAGCTACAGGGCTGTAAACAACCCTGCTTTGGTTACACCTCTCTGGTGGTCACTTTGCACTGTTTGCTGGCGTAATCTATTAAACCATGTCATGTGAAACATTGCTGCCAGTGCACCGGGTACGGAACGTCACAGTGTAGGTAGTTGCGTATTCTCGGGGTTATGTATTATGCATTGGTAACATCACCGGTGCTCTGCATGGTGGCTTGCTTCTTCTTTACTATAGCTCCAAGAACAGCTTGATAGTGCAGAGACAGAGCTTGCACAGGCGAAGAACGGTCAGAAACAAATCCACAGCCTGAGGAAGGAGCTGGAGCAATCTAAGAATGTCAATGATGACATGCAGAAGTTCCTTCAGCAGACTAGCACGCGCCACGAGGGTCATCTGAAGGAGAGTGCTGAGAAACTGCGTCGGGCCGAATCACAGCTGTCTAGCTCCAAGTCTAGGATGGAGGTGGCTGAGCAGAAAGCAAAGGCAGCGGAAGAGGCACTGGCCAAGCACCGTAGTGAGCAAACTGAATCTACGACTGTTATCGAGCAGGTATGTTCCATCCCACTGGCGTCCTCTTCTTTTTAAACCGCTTTTGCTTTTGCAGTCCTCTCAGTCTGCTACTAGTCCTTTACAAGCTGGCGTGTCTGGTTGCAGCCTGTTCACTTAGATTATGTGCAGTAGAATGTGGTTCAATTGTCGATTTTGTGCAGGTATTCAGTAGCACAGCTGTTTCCTCCGAAGTCAGTGTTTCCATTCACGCTGTAACTTTCCTGTGTCGTATGGTGTAATTGTTGCCTTTTGTTTACAGCTGAGGAAAGACATAGAGACTTCCTCAAAGGAAAGAGAATCACTACAGAGTCGATGTGCTGAGGTAGGTGCTTTGGCCACCGGCCCACTGTTCAGCATTCGGAAAAAAATGCTAGTGCATATGATTGATCATATTGCTTTTTTGTTCTGTTCTGTTCTGTTTGGATGGTCTCTAAGCTTTGTTGTGTGTAGAATTTGGAAAAATCCAGATAGTGGCAGGTGCGTGATGAATGGTTTAGTCTTTAAAAACGACAGTTTGTGACCATGACACCATGCGGTGCTTGGATTGCTGCGCGGCTGGACGATATGAAGCTCATAAAGAACGACTTTTTGGTGTCTGTCATGCAGGGAGTCTTAAAAAGTTGCACGCGTCCCAGTGCGGACCTTCGCTTTTCTCGTGTTGAACACTTTCAAAGCCCTTCAACCTTTTCACTTCTTGAAGTACCGTACTCATTTCATAATTGTTTGGGGGTGTCATGAAAAAGACATAATTTTAGTTGAGTTTTCATAGCAGAAGAAAATGATCTGAAGTTACAAGCATAACTTGATCGAAAAAGGAAAGAAAAATGTCCAATATGGGGAATGGGAGGGTGAGTCATCCCTTTATCCGCTACTAACCAGGATTTCCCCCGAAATTTATGGACGGCCCCATTATGCCCTATATGTACACAGGTCAGTGGCTATAGAAGTGATAATAATTATGTTATTGCTCATTAGTAGTGTTGGGAAGAAGGTTCGAATGTTCGAATGATCTTCGTTTTCGAATTCAAAAGAAGGAATGTTCAATTCAAAAGAACCTTCGTTCGTATACATAATCATTTACTCGTACACACTGCACTTGTACGCACCTGTGTAAGACGACGGAAGCTGTGTCGGCCATGAAGCAGCTGAAACTACAGTCGTTTTTCAAGAGTTTCTATCGAATCGTCCTTGATCTGAGGAACGCTCGAGTGGTATCTCGAATCCCCTGGCTCGCTGGTGCTTCGTAATTTTTTGGCCTATGTGACAGTGTCTACATGTATCGCGGAGGACAATTTTTATACTGCACTTCAATAGAAGGTTCGAACATTCGTTCGTTTGAAACAGAAGGATTCTTTTCTCATTAAGAACATTCGTCCCAACATTACTCTTTAGAGACTTTTACTGATTCATAAAGTGAATACAGAGTCACTAGACATGGTTAGCATGTTACCGTTCACGCTATTTTGAGTATTTTCGACGGTCGGCGTGTACAGTGGTGTAGAGGGCGAGTCTACTGTTTTTTTGTGTGTTTTCGAGACACGGTTAGCTGTTCGGCTTCTGAGTCCTCACTCCTGACGCAACGATAGACGTGTGAGGTAACTCTAGTTGGAATCTTGCCGTTTCGTTCTCCCGCTAAACAGAGCTTTCTATCGTCGAAACGGTACCAAACCGACGGTATTTTGGGTGTTGGGTACGAGCACCGTTGGATCTAGCGCGTGAACTGTAAAATGCCATGTCTACACGGCCCAAGTGACTGGAGATGATGTTTGGTTTTTTCTAGTGCTGAGACGATTACGTGTTTTCCTTAGTGGCTTAGGCCGCGGTCACACCGAGCCCGATTCAGCCGTTCAGCCAAAAAAACGCTTTTTCCGGCTGAGGTTTCCACGGAAACGGCTAAAAATCGGGGCACCAGCTACTTTCAGCTTTCAGCCTTTTTGGAAGCGCTGAAAAGCTGAAAGTGGCTGAATAAGTTTGGCTGAAGTGCAAGAGGAGCTGAAGAACTTGAGTTGACGTTTGTTGTAGTCAGGTAGTTTCTTCCCACGTGGAGATTCAAAATTAGGACGTAGTGTGTACGCAAATCACGTATACTGGGCACAGGGGTCATCCTCCAAATAAAGAAAAACCCGGGGAAACCCCCGTCAGCCAGTTTTGGTGTGACCGTCAGCTGACTAGTCGCAAGCCACTTTCAGCGCAAGCCAAAAACGGCTGAACTTGGTGAGACCGCGGCCTTAGCTGATACCATAACGATCGGCTAAACGATTATTATTGTAACTACATCAGTACACATTTACATTCTGTGAATTTCAAAAAAATTACCAATACGAGTCCAATATCGCCAATGACGGAAAGCGGGCGCATAGATCCGATGATCCCGCAACAAGTCCGTCAGCTATTCGGACTGACCAGATGAATGCGGACAAGACAGAGGCGACACACCGGTATCAACCCAAGAGCTGATGGTGCCCTTCGCCTGTGACTTTGCTGACTCCGACGATGAAGTCAGAGAAGCTGGCCAGGGGTGCAGATCGACGGATTTCGACGGATGAGCTGACTTGAGGCGCGCAAACAAGTAACTACAGTAAAACCTGTAATGGCGACCACTTGACCATGGCGACCACTTTTCCTTGTCACGGACGCATTCACATTCAAAACAACTCGGATAAGGCGACCACTCGCTCAACGCGACCGGCGACCACCCACCCGCGACCGCTTTGTACAGTGCTAGTCATGTAAATGTATGCATTGCATGGTGCACCAGGCATGGTAGATCTACACATCAGTGCAGGAAGTGTAGATGTACATGGTGCATGCACGACATTTGACAGGTCTGAGGACCCCAGGCACATGAGTCGTGCTAGAGTAGCATAGGTGTGTGCACTGTGATGCACTGATCAAAATGATGTATCACATGTGGATATGGTCACGTGACCCACTGAACCTGGATAAGAAGACCACCTGGCCACGGCGACCACTTTTTCTCGTCCCTTGAGGGGTCGCCTTAGATAGGTTTCACTGTAGTTGCTTTTCCTGTCTATGCTCAAAATAGGCATCAACTTAAACAGTGGGTGTATGTGTGTAACCGCACTGCTCCGCGAACATTGCTGTCGGGCACTCGCTGGTTCTGAGAATTGCGACAATTTAAAATTTGAATATTGGTTTACAGTATTTGAATTTTTCTCAAGTTGTCAGATTTGGTATGCACTCGTTTACAGCTTACTAACCTGCTCTTTTGTCTGTGTGCATGTGTGCTTATGGGTGTGCAGCAAGAGACTGCTTTGCAGGCAGCCCGTCAAGAGGTAGAGGAGGCTGCTAAAGAAAAGAGGACCTCGGTTGACGATGTCAATCAGGTAAGGCGTGCTTTGCTGTGTGAACATTTCATCAAGACAGTGTATGGGTGTCATATAGCCAGCTACGTGCTGTAAAAGAATGCTTGCCCTGGTCCTATCATGATGGTCAACCACAACTGCCTTCAAAGAGGCAAAGACCGTACCAAGAGTGCATAAACAAGAGTATGCAACTGTGGTTATGGGTCAGTGCGCGGCGCGCTGCCTTCATTACGTAACTTGCCTTCATCACGCTCTGAAAGCATGCATTCAAACTCTCAATTTCTCGCACGAGTCCATCCGTTTTTGCTCGATTCGTTCCAGTACCTACACAATCTCTGAATTCTGGCGCGTGAACTCCGGTTTCGTACGAAAGTTCATTTCAAACTAGAGGGAAAGTGCGGTGTTTGATTTTCCGCAGTGCGCGGACTCCAGCTGAATGATGTAATGAAGGCAGCGCGCCGCGCATCTGGCCCATAGAAAAGAGATCACAGTTGCATACTCTTGTTTATGGACTCTTGACCGTACTAAGGAATGAGTGTGGCCCTGGCTGTACATATCACATGGAGTGACGTTCTGCTATCACTATTGATGCTTCGAATTTTAAATTGTGGAAGCTTCGACTGAAACTGGGTTGAATATCAAAGTTGTACTTGGTCTTTGGAGAAGGCCAAGAAATCGAAAGGTGAATGTCGCTGATTGGTCGTCTCCTAGACGACGAGACAGACTTCATTCTTAAGTACTTTATTATACATGTACATGTACTTAATTTCTTATGTTCCGTTTCTTGCCACAGATGGTCTCTAGTTTGAATGAACTGCAGACCGCCATGTCAAAATTAGAAGTAGAAAAGCAGGAGCTTGCCGAGCAGCTGGTACGTAGTAGCGTTGTGCCTTTTTGTCTTAGATGTACTGCATGCATTTTTGCGTTGATTGGGCAATGGCAAGAGTACGTAACCCCGAGGGTGTGCAACTACATTGCGTGGCTTTTCACCAAAGTTTCTTGTGTACGTCCGTCATCAGGCTGTAATGGCCCATCTTAGCTCTGCATAATTATTCTCAACTACAAAAAAAAAGGAAAAAATGGCAATAAATAAAACGCTTTCTGTCTCCTCGATGATTTAATATGCAAAAATACTGTTGGTTTGTGAGAAAGTCACCCCTGTACCATCTGTGGTCACTTCTTACGGCATCCACTGGGAAGTGACGATGTGCGTTATTAGTTTTGATGTACAGTGGACATGGATCAGAATTGCACAGTCAGAGGGGGGCTATATACTCTCTGCAATGGTGGAATGAGAGGAAAACGCAACATCCTCGATCATTACGTAAATACATGTAGTTGCCTCCAGCACTCCACACTACACTATCGGCCGACCCACCGCACTTGCCTATGACCCCCCCCCCCCTAACAAGGACAGTTGCGTTGATGAGATGTTGACAGATCCTGCAGGCAGCTGTTCCGGTTTTGCAGAGCTCGTCGGTGGAGGTGTAGATGTCGAGTGAATGATACGAAGTGTAGGAAAGATGTTTTATATGTTTAAACTGGCACAATTGCACACTTTTACATAGCACCATTGCACCTGTTGAGATGATCATTCATCAACATCCAGCGTCCATCTTTTTTTCCCCTGAAGGGATTGTAGGATACAGCAATATACAACTGGGGGCTTCTGTGTACATTTTGTTGTCTTTCCCGACATATGATGTTCCCTGTTCTGTTGTTCTTACAGAGAAACGTCCTCAATGCATCGGCATCAGCATCTACAGACGTCTGAAGTATTAGTTGCGCAACAGCGCTCTTGTGTCTATTGTATGTTCGTGAATAACAATCCAACTATGATGTTTTGTCTGCTTTTTTCTTCTATTTTCTCCTTTTCTGCTCCTCTCAATATTTGTGATTTCCCAACCTCCCGTAACCCTTCCCAACCACCCAGAAATATTTTATGGGAGAAATTTCTCCTAAAATTCCATTTTCCTACATTATCATTTGCACTTGTCTATTTGTGCTGTCATTGTGTATTTCATTCATGCTTTCAAGTAATCACTGAATGTCCGCTTTGATTTGGAATGTCTGGCTAGCAAGCTTGGGGAAAGACATGTTTGCAGCGCAATGTCCCGGTATTAGCAACACTACTAATAATAGTAGTAGTCATCGTAGCACGTCCAGCAGGGCTCGTGTCTGCTTCATTATTTCGTGGCCTTTTAGTTCCGAGCGGTTTTAGATTGTTTCCCTCCTTTTGCTACTGCTACCTTTTACTGATTTCTTATTCTTTTCTCTATCTTTCTCATATGGCTTTGTTTGCGTCTCTTGCCAAGATTTTTTTGCTGGCACCCCTCTTCTTCTTTTCTAGAACAGCCAGCTTCTCTTCTTTTTACGTTAACATTGTTGTTGAGTAGCCGTTCCATTTCAAAGGTGCAACTTAGCCGGTGGCTATGAGTTGTATTCCAGATGCTGTTTGTGTTAGAGTTCGGCCGGGACTCTGTGTTTTCTTTCTTTTTCTAGAATTTTGTTGACATGGTTGCTGATACTGCCCATTCTAGGCTCAACTCTTCTGTGTATCTTATGCCTGCCAAGAGAACCCGACTTGTAACATGTGCACATGGGGCGTGTACTTCGAACTAGATTGCACATGCGCGCGCGCGTGTGTGTGGGTGTGCGTGTGTGTGCATGCCTGCTACACTGGTGAGATTATGGGAATGTGTGTTCTGTCCCCGTGGAAAATCGCGGGAAAAAATCGCAAAAAAACGCGGGGGGGGGGGGAACGCGGCATAATATGGCATAATTTGCGGTAAATATGCGGTGAATATTATTGATATGCGGCAAGTTTGCAGTTGATATGAGGCAATTTTCAGTGAGTACAAGTAGTGAAATCAATCAGTTACAAGTCTCTGGTGTAGGCACGCGTCATAATTATTTGAGTACAAAGCAGCCACGATGAGACGTTGCTGACCGAACAGTGCACTGTGCATGTGTGTACGTGTAGTGCAACAAAAAAGTTCAAAAAACGCGGCCGCGGAATCGCGATTTTCCCCGGGGACAGTGTGTTGAACTGTTGATATTTGATAGCAAAATTATGCGGATCTTTGTCATGGTCTACTGTAAAAGCAGAAATTGTCGGTGGTGTTTTATTTTCGGTAACTTCGGTGCCGACAATTTTTACCGAAAATAAAACGCACCGAAATTTTCGGTACAACCGATACTGTATACATGTAGTACTAGTACACCTACCTGGAGAACGGGTTTTACCGAAAATTTCCCGCTACCGAACCGCCGATTTTGGCGAATACCGAAAATATTACACCACCGAAAATTTCTGCTTTTACAGTATACGTTAGTGTGCATCATTACAGCATGCCATTGAGCTAGGTTACCCAGGACTCTTTGTAAAACAAAAAGGTTCCAGGCTGTCCAGTAGAAAATCCTAACCATTGATCCCTTCTCTGTGTGTGTGCGTGCGTGTGTATTTACATGTACTTGGTACTATCAATCCATGCACATCGTGGGAGTTCATTTAACATTAATTTTATGCAAAGGAAGAATGAACTATTACTTTACCTTTCGGTTGTAATTAAATCACCCTTTACTTGAGTGATTGCATGCCCTCTCATCGTCCTGCATGATCACAATGACACAACTATTTTTGTAATGAATTAGGCTGCACATCATTCATGATTGAAACCTTGACTCAATGACGGACCGTGTCCTACACAATACAATGTCCATAAGCATAGCCTATGATTGGCCAAGTTGAGTGAGTACTAGTACTACTCTACTCGACCAGGTAACAGTGACTGGAAAGATGAAGTCAAGTCAGTGGCCAGCCTAGGCCCTGGCCTGCCTCTCTGATCTGCATGGGCTTTTCTTCTATCAAGTGAAAGAAAACTATAAAAACAGCGTCCCGGAAGTGGACTTTGCGGGACGTGTGCCATATCGGTCAAGCTGTGGCCCTATCCTGTGCGTGTGATTGTGAAGCGTGACAGAAAAAGCAGATCATGCAGAAGCCTCGAGTGCCATATCGGCACATACAATACAGTCATGTAGATTTATCGGACCGGCCAAATAGGGTGTGTTAGTGCAGTTTCTTCCAGAAGTGCTTTTCTTTCTCCGTAGACCACGAATGCCGGTGGGCGCGTGGATCGGAAATACACCCACGCACAAGTCCTTGATCGCCTCCCTTTTTCTACCTACGCCTTGGCTACGGTACTACCTGCTATAACAGTCATGTAGGCTGATGCTGACACAGCTGTACAGTGACAGTGACAAGACGTGAAGTAGCAGACCGGTCGACCATTCCTGGCAGTACGGCAACAGTTACATACGCCAACACTGGCAACAGTCACAGAGCAGTGCAGTGCAGTGCCGGCACTCAAGTAATAGTTGAAGACTTTGAAGTGTCTGCTGATAAAGCTACACTTTCACACTACACAATGATTCGAGATTCTGGATTGGAAACCGACGCAATGTTGCTGAAGGGTCGCGTCGTGGTGTATTCCGTGGTAGGATGCCCTTATTGCAAGAGAGCGAAAGCTCGCTTAGAGGAGCTGAAAATCCCTTACCATGACATCAATTTGGACGCCTTCCCTGACCTGAGGGCTGACATGCAAGAGAGAACAAAGAAAACGTCTGTTCCGCAGATCTTTTTCAATAATAAACATCTTGGTGGATGGGACGACTTCGCAGAAGCGGTACGCTGGAAATATATGTTCATTAAAAATTTCTTCTTGATTCCCAAAAGTTATTTCGATTGCACAACTGACGTGTATGATTATAAATATAGGGGTGTGCGCTGTGTATAGGTGTATGTGTGCGTGAATGTGTGTGGTGTGTGCGTGTGTGTACATGGCTGTTTGTGTCCGAGTGTGCACACATAATGTATAGCAGCCGATTCCGCTTGTGAGATTTGTGCATGTGCGCGTGCTCGTGTGTGCGCGTGTGTGTGTGTGTGTGCGCGCGTGCTCGTGTGTGTGCGCGTGTGTGTGTGTGTGTGTGTGCGCGCACGTGTGTATGTATGTATGCGCGCACATGCGTGTGTACATATGAGCATGCAAGCAGCCCTCCTTCAGCTAACGCTTAGCGTTGCTTTTTAATTATTTACAGGAGTTCAAAGGAACGTTCTCGGAGTTTCTCGGGGAGGTGGCTGATAACGAAGTGCCAGCCGAGGCCCCACAGTTACCTGTTATGCAACGAACAGAAAGTGGTAAGACCAAAGTCCGTGTTTGCTTTAACAGAATGGAGTGTTTTTTATTCTTGTTTAATGTTTTCAAACAAGTCCATAGATCCAGTCTACTGTACTTGCAACTATTAGTGGTGGTTGATTAGATTCATCATTGACTCGGTCCCACGTCCACAAGGATAAACAATTACTCAGTACTGGTATTCTGTTCTGTGTGTGTGTGTGTGTGTGTGTGTGTGTGTGTGTGTGTGTGTGTGTGTATGTGTGTGTGTGTGTGCGTATGTGTAGGAGACGATTGCGACATGTCGTTCGGCATTGATGAGTACTATCAGCTTGTGCTGGACATCCGGAAAAGTGGCCTGATCGGCGACCATCGGTATCACTTGCGAAACTACAAGAACAGCTTTGTTGGTAGTGAGCTGGTTGATTGGCTTGTCGCAAACAAGAACATGTGTAAGTCCAGAGGCTTGGCAGGGCTTCTTCTTATTCATGCTACACTACAGTCGGTGCTAAAGAGCGAATACCGTGTTTCCCCGAATATAAGTCGCACCTTTTTATACTAAACTTCAAGCCAACAAAGGGGGTGCGACTTACAATCGAGCATGACTTACTACTGAAGTGAATATAATTGAAACGATATGACATGGACCTGAAAATGGGGATGCGACTTACGATGATCGAGTGCGACTTACAATCGGGGAAATACGGTAGGCTAAGGTGTTTACCAGGTGCTGGATGCCCATATGTCAGGTGCTGGATGCCCGTATGTCAGGTGCTGGATGCCCGTATGTCAGGTGCTGGATGCCCGTATGTCAGGTGCTGGATGCCCGTATGTCCACACTGCCTCGACTACTAGTACTTTAAAGTCTTATATATAACGAAGTGCTAATTCTAATGAGTTGACGAGGAGAACTCTGTCGTTAATATAGAAAACGTTAACAAAAAATGATACATATACTGTTGCTATTGAGCGTTGAGAATGAGCGAGAATCGTTGCCTTTGGTACACGTTAACTGGTCAATTTTAGGAAATCGTTATTATATGCGGCCCGTTAGAAATAATGGCTTTTTACAGTATATAGAGACTTCTGCATGAAAGATAAGAACAGCCTATGCTACGGCTCTGGACCGGCAGTATTTTCTGCACCAGACAGTACAGTAATGGTGCATAGCCTGGAGTTCTACTATCCTATTCAGGTTATGGGAATATTTTGTGATCCAATTTGTGTTTGACTCTCTCTCTCTCTATCTCTCTCTCTCTCTCTCTCTCTCTCTCTCTCTCTCTGTCTCTCTCTCTCTCTCTCTCTCTCTCTCTCTCTCTCTCTCTCTCTCTCTCTCTCTCTCTCTCTCTCTCTCTCTCTCTCTCTCTCTCTCTCTCTCTCTCTCTCTCTCTCTCTCTCTCTCTCTCTCTCTCTCTCTCTCTCTCTCTCTCTCTCTCTCTCTCTCTCTCTCTCTCTCTCTCTCTCTCTCTCTCTCTCTGTCTCTTTCTCTCTCTCTCTCTCTGTCTCTCTCTCTCTCTCTCTCTCTCTCTCTCTCTCTCTCTCTCTGTCTCTCTCTCTCTCTCTCTCTCTCTGTCTCTCTGTCTCTCTGTCTCTCTCTCTCTCTCTCTCTCTCTCTCTCTCTCTCTCTCTCTCTCTCTCTCTCTCTCTCTCTCTCTCTCTCTCTCTCTCTCTCTCTCTCTCTCTCTCTCTCTCTCTCTCTCTCTCTCTCTCTCTTCTCTCTCTCTCTCTCTCTCTCTCTCTCTCTCTCTCTCTCTCTCTTTCCACTAAGAGAATGCACATAATTTCTGTGCACAAAGGGCCACTGCCTGAAGTGTAGGGTCAAACAGTGCGGTTAACCAGCTACGGCGCAGTTTGGAACAAATAACCAGTTGCATGGCTACTCGGTTACTATTTCACTGTACCCTGCACGCAATGTACGTCACTGCATTACTACAGTAGTGCAGTCATGTACTTAGTTGTGGAGCTGCATTACCGTCGGTACACGCACCTGCATTATCGTCGGTACACGCACCTGCATTGTATGTGTACTGTACTACTGTGGGCCATGCATGCGTGACAAGGTGACATGACAGTTGAAGTACAATTGAGCCTACTGTAAGTCTACAAACTTTCGGCGTGTTCGATTTTCGGCCTCTCGGAGCTAAAACACATTTCGGTCGCATTAAAATTTCGGCCTGTACTGTTGCTGCCTGTATACACTGTCACACTGAACCTTGCAAAACAAAATGTCAGCCGCAACAAAGCCTCTATCCCCTATTATTAGTATCCATGTTGCGGAGAGTTTTTTTTGTAGTCCGTGAGGTCCTGGGCTTTACATGTACAGTCTCCATGGCACATGAATGAAGGGTACCGTATGTTCTCTATTATAAGCGCTGAGCTTATATTTTTTCAACACACCTCTACCCCGCGCTTATATTGGAGACTGTGCTTATATTTTTTCCAACCAATATTAAACTCCATGCAGAGCAAGAAGAAATACATGCTAGATATAGATATTATTGTTGTTGTTTTTTGATTGTCTAGCACGGAAAGAGGCAGGTGACATGGGCCAAGAGCTAATTCAGCGAAAGTTTGGTCATCATGTTACGGATGACCATGAATTCAAGGATGGTTACTTTTTCTATCGCCTGGTGGAGGATGATGAGTCTGAGGCCCTGAACACGAAGTTCCCGTCGGAGCTGGAACCAATGCCAGGTCAGTTGTGAATTCTGTACAGTGTGCTCATGGCATAGTTGTGGGCGTGGGTGTGTATGTGCCAGCTACTTTGGTTGGTGGGTGCACATATATGCCAGATAGTGTTGGGTCTGTTGCCAACGCCGGGCTTGGCGGCTTGAATGTGTATTGTTCAACCTGCCACCTTTTTTGGTGGTGGTGGTGCCTGGTGGTGATGGTGGTGGTGGTGGTGGTGGTGGTGGCGGCGGCGGCGGCGGTGTGTGGCGGCTGCGGCGGTGTGTGTGGTGTGGTGTATGCGTATGCATGTTTTGAAGGATGTTTACATCAATTTTGTTTATAATCTCCTTGTTTGGCTTATTTAACTTATGAATCAGACCTACGGGTGGAATCCTGATTATTTGAATGCGGCTTCACCTGTACTGGAATACCGCATTAATCCTTGTTTCACTGAATCTTTTGCAGCTGCCCAGCTCTCGGAAAACCTGCGCCGGTTAATTTTGAAGCTCTATGCAGACTACCTTTCGGATGACGGCAGGGTATGTACACTGGCAGTTAAACAATAGCATTTTTAGCTTCAGCATTTTAGCTACAATAGGGTGTTTTGTATGCATCGCGTAGTCACTTCATGATTTTCATCCATATATAGAGCTTTGCCACTAGCTTGCGACCCCTACATCCCGCCAAATTTGGTTGATCTCTCACTGGTTTGTCTTCTTCATTTATACTTGCTATATTTGCATGGGAGGTTTTCGTAGTTTTTTAGAGCACATATATGGACGATAAAAAAATAAAGTCAGTGAATGATTTTTTCCAAATTTGGTTCAGCAGATGTCCAGCGCTAGCGGTGCACTCGTTGGCCAAGTTGTAAGGACACAGCTTGCTTTTGAGTGTAACTGTTACTTATCCAGTGATACATGTACATGTACATGGTTACGGGTACACTCATACCTCGTTTTTCCCGGCGGTCTGGGACCGGGCACTGCCTGTAGCTTTGAAATGTCCGTAACTCCGAATCACATACCTCTTGATGGGGAAAGGCCATAGATATAGCATATGGCGTCACTATTTCCAAGTGCCCGTAACTTCGGTGTCCGGATAACTGAGATATGCGTGTACATGTATATGATGCTTGCTGAAATCTGACCTCTTGAAATGAGCAAAATATCCATACAACCGTGTGCTCACTTCAATTTTTATTATTTTTTAAATAAAAATTGAAGTGAGCACACGTTTGTATGGGAGCGTGAATCGTACTACATGTACATGTATACTGATTCCTGGCTCTGCATTATTCTTTGATTGTAGAGTGTTGACTACGCGGGTATGGCGAAAAGTGAACAGTTCGAGCAATACGTCAAGCTATCTGCAGAGTTACAGCGGACAGAAGTTGGCAAGATGACCCGACAGGAGACCCTTGCGTTCTTCATCAACATCTACAATGCCCTTGTTGTGCATGCCAACATTGAGCGTGGGCCACCGATCTCCGTTTGGCAGCGTTACAAAGTGAGTCGGTGAAATGGACCTAGTGATAGCGTTGTGGCTGCTGCTGCTGATGATGATATGTACACATGGGTGATCACTGATCACTGATCAGTACTTGTCACTGATCAGTACTTGTCACGCCATTTCACAGTGTTATGATTGAAACCATTAATGTGGCTGTGACGAGAATGATCGGCACTTACCTTGAACAAAAACGTTCTAGGAAACCTAAGCTGTGCGAATGGTGTGAGTATTCAATACGCAACTTGCTTTATTTATTGCGTTTATGTCATTTCTGTCTCCACGAAATCTGTTGATGTAATTTGTTTATGTGGATGTTCGTGTGCATGTGCGCGCGCGCGTGTGTGTGTGTGCGTGTGCGTCCGTGTGTGTGCATGTTTTTGTATTTGCATGCCTTACCCTATTGTGTTGTGTTCCCAGTTCTTCAACACAGTTAGCTACAACATTGGTGGTCAGCTGTACTGCTTGCAGGACATTGAAAATGGTGTGCTGCGCGCCAACAGGAAGGGTGTTGGGCAGGTGCGCGCTCCCTTCAGTCGCACCGACCCGCGCTTATGTGTATCGCTAGACCGCTGTGAGCCGCTCATCCACTTTGCGCTGGTGTGCGGAGCCAAGAGCTGTCCGCCCATCAAGACCTACACTGCCCCGGTGAGTAGCTCAGTGCATGAATCTCTGTGACTCTGTCTGCATGTAACCCCCACATCATCGCGTGTGCCTTTTCTCTACCTTCTTTTTCCTGTATCTCCATCTTTGCCCTTCCTCTCCTTTCTAGCTGACCAGCACCACTGCTTTCCACTGTCTCTTACACTCTCCTCCCGCTCTTCCTTTCCTAGTTCTCTTTCTAAAAGCATGTATGGTTTTTTGTGCCAGTGCCGGTAGCCTTAGTCAATCTGATCCTGTTCACGTGTGACGTACAATAACATGTCCATGTCTGGTGTACATACATTATGTGCTGTGTCTACTTATATTCGATGAAGTAAATCTTGGAATATTCACAGCTTGGAAAACAAATTTTGAATTCACTTCACCTAATGCCAAGCATGTCCGCTGAACCTGACCATAGAAGCCATAGTAGTTCCTGGTTTGGATCTTTGTCGTGACTAAAGAAGCTGTGCATAGCGAAGTTTCATAGTGTTTGAGGGATCTGGCAAAAACGAAAATCATTTGATTCGGAGCTTGCGGAAAAGTGGGAACTTCAAGTTTTTTTGGAGTACGGGAAATAGAGAGTCAGGCATGTACTTTCGTTGCTCCTGGCTGCCAAATCTGATGATTTGTTTTATTGTGCACATGTTCGACTTTATAAATTATGCTGGTTGTGATATGGATAGTGGCTTATTGCTGTTGTTTGTTTGTTTTTACTCGCCCTCCTCTTAGAACATTGATCAGGAGCTCCGTCTTGCTGCTAGTTCATTCTTGGATGGAGAGGCTGTGGGTGTTTCTGGCAATGTGGTAAGCTACTAACTAGGGCATGATACATGTAATAGCAAGACATAACTTGGTTATGTACTCTTTGTAATAGTATATCAAAGACGCATATATGCTTCTTTCACAGGCTCTTCAAGTATATTATCAGTTTGCATCCCAATCCAAGCCTAGGGCCTGCTAGCAAGAGTGTATAAATTTTAACCCCAAGAGTTTGCAAGTGCTTGAGCTTTATCTCTATCAATAGTGCCCCCCCCCCCCCCGGGATTGTTCTGCAACTCCGCTATGGGTGCTGTCCCGACAGAATTTCAAGTTGAGGGCATTTTGATGATGCAATTTGCGTTGTACAGACATATCCTGGAGCTTTTGGTGCACGAATCTCCATTTGATCCTGTACAAACTAAACAGGGTTTGCACAGGTTATGGAACGTCTGGAAAATGTATGATATTGTGGAACATGTTTTCAATGGCCTGGAAAACTATGATATTTGAGTGAGAGTTTTGAAAAGTTTTGGAGAACGAAGTTTCCGACTGTCACATTTCAGCTTGTGCATGTTCTTTGGCTTGTGTTTTGCGTGCGGTAGCTGTCCTGCACGTTCTGTATTTTATTATTGCATATACATTTGTGTCGTTGTCTGGAATTCTTTTCGCCTGTTCGGACTTTGGGGACCGCTTCAGCCTGTGCATATTCTTTGGCTTGTGTTTGGTCATGGAAAAGTTATTTTGGTTCGCACAGGAAAATCTTTTAAGTTTTGTGGTGATTTTCCTGTGCGAACCCTGACTATTAAAAGCAAGGAAACACGTGTGGATGCATTGACACCCAGTACAAACATCGCATATCGCTCGTGCGAGAAGCATTGCATCACATAAAACGGAGCGCCAACTTGAAATTCTGTCCGAGCGAATCTAGCAAAAACAGGTGTGCTATTTTATCAGCATTCAACCATGATGATCTGCATCACGTATGCCGTCATGCACTCTTCTAGAATAATCTTGTATGCAGTAGAATTTTCCTCGTCCAGCCACTGCCTGTAGCTAGGAATTGGCCATAACCAAGAACATGCATGTACAGTACATATGGATTGCATGCAAGTAACCACTTTTTTGGTGTCAATCAATATGTTGGGGTGCCATTTTTCGTTGCAAAGCCAATTTTTGTTTATAATACTCTAGAGGGGTCGGAAAAGGTACCCTGTCGACGGGAGTGTCCGGATCTGGGTAGTCGGGATTAGGGGCATCTTACTGTATGGACAATATCCTGATAATTAGATCACTGGTCGTATCCGTACTGGAACGGAAATACTCAGTCGTTTCTCTATGTGCTCTTTTGCGATGTAGGTATCTCTAAGTCGAATTCTCAAGTGGTATGCTGGTGACTTTGGTGCGAACAAGCATGAGGTGAGCATACAATGCAGTTTTTTTGACTATCCAGCGGAACATGTCATGTAACGTTACTCAAAGTCAAAGTACTTCACAAATTCATCTCGAGTGCTTGACTATGGATTAATACCGGTGTGCTATGTACCGTAAAGTACCGTTGATCCGCCCCCACACCATGTTGCTTCCCAGCTGGGTTTTCGGCAGGGGGCGGGAATTAGATCAAGGCTGTCAAGTGCAGTACGATGTACAACAACGTAGAAGTTCAGACTCGATGTGCTGGATTGTGCACATTTTCATCCTGGATTGGCAAATTTTGTGTACAGCAGTGTATGCGTCGGTTCAACATCGTATTTTCGTTGTATACGCCGAAGTCGCTTCACAGGTAGAAAATCGACAGGGGGGGGGGGGGGGGCAGGAATTAGAGAGGGGGCGGGAATTAGAGAGGGGGCGGGAATTAGAGAGGGGGCGGGAATTAGAGAGGGGGCGGGAATTAGAGAGGGGACGGGAATTAGAGAGGGGGCGGGAATTAGAGAGGGGGCGGGAATTAGAGAGGGGGCGGATCAACGGTACTTTACGGTACATGTGTAGCACTTGTCTTCTGCAGGCTTCGCCAGAACAGACCAGTATGGCAAAGTAGCTAGCTAGGCATGTTCTCTATCTATGGCTGAGCTTTGCAGGTGGAAAGACCTATGTCGATGTTGGTAAATCTGGTGCGTTTTGGGGGAGGGGTTGCCTGGCTTTTCACCAAGCCGTTGTTCAGAGTTCAACATAGTAATGTTTGGGCGCCGTCCAGTTTTATAATAATAATAATATTCGCGGGATCCGCGTCGGCATCGCTTGAATGTTCAGAAACACACAAACTAGCCTTCGCATCCGCAGGCCACCACTATGCCTGTTCACCTTAGTGGCGAATGCAGACCTCGCAAGTGAGTCAGGGGAGAGGAGGTTAGTCTCTCAACCAATCGGGCGTGTAACGGCCCATAACCCTGTAAACTGCATCCTTGTTATTCTCACTCCGAGCTGTGAGTACCCAGTTGACCGTGGGTGTCGGCACAGTTCAACACGCGTAAAAAGTCTTTTTACACGCTCCCTGCTACCAGCGCGGGTCTTGAACTCGGGACCTCATGATTCGCAGGCAGGCCTGCAAACCAATCGGCCATATGCGTTGGTTTTATTCCTTCTCTTTTGTGTGACTTAAAGTAAGTAGAACATGCAATGTACTTCAAGTACTGGTGTAGCTGACGTGTCGTAGGTCGCCTCTTTTTGTCACCCTCCTCCGTCTTTTTGTCACCCTCCTCCGTCTTTACGTTTACCCCAGTATGTGCTGATGGTGACCAAGCGCTGAACTCTTCCAATGTCACTTGTAATTCAGGTTGAGTTTTGTGCTGCCAGAGTTTGTGCTTGGTGGCTTTCATGCTCGCTCGCTGTAATGGCTCCTGGTAGATGTTTGCGTGCGTGTGTGTGTGTGTATGTGCTTCGCCCCTGTTCTGCTAACCGTAGATTCTTGCATTCATCGTGGAACACTTGCCTAGTGAGAGCGAGAAGAGAGCTATGCTGGCTCCACTGCTCAAGTCACGCTCTTATAGCATTGAGTATCAAACCTACGACTGGTCTTTGAACGGCAGCAGTTAGTCATTGCAGTACTGATGTTACTGCTGCTGTTGACATCCACTGGTGCTCATGGTCCTTATTATTATTATTATTATTATTATTATCATTATTATACTGTCAAGTTGACTTTTTAAATGTCATCAACTCGACTCTTCTCTCTCTCTCTCTCTCTCTCTCTCTCTCTCTCTCTCTCTCTCTCTCTCTCTCTCTCTCTCTCTCTCTGTCTTTTTTGTGAAATCATGTGCCGGCTTTCAGACATTTAAAAACCTGTTGTAGATGTCTTCGTCCTCATTTATTAGACTCATCTGTCTTCATAAATGTAAAATACTCTCTCGCTGCTCTTTATATACACATCTTTTAGCATTGACCTTTCAAATTTTCCCACCACCAACCAGTGCCTTTATTCATTCAACCAACAACCACATGCATGCAAGACAATTTTGATTGCAATGAATAAGTAGGCTGGAAAACCTAACGTTACTAAAATGTAACTTTCTGCATCTATCTGAATAGTTATTTTGCTCTGAGCTTCCACGAAACGACCATTCTGCTTTTCCTGTTTTTGTTAGCAAGACAATGAATGCTGTCTTTATAAACAATGAGTGCTGCTTTTATTATCAATCACCGAACCGAATGTTATTTTTCTGTTGTATTGACCTTTCCTTCATACCGCTATGCAATGTGTTACTTCTGCTTTTGCTAGTTTTATGGCTTTGTGCTGGGAACAGGGTATTACCCGGACATGATCTTCTTATCTTGAAATTTTCTGTTCATCCCCTGTGTATACCAGTCAGACTCAGGCAGCGCTTTATTTGACAACATACCAGTACTGTTCATTGCATCTCGGTGCTCATGTACTACTGTGCTTGCAATTTTTCTTTCAAAAGCACAACGGACTTAACTTTTTTTTTTTTTTTTATGAAAGTGCACATGCCTACATAGAATGGAAGTTACTTGTGTGACCATTGTTGTTTTTGCATACTCTTACCGTGCAGTGACTGCATCGTACAGCTCTGTAAGTGTGCAGCTGACTGCCGTGTATGGGTATATCCAAGAGTACATAACCCCCTGGACTCTTTGGTATATCCAAGAGTACATAACCCCCCAGAGTGTGCAACGCCTGATCCAGCTCTGCATAGGGTCTTGGTCGAGCGGAATCGGATCTTTGCGTCATAATACCGTACACATCTGAGGGGAACCCGGGGAGTCGCGGGTACTCTTGGATCAAAAACAATGGTGCCCTGCCTCGAGACCGGCCTTGCGCTGGTGTGAAGTGTACGCATGACATCAGAAGATCCGATTCCGCTCGACCAAGACCCTACACAGAGCTGGATCGGCATTGCACACTCTGGGGGGTTATGTACTCTTGGTATATCTCATCAAGAGTATGTCCCTGAGGAGTGTGCAACTCTCCACTATGGGTGTTGTCTCGGCAGAATTTCAAGTTGAAGACGTTAGTCATTGTTATGATGCATTCTACACATGTACAGTACCTACAAGTACAATCATGCATATGCTGGTACTACATTGTAGTATGCATGTCATACTACCAGCATAGGCATGTAGGTAGTACCAAGAGTCCATAGCCCCAAGAGTGTGCAACTGGTCTGGCTGCTGTTAGCCTGTACTAGGCTGTAGGCCCACTGCAGAGCGGAATTCCAACATTACGTCCTGCCGCTGAGGCTTGGAACCAGGGAGTAGTACAAGCGCAACGAACGTGTACGTCATTTTTGATGTAACGTTGGAATTCCGCCGTGCAGATCCCCATGCACAGAGTTGCACACTCTTGGGGTTATGGACTCTTGGTAATACCAAGAGTACATAAACCAGAGTGCAACTCGGGATGGTTCCTGTGGGAGCGTAATTCGTGCAGTACGTCATTTCTGACGGCATGGTAAACCACAGGTACGGTGAAAAGTTGCGTAACCAGTCGCGGTGGTGCAGGTCACTGAGTTTGTCCTGATTTCGGTTTTTTTTGATACGGATAGCCTGGTGACTTTACTTGTCAGTGGATGTATGCAGCGTACACAGTCACACAAAACACCGAAATCCTGAAACAGGACGTCTAAAATCAAGCAAACTTGGCCGGTTTCCAGGCTATGAAACATGAAAATTTGAGCTGTACGCAAGTCGCGGCTTGGCTGACCTCATCAGGGTGACATAGTGCACGAACTGCGCTGTTTCAGATCTGACATGCACAGTTGCACACTCTGGTTTATGTACTCTTGGTAATACTGTACATGTGTTTTATAATTTTATTATGTGTATCACCAAAGTGACGCTCACTGCATTCATTTCAACCCGGAGCAGTCAGCAGTTCCAGGACACTACAATAATTATAGGTACAGTTGTGCTGTGTGAAACCTAGCCCAATTCCACATGCAGGGTACGGATCCTGCTGAATGTACACATGTACAAACACAGTGATGTGATGTGAACTGGTCCAGGGTGCTTGCTTGGTACTTTGGGTAGGATTTCACACAGCGCAACTATAATACTCACAATTCTAAATAGAACAATTGGACAGGACAATGGGTGGACTCACAATCGATATAGACAAAATTAATGGTTCAACAGCCACTTTGGGTCAAGAAAGTCAGAAATACGAGAACCAAAATGCACAACACAGCTATGTACAGGGTTTCAGACGGATCTTGGCCTGTAGTTTATCTATCATATGTACAGAAAGCTTTGCTGCCTACTTTTTAAAGGGTTAGACATCTTATAACTACAAATGTGCAAGGTTAACAAGTATGTACAATGGACAAATCCAAGAAAGCAATGCGAGAGGGAGAGAGAGAGAGAACATTAATCGACAGTGGGGAGCTTTCTCCGATCTCGCGATGCGTTTCTCTTTCTTTTCTTAATTGAAAACTTATCCAGTTTGTTCGTCTTTTTCAGCTCAGCAAACTTGGTTGCAATCTCCAGCTTCTTCTGGTCACCTACAGGGACATGAAAAACAACCAGCAGAGTACTTTCTCGAATGTACTATCGAGAGGCAAAAAGGAATACAGAGTACACTGTTTCAGTTAATAAAATCCCTATTTGAATAATGTGGATGAACGCTGGTGGCCAGCTCTCTTTGACGGTATGGTACGGGACATGTACGGGATAGCGCGCCAGGCGGGGCGACGCTAGTCACATGGTTCGTGCCGCCCCTCCTCCCCCCCCCCCCACACAAAACATACAAAATAAAGCGCTGTGGACTCTGGCTAGCGCCGCCAGGCGCTACTACTCGTAACATCTCGCGCATAGCTCCGGGAATTAACTGCTATTCTGTGCGGTCATATTGAACTGATGTGTACGATGTAGCAATCTGTGACACTTTTAACCCTTCACCGACTGAACTCAATGTATGTGGAGAACTGTGCCCTCAAATTTATTTTATATTAAAATGCGGCAAAGCAAAGCATGTGACAGCCACGTACTCTTTTTCAGGTAGAAAGGCTTTTTGCCTTGCTTGATCAGATCCTGTTGATGCTTCCTAGTCTCTCGCTTCGCTGCTTGTTGTTCTTTCCTCTGCTGGTCCCTGCGCTCCTGCTGGTCCTGCAACAGCAACAAGCAACAAAACACCATTATACCTATCTGTCAGTGTCCCATCATCATGTACAGTCATGAAGATTCTACTGAAATACTGTTACCTACAATGCTACATGTACAATGCAAGCATGGCACGCTACTGGCACTTTGGCAGGAGAAATACACACACGGAAGACACAGAATTAACCTTGGGACTTTGAGGAACTTGGGAAGGTCATTGCCGAAAGTAATAGCACCCATATTACATAAGGAACACACATGCATGCATGTACTCGTGTACAGGCCTGCCACACACATACATGGGACAAACTCAACTCAATACGCTCAAACACGACAACATCAACAGTAGAACTGTGCTAAGATGTACCCGCATGGGCTGCAGGAAAGTGTACTTACCATCCGAGGCACTTCTTATCACAACCTACTTCAGAGTACGCACTAAGTGAATTGCACTGTCTTTGAAGTCGTGCTTTGATACTGGCTGCAAACAAACGTCCTGCAAATCACCCTTTTCAAATAGGACATACCGGTACCGGTGGCCATAGATGTCACATACATGTACACACTTGCGGTCAGCCAACATGGTATCAAAATTTAATTGTGATGGCTTCAATCGGCTAGCGAGTCCATGAATATGCACTAAACTTGGGAGTAGCAGACAGTGGAGGGTACTGTATGAAGTTGAAACCACCAATGCTATAGCCACGGCTTACCAATCGAGATAGCATCGTGTTAATCTCTAACTTCCTGTTCGGATCTCGGGTCCGCTTGGCTTCACGCCGAAGCTCCTGAAAAGGAGAAGCACCAGACAAAAGACCGAACGTTAGGCAACAGCAATGCTAATAAGCCAATACGCTGATTTCCAGTCATAAACGGGCACCTGATGGAAATATCCATAACAAAGTTAGTTCACAGTAAAATGTCGTTGACCCACCCTGTGGGTGTGTCGCTTCGCAGCTGGTTTCTCAGTATGGGCGGGAATGAGATGCAGGCTTCTCAGTAGGGGCGGGAATGAGATGCAGGCTTCTGAGTAGGGGCGGGAATGAGATGCAGGCTTCTGAGTAGGGGCGGGAATGAGATGCAGGCTTCTGAGTAGGGGCGGGAATGAGATGCAGGCTGTCATGCGCAGCACACACTACAATGTACAACAACGTAAAAGATCAAACATGCCGTGCGGGATTTTATCCACCGGCTAGCTTTGCATGATGGCAGCCGTGAGCGCCAGTCAAGTGTCAAGCAAGGTCAGTGGGGAAAAGCGACAGTCATTTCATTACTCAATCTCTGGACAGTCAGCTGTTTGTGTTTGCATCTTGTTTGGTGCAATCAGCGGAGCTCAGAGTGATTGGCCCCGCCGATCGCAATCAAGTCTAGTGTACAGCGCAGCGTTTTTAATTTGCCGGAATGTGTCAAAGTCAGAGCATGAGAAACACAGCTAGCTTTGTTCTAATCCTTTTGCTAGAATGATCTATTACTTGGCTAGTAGGGAAATGGTGGTAAAACACACACACACACGTAGCAAAATTTAACAGGTATGATTGCACTAGCCCCGTACAATGCCCAGAGATGTGTGCGATCATACCCTCTGGATATTGTTCTGATGACAGCGACATGATGTAGAACATTCGCTCATTCATTACAGTTCAGGAACGACTATTGGTTACGTTACGCAGATGAAGAGATTAGACTGAGAAACACAGCACAAAATACAGCTAATGTAGGTTCACAGAAGATGAAGTGGATGGAAGTTTAACGTCTAAACTTTTTAATAATAGCCAACCTTCTTCTCAGTCGATTGGTACGACTCAATGAAGTCATAAGACTTTTGGAAGAGATCCGGGTTTAACTTTCCCGACAGGTCGTCGAAACGAGGGTCACGAGCAACCTGAATGCCAAAAATACACGCGTAGAAGAACGCAATTAGAAGTGCACGTTGATGCATACATGTACATAGCACTTACATGCAAAAAGCAGGGATAACTTGGAATCAACTACTATCCACTTCAATGCACAGGCGAGGGTAAATGAACCGCTTGCACACTGGACATGTGTAAGTGAACATACTCGTACATAGCACATGCACACTGCCCAGATAAGACCCTGACAGGTTCAGCTGAATGTCTGCACAATCGAGGTAGGACAGCACATAAGATGATGCTCCTAATATCCAGAACAAGCCCCTCCTGGAGGAGCTATGGGAAAAGAATCCCCCAGAACAACAGTCTTGTGTTTGTAGTAATCATGGTAATAGTACTTGTCAGTATGCAGATAAGGTACAGACACCAGAAGCAACCGACACAATGCCCAACCTTCTTTTTCCGAAGAGGATCTTTAAAGGCGGATACTCGCTGCTTTGAAGACTTTTCAACAGGCCTGCATGGCAAACAGTGGAGAAAAGGCAGCAGACGCACACAGACACATAAGTCAAGTACAAATAGATCAGTCTGGTGAGGATTAGAACACCGATGCATGTGGGGCGTGCACTAAGTAGTTTGCAGTGCATTGATATAAGCAGATAGGCTGCAAGACAAGTTGAGCAACATGTCAGTCATCAGGAGGTTGTTGTCAGACACCAACCTGTTCTTGTTTGTGCGAGTGAACTGCTTTTTCTCTTTCGCTTCATCGGACTGCAGGCTGGATTTCTTGGAGCTGTACACGGCATCAAACCTACACGAAGAACAGGCACATGGAGACGAAAATCTAGTCGCAAGCTTGGAAGAGCTCAGCAACATCCCACAATGAGTACTAGTGCTGAAAAAAATACTCAGCGCCAGGTGTGATTGAGCCCCCCCCCCCCCCCCCCCCCCCCCCGCAATGTGCTTACTTCTTGGTACCGATCTTTTCGCGGAGCTCCACCAACTCACCAAAAGAGCAATCCCTTAGCCCTGTGACACGGGCACACGAAAACAACGCACAGAAAAAAACAGAAAATAATGTTTGAGCGCCATCACCCTTCTTCGTGTCAGACCAGGGTGCATACTGGTAGTGACGCGGCAATCCCAAACACAAGTAAACAAAACCGAGCCAACTGTCTTACCTTCTGGCAGCTGGTCGTCACCACTTTCCTGAAGACAGAGAAACAACCATGGAAGAATCAGCAGCAGCAGCAGCAGCAGCAGCAGCAGCAGCGGCAGCAGCAGTAGCAGCAGCAGCAGCAGCAGCAGCAGCAGCAGCAACACATGCAAAGGTGATCAAACTACATGCACCAGATAATGGCCAAATCGATGGTAGCCATCTCTAGTCCAGGACTACCTGGGTATTCGAGAATAAAGAACATAACTCAATGTGCCGTCGGGTGATTGCTTGTTTGCGAAGGCAACTACGAGGCATCCAGGCACGGTAATACTGTCAGTGCACATGCATCGGCCAATTATATGAAGTAGGCGATACATTATTTTGGCAACTTAGTGACATGCATGCACACGCGCAAGTAAAGCCCACACACACGTATACACACACACCCCTCCGGCAGCTGGCCAGGAATGTTGGAAATGTCATGCTCATTAGAATGGTGCAATAGCGACGTCTACAGGGAAAGCCTATCAGCATAGAGCATATGACTCGAGACGTACAAGCCAAAAAGCAAAGCAATGACTGAATGAGTCTGTCAATGACTCGACAATCGGGCCGGAACATGGTAACCACTTGATCAGCTATCCAATCGGCAAAAGCGACAGCAGAAGCAAGTTGCATGCACGTGTGTATATGTTTGAGAGAGCTAAGATAAATTATACCAATGCAAACACCAGGCGACAAGAAACGAGATAAATTCACAACCAGAAAGCGAAACATGAAAGTGAGGAATACTGACCTAAATTTACAAACAATTTCAGTGTGAACAAATTCTTTCTCTGCTTCTTTTTCTGCATGGTTTGCGCTAAATTAAAATAAGGTATAAACTACTTTGCAGTTTGCGTATTTATATATTATTTAGTTATCGGATTGTTTTGGTTTGCCAGTAAATACTTCTGATGAGATGGCTTCAAAAACGTTGAAGGAATATACATGACAACTATTTCTTAAGGTACGCAAGCTCCACTGCAGACACTTCATGACATGAAAACCCGAAACTGATTGAGATATTGTAATTCGCAGTGAGGAGCCCACTGGATTTGAGGGTGGTATGTGTACGGTTTTCATACATGGCAAGTAGTTTTTACTGATGGTGTTTGTACTGAGTGCACAACTCACTCTATTTATTGCATAAATCACATTAACATAATAATATTATTGTCCACAGTAGCAAAACCATTGATTACACTTTACAAAATGATTTTATGGATTCAGCTAGTGAGTCCAATGGGGAAAAAACTACGTACCTCTTCACTAGCTGAGCTGTCTGTAGTAACATCTCCTGTGTCCTCATCAGAACTCATCTTGCTAATTTGTTGCTCAATGGACACTGCTGAAATAGTAGTGCCCAGTACCACGGCAGCACAATGCAGACAATTCACAGCAAAAAGAGCAAGACAGTCAGTGAGTGCAGTCACTGCAGTTTGAAACAAACTGTGCTAAATCTATGACGTCATCAGCCACGAGTGCAAAAAAAATATAATTATGGTGAAAAAAGGTCTGCTGCGCGCGTGGCCCGTGCATCCATGCAGCGCCGCCGTTGTCGGTGCGCCGCTTTTCAAATTTTGCCTCAACAAGCTGGGATCGGGAGTGCACGCATCGTTGATGACGAAAAGTGTCGTTTCTGGTATCTCCGAATTTGACTTTGGTGAAATAGTTGTTTCTCTTCTTCAGCCGTCCTGACTTCTAGGGTGAGTGATAAGCCTGGTGATTCCTTTAACTTGCATTGAAATTTACTATAGTAGCCGGCGGTATCCTTATTTTTGCTGTCCAGCCTAAACATGAGTTCCACCAGTCAGAAACATCGTGATTTCACCGGTGAGCCTATGGGCGACAAGGATGTCACTGAATTGCCTGGCATTGGACCCGCTCTCGGCGGCAGACTGAAGGAGCAAGGCTTCGACAAGGCCTACGTCGTCTATGGTCAGTTCTTGGTGCTGAAGAAGAACGAAGAGCTATTTCTGGACTGGATTAAGCAGACTTGTGGTGCGAACGCGAAGCAGGGTGGAGATTGCTATCAGGCCTTCAAGGATTGGACAAACTCCTTCTTGTGAGGTAGTGGTACAGCCTTTTCCAGTACATTCTTGCCTGGAGAGCTTATATCAGGCATTTTATACGTTATGGATCTAGCTGTTTTATAGTCGTGTCCAGTTTTAGCGTTGTGGTTTGAGCTTGACGTCCCATCTGCAAACTTTTTAGTTCATTGATATAGCTTTTAGCTTTTCAGAGAAAGATCAAGTCCCACTTTCTTGTGTGTTGTGCTTTTAGCTTTTCACGTATTGTCGAAAAAATACAACTTTAATAGCCCCTATAATCATTCGATATGTGAAAGTACAGTGCTGCTCAATGAGATCCGACTCGAAGCTCAAATCTGTGCCTTGCAGATTTCGGGCCCTGGGCTGTACGCACTAGCAAAGTGCACGCGCTCATCATGCCCCCAGCATACGCGCTCATTATGCCCCCAGCATGTGCAAGTGACGTTTCCGCGCGGGAACTGCGGCATCACAACGATAAACAAGTCGAAAAAGGGAGAAAAAATAAAGAGTTTTCTTTGGACAGACGGCACGCGCTGACCCCGAGCGTGTGCCATATGGCCGATGATGAAACCAAAATCATTTCGCGGCGCTCGTTCTGAAGAATCTGAACTTCGGTTCGGATTTCATTGAGCAGCACTGTAGATGCTGCTGGCCTGCTATATGTATCTCTCCTTGTAGCTCAGTGGCAACCTGTCATTAAAACCCGGTGCGGAACGCACTGCGGAACATTGACTATGCATAGATTGAAAACAGGGAGTACTATTAAAAAAACACGGTATCTCCCCACTCCCTGGTTCAAGCTAAACCGATAGTATTGTAATGGTACTACCGTATTTCCCCGTAAGTTAGTTCTCCCCAATGACTTAGTACCCCCGTATAAAAACACACTTTCCACTGCCGAGGTTATCACCCCGAAAAACAGTTCCCCCCGAAAGATAGTAAGTTTGTACCCGTCCTACATGTACAGACGGTACCATACAGTACATACATCATATGCACAGACACTAGAGTTGCGCAGACTGTGTGTCATTTACCCCCGATAAAAAAGTACTCCCCGAAAGATAGTACCACCCCCGAAAGTTAGTACTCATGTGGCTGCTAAGTTCGAAAGTTAGTAAGTTAGTACGTACTAACTTACTGGGAAATACGGTAAGTAGATAAACAAGCGAGGTACGGAGGGCTTGATGGCTAATCAAAGCCCAAGGGACCAGCCCGAGGGCTTTGATCAATCGTCAAGCCCGACTGTACCTCGCTTGAATATCCTTCAGACGATCCCCCACAATATTTTTAAATTTAGAATCGCTTTTTTTCTTTCGGTGATCTCGGGTGTGGACAATGTCGGTCTTTCGTTTGGGGTTTCAGAGCAGCCTGAAGTCTAAAGTCCACGTCGTTTTCGTCCCGTTCGTAAGTTTCACACAGAGATTACAAGAAAGGGAAAGTCATGTGAGTGGACGATAAACCTGTTTCGTGAGAAAATTTTGAGACTAGAACAGACGTAGGTAAAGCAGGGATGAATTTATCCTGTATCGCATCGCAGTTTGCTACGCAAAATCGATCTACTCCTACTCAAAAATGACAGTGACACGCAGAAAACTGCCATACATACATGTACAGGCTATCCATGCTTTTCGTAGCTTACGCCACAATTGAGATTTTGCATAGCAAAAACTGCTATGCAAAAACGTGACAGTAAATTCATCCCTGTAAAGTATTTTTACTTCGACCATACACACCTTGCTCACTCTCCACACTGCTAAGAGTTCTGTGCTGGTGGAGCTAGATTTCACGAGTTGAGAGCCACCGCATCCCCGACCACCACCCATATTGGTTTCTTGTTCCTATAGCCAGACCACCTTGAAAAGAATGAGATTGGGCATGATCAAGACTTTGATGGTTTTCTCGTACAGTTTGTCCCTGGCAGCCTGCTTTGATGGTTTTCTCGTACAGGTTGCCCCTGACAGCGGGCTTTGGCAATCACAGCCTGCTCTCCGAGGCTGCTCATTGGTCGTAACCTAGTAAAGGGCACGTGGGTCATTTGAAAGTACCATTGGTCCGCCCAACCCCTGTCGATTTTCAAAGCCTAGATCTAGTTCCTGATCCTTGCCGTAAATAGGCCGTTGAAGTCTGACATCACAGCTTCTTGACAACGCATAGCGACCGCACCAACTGGTGACGAAGAAAATTCGCGTCACCCACGCTTTTTGTATAGCCAGTGGTAGCAGCATCACTTTTACTTGAGAGCAAGCAAGGACAAGACCATCTTCATTTTCTTTCCATTTGTTGATGAGTTTTCTAGTTTTTGCAATGTAGAGAAGGAGAAACAGTAACTGACGTTTTCGTTTAGCCATTGATGTGTCTGTTCTGTCATTCGGTTTTAGTCTCAAGCCAAGAAACCATGATTGGTGTCTCTGTTATTAATTTCTATCACGGCGATCGCTGATTTCTTTTGGTTCTGAGACCAATCAACTCTAGCCTCGTTTCCTTATCCAGAGGGAAGCGAAAATCAGACCCCATATCTCTCAGGTGCTGGTGAACACTCGGCAGGAATACATTGCACAGTCTCTAAACAACGAAAAGTGAACTTCTTCAAGAAGAAAACGGAAATGTGTCCTTGCATCTTGCACGAGCTCCAGTCAAAGTGTTACTGTGACCACTGGAAGCACAAAAGTGTAGTTATAGGTGGTGTGACTTGTTTGTCACCACTTCGTCCCGTGGTACTCATTTTCAAGAGGCGTCGACGGCCTATCCAGCTGTAACGTACAATCCATGGTTATAGGCGATTCAGACTATACGGCCAACTGTGACCACGTTTCTACGACTCAGACGTATTTGATCAGCGATTGTGCATAATTATTTGAAACACAGCTGCATCACCATGGAAATTCAAGTTCAGATTTCATGGCGGGTTTTGTAATAGGCGCTAAGTTTGCAGCGTGAGTCGCTACTGCAAGTGCAGCGCTATTATTCAAAGAGGAGCTTCTAATGGAGTATTAAAGTGCGGTATTTATTTCTGAACACATTGCACATGTGGGGCATCAAGAAGTTTGCGGTAGTCATGAACTTGAATGTGTGGTGGTTGCACAGTACAGTTTGGCATTCACGAAAGTGTCATGGTAACCCAAATTGAAGGTGCCCCGCATAGAAACATTCCCGTATCTAAAGCGTCTGTGAATAAGAGCTGTTTGAGTGTTGTTGTTTTTGCCAACTACTTCTGCCCATGGCAAAAATGCGCAGACACAACGAAATTACAGACCCCCAAAAAAGCACCCAGACAGGAACACAAAAATAAAGAGCAACCACAGGCAACCACAGTTATAATTGTAGAGGATTGTACCAGTTCCGGCTAGGCTTTCCCCAAATCGGCCAGCCGAAAACCAGACTTAGCGAAAAATCGCTAAGCCTTTCGCCGATTATGGAGGATTCCTTTGAGAATCGCCGAAAATCTACAAAATTTTGTTGCAAAGTGTGTTTACGAATGAATGATGTTGCTGCAAGCATGACCGCTCGAGCTTTCTACTTCAGTACTTGTAGAACTAGTGCGTTGAGGTCGTGTGACTCGTGTCGTTTGACCTCCTCTCAAACAAACATTACTGATTAGCCATTACAGTGCATTTCAAAACTATAGACGCGTAGGGTTTTTGAAATATTTCAAATTTGGCTGGAACTTTTTGAGAATTGTTTTCGGAATATTGCTCAGGATCGCTCCACAATTACTCTCATTATAGTTTCTAAAGGATTGGATAACAGACGCCCAATTTGGAAAAAATTATGCACAAAGTGATCACAGATTTTATGTGGTATAGATGCTGGCATAACGGTTTTTGCCTAGGTACGCGTCTATAGTTTTGAAATGGACTGTAGGAAGATCATTACTGGTAAAATACTACACTACAACAGTTGTGACGAGTTCCATCTAGCAGAGCTGTATTTCAAATACCTCACCAATTTTGAAGCCAATATGCCAACAATTCTTTTAGCCGATTTTCCAATATATTCCAATTTTGCAGCCGATTTTAGAACAATCAGCTGATTTTGCAACCGAATCTGATGTATTTTTGAGCTAAGCGAAAAGCCGAATAGGCGAAAAAACGGGCCGATTTGGGGAAAGCCTAGTTCTGGCCGGATTTCAACTCCCAAGCACTAATTACGAGACCAGGAATTTCCCTATTCCCCCTAGAATAATGAGGATCTGAACCGGGGCATAGCCCCATACGGTTCAAATGGTCGCAAGACCAAGACTCTACAACCGGTCTATGGTTGTAGTCAGCTCAGGAGCACTGTTTCCCGTACGCTGCGTCCTCGCCGCCTTGTTCACGCTGTCATCGTGAAAACAGAGTACATGTGCAATCATGTAGTATCGGCCTGACATTCTTCTCAGCCTCTACAGTCCATTCAGAAAAAAATGAACTAAAATTACTTCTAGCTTTTGGCCATAAATGGGTCAAACGTTGAGTTTTTTTAGAATTTTTTTCTGCAATCCCATATGGAATCCTCTTCCAATTATGTTTCTGAAGTTTTTTTGTCCAAAAAGCAAGCCATAGCAAGAATAGGATTTCGGCCAGGTTTTGCCCCAAAAGCACTGAATTGGGAAAAACCATCAAAATCCAGGCCGTTTGACCCCGCCTGCAACAGTGCATTCTGCGGTTCGAACCCCAGTTCAGGCACCCTTTTTGGACCCTTTTTCAAATTTCAAAGTTCGCAGCACTGCACTGTGTACGATGAAATCACGAAAAATCGCCAAATACGGGAGCTCGCCAGAGCCAGGACCCATCTTTTTATGAATGGACTGTAGGGACTCGATGACGATGTTGTGCTGTGGGTCTCTCGTCTGACTACCATCATAATCATTGGCCACTGCCCTGCATCAGTCTATTTGGTGACATAAATGCGTAAATGAGAGCCGGATCATGATCAAGCAAGCTACAGTACATAATAACATTGTCATTGTACAACTACATTACAAGACACAAGAGCACAAGTCAAGCAAAGTTAGCTCTCTCTTTCTGTCTATCTGTCTGTCCGTCCACCATTTTCTCTGTCTGTCTTTCGCATCACCTTACATGATACACACACAAACTCTCTCTTTCTCTCTCTCTCTCTCTCTTTCTCTCTCTCTCTCTCTCTCACTTTCTCTCTCTCTCTCTCTCTCTCTCTCTCTCTCTCTCTCTCTCTCTCTCTCTCTCTCTCTCTCTCTCTCTCGCTCTCTCTCTCTCTCTCTCTCTCTCTCTCTCTCTCTCTCTCTCTCTCTCTCTCTCTCTCTCTCTCTCTCTCTCTCTCTCTCTCTCTCTCTCTCTCTCTCTCCCCCCCCCCCTCTCTCTCTCTCTCTCTCTCTCTCTCTCTCTCTCTCTCTCTCTCTCTCTCTCTCTCTCTCTCTCTCTCTCTCTCTCTCTCTCTCTCTCTCTCTCTCTCTCTCTCTCTCTCTCTCTCTCTCTCTCTCTCTCTCTCTCTCTCTCCTCGCTCTCCTTGTCAGACTGCCGGTCTCTCTGCGTCGTCGTACTGTTTATCTCCTTCCCCTTCATTGTGTTCTAGCCTTCCTCTCCTGCATGTATCTGTATTTTCACTGGTCTGCCCGGGTTACTCTGTTAGCTGGGCTGTCTGTCTCTCTGCCTTCTGCTCCTATGCCTGAAACTTGACTGAGCCGGCCTCTTATATGAGCATTCTCGATGATCTCCCCCCCCCCCCCCCCCCACCGGCCTCTGAAGTATACTGTATTTCTCTCCTAAATGTTCGCCCGGCCTCGGTATTAGAGCTCTCATTGTCCATCTCAGTCGGACCAGGCTCCACCTACCCCTTCCCCATATCTAATATTTTCTGCTTTTAACCCCTCGTGCACCTCTGCTCGTTTGGTCACTGCAAATTAAAAAAAAAGATACGGGTACATGTAAAATCAACACTGACAACTACATGTACAAGCAAGTAATAATTATTAGTTAGTAAGTCGACCATGGTAGACAAGCAACTCTTGCTCATGTGTCTACCATGGTCTACTTATGGACTTACGCGTAGTAAGTCCTTTTACTCTGACGTTATCATATTCATAGCCTATCAGTATGACTATGTATGCAAAATGACAGCTGACATGACCTGGCGCGTTGTCGTAGACCATACTACGTGTATTACCAAGAGTACATAATTACCCCAGGGGTTACTGTACATTCTACATCATGCTTGGTAGACCTAGGTTAGTACTAGTAGGTAGCCGGTATCGGTACGACTCGTAGATCTACGGACGCAGAATTTTTGGCCGCGCACCGACACCTCGCACTGCGTAGATCTACCGGTCGGTACATTTTTCTGAGTAGATCTGGCCTGCCTGCTACTAGTGCTAGCGCTATAGCGTGCATCTGACTGTAGTGTAGTGCGTACTGAGTAGATCATCATCATGCATGGTAGATCTACACTCCACAAAACAAAAAGTGCAAGTAGATCGAGTAATCAATCAAAACCGGCAACGGCTTTTTGTCGTCGACGTCGCTCTGGAGAACTGCAGTTTAGGTTGATTTCAAGTGACAGTTGGTTGTCGTTTTTCTCTCGTTTATATCTTCAGTACTTTGCCTTGCTCTAGTATTTCATCATGCCGTTTGGGGGTGGAGCGAAATGTGGCCTTTGCGCCAAGACTGTGTACATGAATGAGGAGGTGAAATTCAACTCCCAAAGCTGGCACAAGCTCTGCTTCAAATGCGCGGGTTGTAGCAAACTTCTCGAAATGGGTGCAGCCGTCGATCATGGCCAGAAAATTTATTGCAAGCAGTGTCACTCCAAGAGCTATGGAACGGCAGGGTACGGCCATGGTGTAGGGGCTGGAGTTCTCAGCACAGACAATGGCCGTGGTCCAACAAGCACTGCACCTCAGAGGCCTGCCGCGAGTCCCGCGACTGCTGCTGCCAAATCGTCGTACGGTAAGGCAACATGATTTGCTGGTTCTGTAATAGGTTAATATTGTGTGGCTATTGTTACGTGTTGAGGTAAATCGCGCTCTCAATCCAGCAATTGACAGTTGGTAGAGAAATCTCTTGCACTGCAGGTCTATGGTTGAATATCGTACTCGTATCGTCCACCTGAGGCAAGCTTCTTGGACCGGCTGTGATTGGTTTTGGCGGAAGTCCTTGAAAATGCACCCATTCCCAACCCAAATCAGACAAATGACTCTGCAAGTGCAAAGTTGCCAAACCTAGTCAGCCGGTGTGGAATGCCGATAGAGATATCGTGGATATCCACATGTGTGTCGCACTATGGTTTGTTGCTGCTACGTAACTCACTGTAACTACATAATATTGTACTAACTAACAGTAACTGTTACTTGTGTCAGGAATGTTGCTTGGGGGTGACCCAGACAGGAATACTAAAATAGTAGATCATGCATCAGTACACGTGTGACTGGAATACCCACCACCAATGCCGCAATGGCACCATCCCTACTCTGCACAACATTTATGTGGATGGTATAGACTACGGTACAGTACTGCTGGTCTCATGCCAGGGGGAGACCAGCACTGCGGTGTTCTTGCACCATGCACAAGGCATGAATACTGGTTGTACTTGTAGTGCGCGCAGTGATGTATTGTGTGCCGTGCCCGAGGCAAACTCTATAATAATTGTGTTGGCCACTTCGTATCCTGCTCTCTTTCGTTTTATCTGGTGTTTAAGCTGCTTTCCCAATTATTTGACGTTGTATAGAAGTGATTGACTGCTAAGTCATGTGTACTGTACAGTGCTATTCAATGAAATCCGATCGGGAGAGTCAAGCTTACGCCCTGCACCATTTTGCATCCCAGTACTCGCAGGTCTTGGGCTTTACAGCACCCGCAGCGTGCCTGACCCACACGATCGGATTTCATCGATTTTCATTTTACCTGCAAGCTTCAACAAAATAGTACATGTATCATTATCTGATGAGCTAGATAGATTCCCTGATCTGGACCTGCGCCTACGAGGGCCTCTGGCAAATGGCCCTCACATCAGTGATGTAGGACTGGACAGGTCTTCGTGTCACTGGACAGCGCAGAGAGACACTATGGTCATGTCTAGAGACACTATGCCTATGGTCATGTTTTAGTTATGTTTTCTCTCTATTTCATGTTTAGGTGCATACCGTACCCAGAATGCCATGCGGTCGCAGGATAGTGTGGGAGCCATGGTTGGCAGCGGCGGTAACAAATGCCCACGCTGTGGCAAGGCGGTGTACCATGCTGAGAAGCTCGTGGCCCTGAGCAGAGTGAGTGGAAATTGTGTGTGTGGGGGGGGGGGGGGGGGGGGGGGATGTTGCTGTTTCTTGTCATTGATTGCCAACTAACTTCACAACAAATATTTGTATCCACAGTGCCACACACAAAGCCAGTGATTTTCTTTGTCACCGGGCCATGCATGATTTCTTTGAGGTCATTTGTCTAGTCCAACTACATGAAGTGATTGTAATTAACACCAGTGTTATGTGACTGAACACATTTGTAGTACATGTGCCTGGAAGTAGACCAATGTACTGGTACATGTAGTCTACAATACCTGTGTAGTATGCAGAACATGTCTACCATACCTGTCTAGTGTGCAGGGCATGTTGTAGTTTACGATACGCGTGTAGTGTGCAGGACAGGTTAGCGTTTTGTAGTGGAGGAAAACGTGGCAAGTATGCCTTTTGGGGGGCACTTTAGACGCAAGTGGCAGCCTTTTGCAACTGCAATGTTGTTGAGTGGTACAATTGATAATACATTGTGCTTTTTGAAGTGGACTTCGCCTTATTAGGGCTCTGCTTTGCCCTGGGTACGTAATTGTACAGTATACAATGATACAAGCATACATTTGCCTCATGGTTCTTTTCTTTGACACATAGTACATCTGGACTTCCTCAGCTTTGTCTACAAAAATTTTGGTTGTGACAAAGAGCTGATCTGCTGATACCTGCTTACTAGTAGCAAGAGTACATGAAACCCGGAGTGTGCAGCTCAGATGGGTTGCTGTCAGGGTGAAATTCTGGAATTACATCATGTTAGTGATGCAGGGGGATACAACCAGGATTCATGCAGGTTCCTGCTGTGCAACTGCAGCTCCGTTGTACGCACTGTGCCACTTCTCGCCCACATCTGCGCCAACTATGATTTAATCCTGGAATTTCGCCGTGACAGACACCCAGACCATGCAGAAAAAGTCAGAAGCTACCCACTCTGGGTTTCGTGTACTCTTGCTAGTAGTACCAAGAGTGGGTAACTCCATGGAGTGTGCTATGGATCCACCAACAATGAAAAGAAACTCACATCATGTGATGTAGTATTCACGTTGTACGTCTCCAGCCTGTTTTAGCAAACAGTGAAGTAAAACTAGCACACCGGTGACCCTGACAAGAAACCCACTCAGCATATGCGATTCTTTAACATGACCGTGGTGCAAGTAGGTACTGCTGGTATCCGGACTGTGCGTGTGCTGGCCTTCATTGTATGTGGTGCGAAGCGTACTTGGAAGAGGTGATGTGAGTTTTCCCCGTTGAGGACCCATAGTCATAGTTGCTCACTCTTGATGGTCTTTATCTACTCTTGGTAGTATCTACCTTGCCTGTTTTTACTCCTTTGGAGCATTTTTAGATCTCGCCGACCCAATGTGTGCATCGATGTGAGACTAAACACATAAGGCCAGTTTAGGTGGCGCTTGGGGTGAGATCGAACCTGTTTTGTTCCCATCGGTACAGCTTACCGCATGGCTGACAGGATATGGTAGTTGGAAGTGGGAAATGAGGGTGTGTCTTAGCCAAGGTGTCCAGTTAGGGAAGTTCTACGCCACGGCTTCTAAAGTGCAATGCTCATGTGTCCTGTCCGACTATCCGTTTTAATATTACTATCCTGAGGCTTCTTTCATTTGACATACCTGTGTTTGTCTCCTTGTTGGTGCGTTGTCGCTTGTGTTCACAGGATTGGCACAAGCTCTGCTTCAAGTGTGCTGACTGCAAGAAATCTCTGGAGCCTGGAAACTTTGGTGATAATGAAGGAGAGATCTACTGTAGAGGTACGTTATTCCTTTCATGAATTATTACCGTAAATACTAGTATAAGTAGAAACTGTTGGTTGGTTCAGGTGGCGCTTCAGTACATCAAAGTCTTGAGCTGAATTACAACTACTGCAGACATGGTTAGCATTTCACCGTCTACGCTAAATCCAACAGTACTCGTACCCAGCACACACGTCGGGTTGGTATCATTTTCACGTTAGCAGGTTCTTGTTAGCGGGAGAACTAAACGGTAAGATTCCACCTAGGGTGATGTTGCAAGCCAATCATTGTGTCAGAAACGGAAATGCTAATCATGACTTGTACATAGACAAAATAATGCTACATGCCGACTGTCGAAATTATGGTGAACAGTAAAGTGCTAACCCTCTCTAGTAGTAAGTGTTGGCCCTCGGTGGGAACTAGAATGGCTTCACTGTTCAGGCTAGCTTTCCCCACATACTGATGGAGACGGCAGACCCGCTCTCCTGGCACTGTGATACAGGAGTCCACAGCGTGCGCCTCACCATGGCCACTCTACGTCATACCCAGTGCAACATGAGAAAAAGCGCACCATTGCTCAACTGACTGCAAAGCTGTCAGCTCCCTTTCAGGGGACGCATTTATCTTCTGGCTCAAAAAAAGTATTAAGTGTAGCGCTGATGGCTGGGAACTTGAGGGTGTTGTCGTACGAACGTGTGATGTGTGTGACATATGCCACGAGGTTGTAAGTCATGATTGCTCAACCACAGAACCAAAGAACATACTTCAAGTAGTAGGGAGTCCAGCTTCTGACATGCTGGTAGCTCAGTATATAGAGTCGGACTCAGGGCATGACAGTACATGTGGCGCTGGTGCTGGCTGTAATAGGACCTCGTGTTTATTGTATTGTGTCTGTTGGTTCTCTTGTGCCCATCTTCAGGTTGCTACGGCCGCAAGTTTGGCCCGAAGGGTGTTGGCTATGGAGTCGGTGCTGGTGTTCTCTCATCCTGAATGCTCGTTGTCTTTGGTTGTGTTGACGGCGCAATCAGTTTTATTTTTTAAATCCGTAGATAACGTCACAGAATATGATTATCCTCAGTAGACCTATCATAGTAAATGACTCACTATCACGCCAGCATATTTTAAGTGCAGACTTTTGTATGCCTTCTAGTCCGCCCTGCTTCATGTCCTGTTTTATCTGTATCTCTGGAACAGAACAATGGCACGCCGTTTAGCTGTGTATGCCAATATGAAAATCTGAACTTGCCAGCGTACGTGCATCAAATAATGTGATTGTGGTTGTGTGAGCGTGTGCACATGTCTGTTTTCACTGGTACGAAGGAACCGTGAGGATGTACTGCTGAGTTCGGGGCTAGTTGGGATTTTGTGAGATGGTAATGCGATCTGCTGTGTTCTATGAGTGTCAGGTGGTGACAAGTTCCATTGCACACAACGGTAGACTAGATGATACGGTCGACTCACAAAAAGTCACATCTGTGATGTGGTGACCTTCTACCACTGGCAACCTCACAGTCACCGTTCACCCTATTTTGACTATAATCATACCGAGTTGCCGGTATTTGACAATTCCCTGCTAGATACACAAATCCAGTCCCCATTCATTTTGCGAGCACCTTCGAACCTTGACTGATGAGTACGAGTACTGTATACTGTAGTTTACGGTATGTGAACATGGTGTTTTTGTGGTGTCTGTGCGTCCCAAGATGGACTGCATTTAGGTTCACTTATATTTATAAGCCCATGCGCTTAGGGGCCGTCCGGGGTTACCAATAGTTTTCGCGAAACGAAAAGCTTTAGTATTTTTCAGCACCCACCCACCCACCTACCTTTTCTGCAGGTAAAACGAACTCCAATAAAATATTGATGTCAATTTTCGACACCCAGAAGTAACTGGGTATTCTCCATCTGCATTCAATAATTATTTTCAAAACGAAACTCCTTCAAACCCACCCACCCCCAAACGAAAACTTTTCGTTTTGAAAATACTATTGGTAACCTTGGACGGCCCCTTATGCCCGCGTGGGGTCAAGAAAGCATACAGTAGAGTCGCGCGCTGAAGAAGGTGAAGCCCAAGAACGTCCAGCCTGAAATAACCCCTTGGAAACAACGTTCTTGGGCGCGCGACTCTACTGTACAATAGTACACCAAGTGCGTAAATTCTGCTAGTTCCACCAACTTCGGAATGAGCGGATTCTGAGGAGGAAATCTGTGTAATAGCATGCAGTCCCGAGGTGGCCAGCTGAATTTCCTGTCCCCGGGGAAAATTGCAATTCCGCGGCCGCGTTTTCCGCGATTTTCCCGCGTTTTTTGAACTTTTTTGTTGCACTACACGTACACACAGTGCACTGTTCGGTCAGCAACGTCTCATCGTGGCGGCTTTTTACTCAAATATGACGAGTGCTTACACCAGAGACTTGTAACTGATTGATTTCACTACATACTCACTGAAAATTGCCGCACATCAATATTATTCACCGCATATTTACCGCAAATTATGCCATATTATGCCGCGTTTTTTGCGATTTTTTTCCGCAATTTTCCCCGGGGACAGAATTTCATACGTATTTTATGAGCAGTAAACTGCTGTTCATTACGACGTAAGTAGCAGCATCAATTTACTTTGATTCAAAATAATAATTGCTTTTACTGGGTGAGTGAATTGCTCGTACAGTGTACATGTATTATTATAAAATTAATAACTAGTCATTCTGTGAAAACTGTAGTTTTTCTGGCCCTCACCTTTGCCTTTGGCGATAACTCCTAGCTTCCGCAGCTCTGCTTCGGGTTTTTTTTTGGCGTGACGCTTTTGAGTCTCCATTTAGAGATATCTTACAGCATCGATACAAATTCAGGAATGTCGTTCCACACAATCATAATATTTCCGGTGATATAGCAAAGAAAAGGACCTGAACTACAAGGAAGTTACATTATGATAGTGATGTCCACTAACCATCTAACACCACGATGACATTGTACTACTTGACAATCAGCTCATTCGATAACATCACGACACTGACCGACGTATAAACTAATAATTATTACTAAATTTGGCTCTTCATCTGATTTTATGGGGAAACGAACATTTATTTTTGTACCGCCATAATTATCAACAATAAGGCACAATTGTACAAGCAGTTCGGCGGAACAAGATATCAAAAATTATTACTAACTACTACCCAGGACTGTTGTACTAGCACCTTGAGCCAGGATTTGGTAGGGATTAGTCTGTCTAGTACGTCTCGATATCTTCCTAGACGTAGTCGGTGGCAAACCGTACCTGTACCAGGTGACTGTCATTTGTAGTCAATACAAAATAATTGTTTTAGTCTCTCAAAAGCAACAATTACGAAACAGCCTTCAAGTTCTACGTTCCTCGCCACCATTACAAGGACTCGTTGACCAATCAACAAACATGCACACACAAAACAAACATATCTTTCTTTTGATTGAAAGTGGTGGCTTTTAAAAAAGCCGGGTAGATTGGTTGAACAGGGAGGAAGGATGAACGAATTTATGCCTTCTTGCTCTGGCCAGTCTTCTTCGGGAGAAGAACAGCCTGGATGTTGGGCAGGACACCACCCTGAGCGATGGTGACATGCGACAAGAGGCGGTTCAACTCTTCGTCGTTTCGGATGGCCAACTGCAAGTGACGAGGGTTGATTCTCGTCTTCTTGTTGTCGCGGGCAGCATTGCCAGCCAGTTCGAGGATCTCAGCGGCCAGGTATTCCATGACGGCAGCCAGGTAAACTGGTGCGCCAGCTCCTACACGCTCAGAGTAGTTACCATTGCGGAGAAGACGGTGGACACGACCGACTGGGAACTGAAGTCCAGCACGGGATGAGCGGCTCTTCGCCTTTCCCTTAGCTTTTCCTCCCTTGCCACGGCCTGACATGATTACAGTTCTAGAGTGTTGGTTACTTCAACTAAGCAGACAACGCAAACCAATGCCAGAACTTTTGCAAAGTCCCACTTTTATACCCGCTCAGAGCTTGGTCCCAAAAATGAGTCGAGTTTGACTTGGATCGGGAGTGAGTAGATTGAACCAATGGATGAATGTCCCGCGGAAAAGATTTGACCAATCAGCGACGCGCCTGTCACTTCAGCGAGATTTGACCAATCAGCGATCAACCTGTCACGTGCGAGCAAGTGGCGCGTAGTTTCAAACAATGCATCTGACGTGTAGTAACGGTGGGGTATAAAAGGCCAGTACTGAGGCAAGCTCGACATCGGTTCATCGTTTACCAGTCCATCAGAACTTCGCAGAGTTTTCGACTTCCTTTGAAAATGGCTCGTACTAAGCAGACTGCTCGTAAGTCCACCGGAGGAAAAGCTCCTCGCAAACAGTTGGCCACCAAGGCTGCTCGCAAGAGTGCGCCCGCCACTGGAGGAGTGAAGAAGCCTCACCGTTACCGCCCAGGAACTGTGGCTCTCCGTGAAATCCGCCGTTACCAGAAGTCCACGGAGCTTCTCATCCGCAAGTTGCCATTCCAGCGTCTTGTCCGTGAGATCGCCCAGGATTTTAAGACTGATCTCCGCTTCCAGTCATCGGCTGTCATGGCCCTTCAGGAAGCAAGCGAGGCTTACCTTGTCGGTCTCTTCGAGGACACCAACTTGTGCGCCATCCATGCCAAGCGTGTCACCATCATGCCCAAGGACATCCAGTTGGCCCGTCGCATCCGTGGAGAGCGTGCTTAAATTTCGACACTCTGCAAACGAATCAACCAATCAACCGGCTTTTTTAAAAGCCACCACAATAAATCAAAAGAGAACTGTGTCTTGCACCTTTTACTGTATCGTGTGTTCTGTTCCCTTCACAGGTACGTCTAGCTCTTGCAAGGTCAGTGCAGCGTCGTTTTGTTTTGTACAGTACTAGGTAGTGCATGAAAATCACTTGTAACTGGAAGTTTAGTGTTAGGGGTTATGTATTCTTCGTGATGATAGCAGGAGCAGGTTTGGAGGTCTACTTATTATTGTAACGTAATTTCATTGGAAGGACATCAGTACAGGTGCAGATCCTCCTCGCGCAGTGCATGCAATCTCTTTATTGGTATATTTGCGTAAGCCCTGACAGAATTGTACTACTGTATTCATCGAATATGGCTTAATTCGAACATACAGTTTTCCAGGACCGATTTCTATTAATAAGATTCCCACATAAAAAATTCTGGCAATTCGAACCTCGAACTGGACATGTACAGATTCCACTAAATGTGTGGGATTTGTGCTGATAATTCGAAGTTAGCAAAGTGTAATTCGAAGTTCACTGTACATGTACTGGTCAGTCTATTGTCCGTAAAATCTGTGTCTAAGGTCCATAGCGCAACTCTGCGTGACCATGAGAGCATTTTGCTGTCCCCTTGGAAAAACGCGATTCCGCAGAAATTGTCATCATCCATATCCGCGGAAATCACGGAATCCACACTATTGCCCGCGGAATTTGAATTTTTTAGGATAAATTAGTAAAATTACTACTCAGAAAGCAGCAGAAAAACTACTTTGCGATCGGTTTGAGCACATTATGCTCTTGCGAGTGTAGGTGAGTGCAGAATCTCCAAGATTCTTCACTCTCGATCTCATTCAGTTTGTGACTGCAAACGATAGTGTGAAAGGTACTTGCAGAAAGTGCCGCAGATTTTTGATTTTACCACAGAAAATGCCGCAGAAAACCCCCTTTTCCCCGCGGAATTTGCCGCAGAATATTGAATTATTGGCCGCGTTTTTCCAAAGGGACAGATTTTGACATACATATTGAGTTGTCGGTTCATGTTTGGATAATTAGAAGTTTTTTCCTGGCATTTGGAGGTTCGAATTATCAGGATTTCACCTTTAGTAGTATATGCACGTGCACCTAGGGTAGAAACTGTACTCAATTTATTTGTGCATGTTGAGTTGAACTTTCTTCAACTACTGTAAATAATATACAAATTTTCGGCAGCTATATAATTTCGGCTATATTCGGCACCGACCCAAAACGCCGATGAAATTTTTCACAGCATCTGTCGCACTATACTCGTACCATGCCGAAAATAAATCGCCGCCGAAATGTCAAAAATCGTGAAGTGCCGAAATTTTGCTGCGCCAAAATGTTGTATATTGCCGTCGCAAAAGTTTTTTGTCGTCCCTGAAACGAACATTCATTTGGCCAATTGGGGGGAGGGGGTGCGAGCCAAATCGCAAGTCGACCGACACTGTACATTTGACATGTACATGCTTGCGATTTTCGTCGTCCAGCTTAGCAAGCTGTGTTCGTTTCAGAGGGAGGGGAGGGAGTCCAAGTACGAAATGAACGATGTTCGTTTCAGGGACGACAGAAAACTTTTGCGACGACCCCTTTAATTACAGTATTTACTTCTGCGACAGGCAGTTTCTTGTCGCAGGAAGTTGATTGTGAATTGGCTTTTATGGACGGGCTCCTTTTATAATACTTGCCTTGGTTCAATATAAAGTGCTGGGACGTGACGATTGTTGACATGCCGTCCAACTTTTTATAAAGCAAACTAATTTTCACTCCAGGACAAACTTGCATTCAATACTGACTGACCATAGTGAACAACAAACAGGATAAAAGACAGGATAAAATCAATACTAGTACTGTAGTGGAGCTACCCGGACTAAAAAAGGATGATAACATTTGGATTAGAAACAAACACGTTATAGAAGATAGGAGACGGACGAAAATATTTTCAAAAAGTCCTATTTCGAAACGCACTGCAATGCGTACAATGTACTACATACAGTGCAGCATACCGTGTTGAACACACAGGGAAAACTACTCGCGAACGACACAAATGCAACAGCAACAAGACTCCACACCAACGGGCAGGGTACCGTTCGGGAAGAACAATAGTTACAACACGCTGTCCCCACAGAATAATGCGGCAAATCTTCGGGATTATGCGGTATATAATGTGGCCATTATGCACGAGTTGTCTGTCATTGGTACAAGTACAGTTTCACGCAAGTGTACGGCTTTGTAGTACACTTTCAACATCGTGTTCTATTTCTTGTACATTTTCATGGATAAGGCGGGTTTTATGCAAAATCTCTCGAAAATGCGGATGAAAGCCAATAATGCGGAAAATTGCTCGCCCGCGGTATCCTGTGGGGGCAGAATACAGAAGAGAGCACTCAAACTGCAGAAGATGAGTATTTGTTGGGATAGGCAGCACACAAACAGTGTAGACGAGGAGTAAGATGGGAAATGAGAACGAGACAAAGACCTCACTGGCAATCGGCAGAGTGAGGGGAGCGAAAACCTTCCAGACTATAGCAGCATTGTCTGGAAAAATGAAAATGAAATAAGCCAGCACTTGCAGGTAGCACTGTACTGCATCGTGCTAAAAACAACATCAACTTATGTACATGATTATGTTCACTACATACCAGTATGTACAGAACACGTCCTGTTCGCTGCAGCGGCACTGCACAGCAGCGGCATCAATCCCTACGCATCGGGCACGTCACCACTAAAAGCCACCTGGAAGCTGATGAAAAGCGGAAAGACGGCGTTCTCCGGAACGTCCAGTACAGTGCATTCCTACAGGGAGATGGTGCGGCAAAGAAGACAACAAAACGGAGGCACAGACCACCGGTGTTGAACACAAACTGCATGCAACCGACTGGGGAATCTCAGGCTTTCAAAGTCATCGCAAACACTTGAACAGAAAGTAAAGTCACATAGGCGTTCCATGCACAGGCACACTTGTACACACTCCTACGAGGACACTCATCACGCACAGACCAACACATATCAACACATACCAACACATATCAACACATATCAACACATATCAACACATATGCATGGTTATACATGTACTTGATCTGCCGACAGAACCCTTTCGTTCGTTTTGTAATTGTGGGCTCATTAGCGCAGCACAGAGAAAATGAGACCGAACCTGATAGCAATGAAACTTCTTTTTTTCTTTTTACCGTATGTCCGCACCTTTAAAGCCATGGTGGTATATTCGATTATAAAGCCAGTCTCAGTTATAAAGCCATGGGCTTCATAAATGAAATGACATTTGAAGTATATTTTGTGCAAAAATGAAGGAATAAGTAGTATGCTAACCAACTTACAGCCCAGCAGGAAGGGTGAATACGTAGATTTAGATTGAAATTTCTGTGTGGACGTTGACTTTTATGGCATGGCGTAGTGGGTGAGTCATTTTGCATCTAAAATAGCTAGGAAAGCAGCGGTGTTTCGATTATAAGGCCATGGCTTTAAAGGCGCTGACATACGGTATATAAAATACGAAAATTAGGGGTGAAAGTTGGCACTGATATCCCGGGTTCGACTACTCTGATTTTCTCCGATCAAATATTCGAGTATTCTTCATCTCCTGAAAATTGCACACCAAGGGCCTTAAAATCACATGATGAAACCCGGATTGAACCAAGTGGCAGTCATTTTTCTCGGGTATATTGGTTGGTGGATCATTTGGGCTCTCTCTACTCGTGAACAAACGTTCACCGCACAGTCTGCACATCAATATCTGCCGACTGCTGCTCTAAAACTGCAGATTTCTGTTGAAATGCATGTGCCATGTATGAACGAGTACGATTAATTTTGAAAAAAAACAGAGCGAGTACTCGAGTATTCAGTATACATGTAATTGTTTCACCCCTAACAAAAATTCACGCAAAAGCCCTGATATAATGTGGCACTTCTTTCAGACAGGCGGTAATAAACGACCGGCCCCAACTCCAGAAAATATGGTACATGCGCATGCACACACACACACCACCACCACCACCACACACACGGAGCAAGGAGCCCACACTTGTATGCACGAGCATGCAGGCGAACACCCTCACCTCATCGTTGCTAAGTTGGAAACCGAGGCGTCCGCTTTCCTCGTCGTAGACGCGGACATGGTCATTTTCATCTTCCTGTTGCCAAATCGCTCGCACCCTGAGCAACACACAACACGAGAGGAAGTGTTTGAAAATGACAGAAAAATGCTAGTGGGTAAGCATAACAAATACACCTGCATCTTGCCACAGTGGCCACTCGGATCTCCTTCTGTTTCTGCCTCTGTCCTCTTGTCTCACCGTATCTCTGTCTACCCCCTTCTTCCTATCCCTTTGTTTCTTGAGGTGGTGGTAGGTGAGAGCAAACTGTCCGTGCACAACATCAGCCTCGGGTGGTCGAGCCAGGAGCCTTATCTATGCAACAGAGATGTGCATGATGTCAGGGAAGAATATTTGCTACAGGAAATCAACAGAGGCTCACACAGTAAAAAGAGCACACCAATGACACCATGACATACAGTAGTCGCGCACTGAAGAACGTGGAGATCAAGAATGTCCAGCCTGAAATTCTAAGAACGCCACAGCCTAAAGCTAAGAACGGCGGTGTTGGCTTTCTGGCAGCCTGTGGGATTCGGTACGGATTGTTCCTAAGAACGTGCTATAAGAACGCAGCCAGATTGCAGAAAAATAAGAACGTCCCAGGTTAACCCCTAGGAAACAACGTTCTTGGGCGCGCGGCTCTACTGTATACAGTACCAGAACAGTCAACTTTGTGAGTAACGACATCTGGCTGCCGTGGCCGGGCACCAGAATAATGTCCTTACTCGTGAAGTGTCCTTACTCCCGAAGTCACATTTCTCGTATACAACCCATACATTGTATATTATGCTGACCTTTCATATAAACTTCCAGTCAACTTGCCCATCATGCTGGCGGCTTATACTGGGCATATAAACCTCATACAAACCCCATACAAACCCCATACAAACCCCATATAGACCGCCACCATAGAAACAGGAAGAAGTTGACTGTCAGTTTGTATGAAGGTCAGCATAAGTATAATACATCCCACTAGTACGCTTGTACGTGAAATATAAACCATCATACAAACCTCGGCTTCGCCTCGGTTTGTATGTCGGTTTATATTTCACGTACAAGCGTACTGTTGGGTTGTATTATATACGTATGACATGTATATCAAAATGAAGCTTTGTTCGTGCTTTATGTCAACGTGTACTCTATTTTCATATTGCAATGAAATGAAAAATAAAGTCAATATCTACAGAAGTCAATATCCAAGAGAACTAAATTGAGAAATACTAGTAAGCCCTTTGGAGCCATCTACAGATACATGTGCAGTGTGCATGTACACGTATGATGATTACTGTACCAGGGTTCTAGCCAGGTCAAAAATAGTAGGGGGGGGGGGGGGGGCATTATACTCAGGTGCGTGTTATACCGTGTTATACCCCGGTAAATATGGTACACGAAATACACAAACATGTAGCTGCCAAGAGCCAAGAAAGTCGTTTCTCAAAAGCAGTGGATTTGACATCGGGGCACAAAAATCATGTCGTTACTCGCGAATTGCCGTTACTCAGACGGCCGTCATATCCAAAGTTAAATGTATACAGTTAGATGTAGATGGGACTTTGCTCCGGGCATGACAATCCTGCCGTTACTCGCGAATTGTCACTACTCCCGAAGTCGTTACTCACAAAGTTGACAATACATGAATCTCTACCTGATTTCAATGTGACGTGCTTCCGGGTGCACATGAATGCTGCGCATACATGGATACTTTGCGGTGTTGCGACGAATTGATACGCGCCTGTAAGAAGAAGAGAATGGCAGCAGGAGTAAACAGCAGGTTGAACCACATGTACAGCAACATCGGGTGCCGAAGAACAAAGGTGGTCGCTTCAGGCTAGTGAAGCACAAGGTCTTTCTTTTGAGATTCCAGGGTCTTTGTTCTCTTTCTGCTCTTGGACAATCACAAAACAGACGTAACGTGTAATACACCGTGCAGTGATACATGAAAAAAACACTAAAACTTTGCTTCTCGCCTAGCACGTTCTGTTTTAACAGAATGGACTTTGGATGTTCTTCAGCGTCCAAGGTCACTACTCTAGGCCATATGCTGGAACCAATGAACAAGTGAAGTGAGCCATGCAAGCCAGTAGTTCCCAGCAGAACATTGCATACGCCATGGCCTATGGGAAAACAACATTGCGTAGCCCATGGGCCATGGTCTATGGGAAATGATTCCTTTTCGCACGGAACTTCAAGTTGCAGCAGTATTCATCAAATGGTTCTTTTCTTTTCTCTTCTTTTAAGTATCCATCATTGAAGTAACTATTGTGAACAGTGTGTTCATGGAGTACCCAGGGGATGTAGTGAACCGTGATTTACACGAAGGATTATGTGCTAATTCTTTTAAAACAAACAAACAAACACCCTACTGTTCTGCATAGACCAGTGTGCCACTTCAAGAATAATAATTTGTGGCTTTGCAGTTCGTCCCAATTCTCCAAGATGCTGTAGCTCTCCTCAGCTATTGTACAAACAGTGCTGCGGACACAGGTGGGATTACACCAACAGCAGCACTAACACTTATCATTTTCGGTGTCTGAGTTTGTCTTAGCACGTTTACGCACTAGGTCTATGTAGTGACATTTCGAATCTTCCAAATTTGAAGCTTCTTATTTGAATATTTTTAGGGCACCGCCAAATCAAAATAAGTTTAAAAAAAATTGAATATTGGTTACCGGTACATCTGTACACACAATACCTTTGTTTGTAGGCAGCCACCAAGTCAAGACCAAACGTGTAGCCAACCCATCGCCAGCAGTACTGCATTAAGTACACAAAGTACATCAATAGGCAGCTTATGCAAAGCACACACACACACACACACACACACACACACACACACACACACACACACACACACACACACACACACACACACACACACACACACACACACACACTTGTACTTGTACTTACTTGTACTTGTACTTGCTCACTGCCAAAACTGGTCACGTGGGTCTCCCCGGGAGAGGGAAGAGAGACTCAAAAGGAATCTTGGAAAGATGACTCAATTGGCCATTGAACCACCCAACGGCCGACACCCCCTGAAATCCCCAAACTAGGGTGGACTTGAAATGATCCCACTTATGGGCTCACCACACCTCAGTAAGTGGGTGAGGACAAGGTGCAGAAAAAAGGATTGACGGCATCAGGGTATCCGTCCCGGGATCCAACTGCAGGTACCCCTGCCCCCAGTGAAGGTAATACTTGGTACTAGTGTGGGTGGCTAAATCAGAGTGGATCTGATATAAGCTTCACTAGCACCATTGATTACACAAGAGTTAATCTAGCCAGAAGCAGTCCATGGTTAACAGGTATGTATACTTCAAATAGAAAGTATATGAACCCTGAAACCAACAAAGGTGGTAGGTACAACAATACACCTTCAAGCAGCCGAGCCCGTTGGCAACAGGCCCAACACTATCTGGCATAAGTGTACCCACCAACCAAACTAGCTGGCACACACACACACACGCGCACACACGCACGCACGGCATCGCACGCACAGAATACAGGTTCCAAAGTAACTTTATGATAATAACCTTATAAGTTATATTATAACTTATAAGGTTATTTGGAACCTGTATTATTAGGATATGCACTTATTGTGCAGCCCTGCCTAAGCGCTCTGTCGATGACGTCATCACATGTACTGTACTACAGGGTAGTGCAGGCTATACACGGGCTACTACAATAGTAGTACAGGTGGAATCCTGATAATTCGAACCTCAAAATGCCAGGATAAAACTTCCAATTATCCGGACATTCTAATTATCCAAACACAAACCCACAACACAATATGTATGTCAAAATGCTCCCATGGTCACGCAGAGTTGCGCTATGGATCTTAGACACATATTTCACGGATACTGAACTGACCGGCACAGCCTGCTCATGCAAACTGAACTGACCAGTACAGTGCACAGTGAACTTCGAATTACACTTTGCTAACTATGTTACTTCGAATTATGAGCACAAATCACACACATTTTCTATACTGTAAAATGTAAATATACAACTTTTCGGCAGCTATTTAATTTCCGCTATATTCGGCACCGACCCAAAATGCCTAAATTAAAACGCCGATGAAAATTTTCACAGCATCTGTCGCACTATACCATGCCCTCTAGCCCACGCCGAAATGTCAAAAATCATGAAGTGCCAAAATTTCGCAGTGCCGAAATTTTGTATATTTACAGTATATTCAAGTGGAATCCGTGGGACTTCTACTTAAGGTAGCAGTAACCCCAAAATTTCGAAAAAAATTGAAAGTTTCAGATACCGTTGTACCTTTACTTTTTGATATCTATAAACTCCAAAGAGGCCGTACAGAAAATTTGAGCCCAATTGGACCACACAGAACACTTTGCAATGTCAAGTGCAGTAAAGACTTTGATATCATGGGATACAGGAAAGGTACTTGACGTTGACGTCTTGTCCAAGTATTGCCCAATGTGTGAGAGTTGGCTAGCCAAGAAAAAGCATGGCTCCATAACTGCTGCTGCTTACGATACGTGGCACCTTGATCATGCGCCTAACTGCCAAATAAACACAGAAGTGTCGTCACCCAGCATGGAGACCGAAGCTGTGAAGAGGATATGGAGCAGGTCATTGGAACAGCACAACTTGAGGTATACAACCTATATAGGTGACGGAGATTCAAAGGGTCATGCAGCTGTTCGACAGATGGCGGTGTACGGTAGCATCAAAATAACCAAAGAGGAATGTGTAGGACATGTACAGAAGCGTGCGGGCAAGAATCTACGTGACCTGAAGCAGCGCTTAGGCTCCACCAAATTATCTGATGGCAAGGCCATAGGAGGAAGAGGAAGACTGACAGATGCAGTGATAAATTCAATGCAGAACTACTATGGTCGTGCAGTGAGAGATCACCGTGGGAGTGTCACTGATATGGCCCGCGCTATTTGGGCATCGTTCTGCCACACTTTCTCGACCGACCAGTCGCCACATCACGATTTCTGCCCTAAGGGAAGTGACTCGTGGTGCAGATGGCAGGCAAGCCAAGTGACAGGTGAGCCATTCTCCCACAAGTACAACTTGTCCACTGCAATCAAGGACCAGGTGAAGCCTCTCTACATCCGTCTTGCAGACAAGCCGCTTCTAGAACGATGCAAGCTGGGAGCCACACAAAACGCCAATGAGTGCCTCAATGGCCTTATCTGGCAATTGTGTCCGAAGCAATCATTCTGCATTGTCAAGACAGTGGAGACTGCTGCTTATTTGTCTGTGATCATATTCAATAATGGGTACGGTAAGCTGGACGCAGTTCTGGAGAAAATGGGATGCGGTACTGGTACATTCACTGGCCAAGCCTTAGCTCAGCTGGACAGTGTCAAGGCCTATCACAAGAGAAGGAAGTCATCAGACAAAGAACAACATGCCAGGAAGAGAAGAAGAGCAGTCAAGAAGGGCTACACTGGCTCAGCTCTTGAAAAGGAAGGAGTCACCTACTGTGCTGGTGGGTTTTAGTGCATTTTAGAGTACCAATTTTTAGTGTTTTTTTACTACTTCCGGAGCTTTGTCCCACCGTAGTTTTGTCATTTTTCATCAAAACCCTAGAACCAGTAGATCATTTTGGAATAGAACGAAATTTCCTAGGTGCCAAACCTCTCAAATTGCAAGTTACATGCATTTGTTGAGAGGCATTCCTTGCTCTAAGCTTTGCCTGAATTTTCGCCGGTCCGCACTTTGAAAATTTCATCATGCATGACACTTCTTCTGTGCCCTTTTTATGTGTTTTTGGAGGTTTGGCACCTCAAGGTGTCTGTTGGCCACCAGAATGCCTAATAATATTGCATCTGGTGCCTTTCCTGGCAACAGAATGCTGCGACAAAAATTAGCTTCGCAAAATCGCACTGCGTTCTTTTTTGTTTCCTCAATAATTTGTAGCCCTTTGCTTCTGCTGTCTTATTGACTGTTTCACCAGAAACAATATTGTATTGTGAGTGAGTGCTGACAATTTGAAAGAGATCCATCACGCCTGTCCACAGTTATGGGAGTTCTTGCGCAGTCAGTCGGATTTGGGGTTACTGCCACCTTGACCGAACATGTCCAGTTCGAGGTTCGAATTATCAGAACTTCTTATGTGGGAATCGTATTGATAGAAATTGGTCCTGGAAAAACTTCTAAATAAGCGGTATGTTCAAATTAAGCCATATTCGAATTATCAGGATTCCACCTATAATACGAAGAGCTCATGTAGACAAGAGAATGCAACTGTGGCTATGGGTCAGTGCGTGGCACCCTGCCTTGATTACGTAGCTGACTGGCCTGCATCATGCCCTGCACTCATGCAACAAACCCCACATCGTACCAGCACATCTGGTTTTGCTTGATTCGTCCGAGCACAGATACGATCTCTAAATTCATTGCAGGTGCATGAACTCCAGTTCCGCAAGAAAGTTGGTTTCAAGCCACAGGGAAAGTGTGCTGTTTGATTTTTCTGCAGTGCGCGGATATCCCTGCTGTCCGCCATGCAGCGGTTTTAACGAAAAAATCACAGAGCTCTTCTCTGTTAAAACAGAGAAGAGCTCTGTGATTTTTTCGTTCTTGGTGACCCAGAGCAGCCCGTTGCACATCCTGAATCCAATCCCAACCCGGTACAGCAGGAACTAGGAAGGTAATTGGCACTACTAATTTGCACTGGTGTTCACATTCCCATGCTGGGCTCTTTGTCCAGCAACATGATTTCAAGTACATGTACGGTACTGGACAGAGAAATCCAACCTCATGAATAAAATAGCGCCGTGTGCTATGCAGCCCTAGCACTAGTGACTGACTACACACACGCACGGTTCTGTGCACTCGAACGTGGCGCTACTATATTAACGAGGTTGGATTTCTCTGGCCAGAACTGTACATACTCGTGCAAAGAGTGTCCACTGCTTGGCTGCAAGCACACCAACTCACTCACCTCGGCATTGGCTTGAGGCAAGACACGTCCATAGCGCATGGCATGTGCAAAGAACCATTCATTGCTAACACCAGCAAGTCTACATAAACAGCAGCAGGCGCCATAACAACACCGAACATAGCGGCACCAATCAGGTATGAGAAGCGTTTCTAACACATAATGATAGAGCAAGTTGGCTGAAGATTGAAGAACAATCTGAAAAATGAGTTAATTCACTAAAACAGCTGACCATGCATTAGAGGTTCTTGTGACAGGCCACGATGCGCTGCAGGCAGCCTCCATGGCTTCTTTTCAGAATCTGGTATTTCGTGTTTCCCTCACTAGCCTAGAATGCAGGAGGAACCCGTTAAGTGCGTTCCAGTGGTCCCTCTAAACTCTCCGAATCGTGTGTCTGTCAGTGAAGAACTGTGCATGAGGTTACAGTTTAGTGTACAGGCTGAATGAGAACTATAACATCAGTCATCCTTAATTTCTGTGTGTGTGGGGGGGGGTCAGCCATGGCCTTGGCAACAGGTATGGTCCCAAAAAATCAGTTTATGAAATCAACTTGGCAGAGTTTGTTTGAACTGCCAAAATCGAATCAGTTGGAAGTATGGTTGTCACAAGTGTGCTGCCAAGACAAGAGAATGCCACGCCTGCCTCCTTCAATCAACCTAAGTTAGGCATTGGGCAGGTATCCAACAGCACAGCAACAGGACACCACTCTCTCTCTCTCTCTCTCTCTCTCTCTCTCTCTCTCTCTCTCTCTCTCTCTCTCTCTCTCTCTCTCTCACACTCTCTCTCTCTCTCTCACTCTCTCTCTCTCTCTCTCTCTCTCTCTCTCTCTCTCTCTCTCTCTCTCTCTCTCTCTCTCTCTCCTTCCCTCTCTCACGTACACACACTCTCTCCCCTCTATATCTCTCTCAGTTTCTTAGCATCCTTCCCCTATTGTTGCCTGTCATTCACTCACTCCCTCACCCAGTATCAGTTGACAGTTCCGAGTTCACCACCATGAGCCACTGCTTGCGGTACATGTTATTCAGCCAGGCTACAAGGGCAAAGATTACAAGAAACAGAAAGAAAGAGAGAAAGAGAGAAAGAGAAAGAAAGAAAGAGAGAAAGAGAACGAAAGAGAAAGAGAAAGAAAGAGAAAAAGAGAGAAAGAGAGAAAGAGAGAAAGAGAGAAAGAGAAAGAGAAAGAGAGAAAGAAAGAGAAAAAGAGAGAAAGAAGGGACAGCACCACAGTAGCAGCAGTTACAGACAAAGTCTTCAAACACAGAACTGCATTCTGAAAAATACATGCACAGATATTGTAGAGGTGAAACTGGGTTTCAGTGACCACCCATGGCACTGCACTATCGCGGCCTTTGAACACAGGTGATCTCTGAGACCTGGGTGATTCTTGCGCATTCAGCACAATTCCAAACGTTTGGCGACAAAGATCAGTGGTGGTTACAGGTACAGAGCAGGTGATTGCATTTCCTGATCACTAGACCAACAAGCAGATGTGCACTGCACAGTCATGAAGATTGCCCACACTAGAAAGAGACTCCCTCGATTTAGGCTAAGGCCTGTGGAGAATCCATAAATACAAATCCAAAGACTCCTTCAGCACACACCTTCACTGGACCAAACACACAAGGTCACGTTGGGAGAAGTCTTGAGGCTTCTCGCTCCAGCTATAGAAACTCATTAGAATGGGGTATGTGTGGAAATGCACTAAAAAGAGATGCTGGTGCAATCGTGGCCAAAGAAACCCGGCCCAAGAGTCAAATGTAGAACCGCCTTTCCATTTCCATTACGTCATGCACGGTCCAAAAATCCCATCCAAGGGCCTCAGGGGCCGCATGAGTCGTGGCGCTGGGTTGGTATAGGGCTTGAAAGTGCTACGTCACAGCATAGCAACAATTTCAAAAATTCAAAAACTGGATCCACTTGGATCCAGTTTTTGTATGGATCCAAGCACATTTCAAGCGGTCTTACCCACAGCATGGTGATGTAGCCAGTGAAACTGACTGATTTGGCTACTGGGGGCGGGGTTACAACTGGTGGCGAAATAAAAGTCACACCTGCATGCGACATGAGTGGGTTGCTATGCACCCACATACTTAGGCTATAGCAAAGTCACACCTAAGGCCCTCTTCAGACTAGGTACAAAACAGCCTATAAGTCACATTTACATAGAAGTTTCCAAGACAACAACAAGAATCTGGCGGGAAGCCTAAAAAGCTGCCCAATCCTTTCAGGCAGGGTGCCAACCCTTGTACAAGGCAAATTTCCTGCATTTATCGTACTTTCATCAGGCAGTTGTACGGACTTTGTACCCGGGTACGACTGTCCGCTGCTTTCACACATCCCAGGCCCCTTGCGCAATTTCGTAGGGTCAAAGGTTGCCTGTATATTGCATGTGAAATGTGTAGTCTGAATGCAGGCATGGAAAAATGTTGCCTTTTAGGTTTTATGTGACTTTGTACGTAGAGGATATAACCCGAGTCAGAGGGTTATACCGGCTGAATATAAATCCCGACTGCGATAGCAGGAGGGATTTATATGAGGGTACGGTATAACCCGACTACGAGGGTCATATCCTACTTATGCCAGGTACCCCTACGCATTTCCAGAACAACGAACCTATTTGGAGATCTCCTACATCATGCAGTACATGAACATCTTCTGATGGTTATCAGTTGTTAGTTGAAAGAATGGTCGAGCAAGGTCAGAAGGAGATTCCTCCGTGGATGTTTGGCATAAGATTTCCTTTCAGTACCAGTGCATATTGTAGCATCTTCATGATCTTGTCTTGAGTCGTGAGCGGTGCGGAAGTCGACTGAATTGCTGCGGTGTTGGAGTTTGTCGTTGAATCAAACTACCGTCACTAGTTAGATTACAGACTCTTTGGGAGTAAGTGTTACTATAATTATGGTACAGTGCTGATTTTCACATGCGGCATCTTATAATCAGTTTTGCTTGCAAGTAGATGCATTTGCATGCACTGTTTTGTATCACATTTCAATCCAATCTATTGTAGCCTTTTCCAATCGGGTTGAAGTACATGTACACTGGTATTATAAACTTATTTACGAAGGAGACAGTCTGTTGATGATCTTTAACTCTTCGAAGTACAATGTACATTGCTGACCCATTCGGGATACTTCGTGGTTATTCGACGTTCTTTATCCTCAGATTCAGTATAACAGAATACTCTGTAGACGAATTCCAGGTCATTCTTCTTTTCCATTGTGTACTGTTCCTCGTCAGTGTGCCGTTCTGTGTGGTGTGTACACGTGCATGTGGTGTCCGTTGTGTCTGTTTATGTATGGTCCGTGCGCTGGAGTACTGCCGCCGTACAAGTTCAGGCAGTGAACATGTACGGTGGCAGTGCCCGAGCGTACGTACCGTGCACCGGGATTTATATTCTATATAAATCCCGCGCGGGATTTATACTGGCCAATATAACCATGGCTAGACGAGCGCTGATTGGCTGAAAACAGGCCCTCCGTACCGTACCATGGTATAATGGATTTTCTATGTACGTAGTCTGATGAGGGCCTTAGTGGATCCAAAAATAGAAATCTGATGTCAACTTACTACTCCCTGGCCGTTTTGACGTCATCACTTTCAAGGACGTTAAGCAACGCGAAAGTTCGAAAGAAAATTCGAGCCTGGGAATGAGTACAGAAAAGAAACTCGAAACTTTGAAATCTTGGACGCGAAGTTGCAGTAATTTGCGAAAGTAACTTTCTCTTTTCTCGGTACGCATTTGACTACAGGGAGTAGTAATTTGACAGCCCCTTGCTTGAGACTGAGCTGCATATACGGTACGGTACTATAAGATTCAAACAACTTCGAGAAAAAGTCATTTCACATTGCTAAACCTCACAAGTTTTCTTTTTCGAAATAGATTTTCGCGAAACATCACCACCACCAAAAGTTCGAATTTTCGCATTGCTAAACGTCCTTATTCCTTTGGCCACAACTGTACATGT